TCTGACTCCCTGTCGCGCCCCTGCAAGCACCGTCATCACCAAAACTACGGTCTCGACCTCCGCGCCGCCACCTTCATTGCTGAAACGGACTGTTTACTCAAGAAATATTATTATTATTCTTTTTGCCATGCGCTTGTGTTCGATGTTTGTTTATTATTTTGTTCTCTCCATCTCATCGTCCGTCCGTTCGTTCATCTATCAATCTATACATTCCGAGCTCTCGAGAGAACAGTCCGCTCTGCTTGCCGGGTATTGCCCCGCCGTTGTTCAGAAACATCGCTCCGAGTGCCCTGTGTCCGAAGCCTATGATTCTCGGTCTGTGAACTCGCCGGATTACGATTCTCGGATCCCCCGGGTCAAATTCAGATTCTATCCTCATTCCATGAACGGATTCCGTGAACCTTCTTGGTCATTGGTGCACTTCCGCGAATTTCCATAGGGGAAGTAATCGGATAAGACCGGGGGCGACGTCGAGAACTTTCTCGGGCACTCTCTTCCGCCAATGGAATCGGAAAACTACTGCAATATCACGAAGATCAGAGTTCAATGCATCATGCGGCGCGGGGAAACTTGGCGAAATCGTCAGCGAATGTTTTTTCTTGTTGGCATCAATATTTATGTTGAGAGCCATGCTTCGCCCTCATGGTCATCAATGGTCGGTGGTGTGGCGCATTACCACCATCTGAACGAGCGGGGATGAAAACGCCCGAGCCAGGCGGAAAGGCAAGCCGGCTGTCATAGAAGAGCCTCGAAAGCAAGAATAAACAATAGTCGTCGGAATATGTGGAATAGAAACGCCCATTGTGAGGAGAATCCCTGTTTGCCCGACCATCTGATCGTTCTTTCGCTCGCTCGTTGAATGCCTTTCGCGGTCTCCCGTTTGTCCGTCATCTGTCTATTTAGAGGACTGGCTACTTGTTGGTCTAGGAAACTCGTTCTGTGCACACGAGGCGCAGGATTTTTTGAGGAATCCAAAACAAAACCTACTATAACTTGTCCCCGATTTCTCCCGTGGGCGGTTGTTTTTCCCCCTGTGATCTTCCCCTCCACCATGTCCCTGTCCTTTCGAGTCTGTAGTGGACACTTTCTTTGGTCCCCTGCCTCTTTGAGCATGCGGAGAGGAAGCCGATGATGAGCCAGCGAGGAGAGATGTTCTTGTTCCGAGAAGTAGCAATGTTTCGACCGGCATGTCGTAACGAACGCTGACTCAGCTCCAGAGATTATCCATATCTCACGCTCTTGTTCGTTCAATTTTCCCAGTAGTCCAGCCCCGCGGACGATTTCTCCGTCAACGAGGAGTTGCATTTTACCTGAGATCCACCGGAGCGCGGAGGGTTCGCGGATCTAAGACTAGTTGACCGACCCTCGGAATCCACGATTGTATTATACCGAGCCTACTCGGATACTCTCGGTAGATGGTGGCAGCAACAAGGCAGCTCTCCAGCTCAGTGCCTACGGAAACCCGATTTGGTCATGGACATCTTCCCTCAAGATGTACGGGCAGACGAGCGCCATTTCCTCTGGGATGAGAATTCCACTCATGGACTTCTTGGCAGCATGGTCTTACTTCGAACGGCATCGAAACTTCCAGCTTTTTGAGTCCGACGGCGTTGCGTCGGCATCGCCGCCTTTAGAGCGGGGGAGAAGTCTTAGGGCGATAGCGATGAGGCTCAGTCGGGGGGAGAGAGCAGATTGGAATTTGCAACGGATTCGAGGTTTATTTAATTTGCAAATCCCTAAGCAAAACAAGACAAAGCAGCCGTCGAGCGATTCAGAAGAAAAGTTCATCGTAAGAAAATCTCTGAATAAACTTCGTCGCCGTGCAGCTGGTGGTAATGTGGCTCCGATCATTTAGAAGCCCGGCCGTCTTCGTTTCGTCCTTTTTTCCTTCAAGAAAGGCAAATAGCGCTCTAAATAAACACAACTATGCCCGAAGAATAAAACACACACGCACTCACGGAGCCCCTCCCCTCTGCTCTCGGCTAGCGCCCTTTGCAGTCCTTGGCAGTCCGCAGGATGAAAGCCACTTAAAGACACAAATAGTGCTGTTTCTTTGACCCTGTCTGAAAGAGCGGCGGCGCGGCGTCCCTATCTGTGGGGGCATATTCGATCCGTTTCGTCCTCGTATCGCGGTCATATCGAGGTTGCCGATGGGGGTGTAGCAACGTATGGTATGGTATGGTGCAGTCACTGACTTTGGAAATTAACGGAAGAAGCGAAGTTCCATGCGGCCTCGCGATTTCAGGAGCCGCGCATCACCCCAATCACGCACATACTATTACAGATGGTGACGGGGAGAAGTTTCATGCTCCCGCATACCTCGTCAGGCGAATCCAGGAACATCGGAACTTTTCTCTCGGGCAGGTGTTCGTACGCCTTCCGATCAGTTTCGAGTCGTTCTGTCAACAACCGCTCTTCATCTACTAACCGGAGGGCTTGTTTGCTATTACGGGACAATGACGTGCAGCGAAGCGCTACGCCGGGGCGCGCTCGAACAAACTTACTAGGTTAGTTACATGAGGAGGATCAGAGCATATCAGTATGGTGCCTCCGAATAGGGATTCAGTTCCCGAATCGTCCCCAGACGAGCAGCAGCGGTCACGAGGCCGGAGACCGGTCGGAATTACCGGGGAACATGCAGCCGACTAGCGGATCATCAACACGGCTATATCGCGAGGTTGCTCACTCCACACCGACTCATCCATTTATCGAGCGTACGTACCGTCGAAGAATATCAGGAGGACGTCCCGGAATCGAAGATTCGCAGGATTATTAAGTCACTAGGGTAGCCGATGTGGAGACAAGCAACGACTTCCGAGACATTCTGGATGATTCTATCGTGATGAATATTCCTTGAGCCCTAGCATTGTATCGGGCTTGAATTCCAGAAGTGCGATCTATCTCTCCACTTCAAAAGACTCGTGTTGAAGTCGCGTTGAGCCCGGACGGATATTCCCGTCAATTCACACGTTCCCTCGATGGTCCGGTGCGACAAGGAAAGGCAGAAAGACAGCGAGATCCTTAGCACTTCCGAGATACATGGCTTTTACTTCCGGGAGGCATTTTTTCTGAAACGCACCTCTTATTATATCTCTTTGGATCATGCGCTTTCCTCAGTGCGTGGACGAGTTCGATCAAATGGAGACTTAGAGAACCGTGTACATGGCGAGTGCCTCCGGAATGAGGAACGAAATCATATCGTGGCAGGGAGCGAGTTTTGTCCCGTCAGATCATTCCATTGACGAATTCTGAGTCGGAGCTCTCCCTTCGGAATGGTCAGTCCCAGCGATCACCCGCGACCCCCGGAAGCCAGGATTATCCAGTTCACTATCAGTTTGAGAAAACTGCAGCAGGAATAGAGGGAGAGGAACATCACCCCACCGCCCACGACGCCGAATTGATTCCCGAGACTCATGTCAGCGTTGCGTCCTCGATCGATCGCTAGCCTGCTTCTCGTCTGCTCGTCATATTCTTACGAGCGAGCTCGAGCGGCAGCCGTGCGTTTGAGTTCCGACCGGGATGCTCGTCTCTCCACTGTTTTTCCGGAGCCGCGGGCAAACGATCGGTTCCTCTTATGTCCTCGCCTTGCTCCTCTATTTGTTCCGCACGGGCTTCGGCGGTTCCTGAACGCTTCGCAACCAATCTGGTCTGCCTTTGTTCAGACGTTTCTATAGGTGAGGAGAGCTCCTCTTTTGCCGAGCTCTACGTGTAGAGCGACCCAGAGATATTTTTCGGAGGCATGGTCGTTGGTGGCTCGAGGCACGAAACGAATCAGCACACTTGCGTGAATACGATCAAACGAAGACTTATCGGACTCAAATCCACATGTGTTCCCTAAAGTGTTATTCATTATTTAAACTCGTGAGGGAAAGGCTCATTCCATTTGAATAGGACTATCGGAGCCCGTTGACTATCGAAACCTGTATTCCTTGCAGAAGCGGAAGCGGATGATTTCCTCTGAAACATGAAATTGATGAAAGAATCAAAGGAATTCTCGTCGAGTGCCTTCTATTTGATACACCCATGAAAGAGCCAATGTTTGTTTGCTCTTTCCTGTTTCGTCCTTAGCGCCGTCGATTTCCACGTAATCCGTGATCCTACAATACATGACTCGACCACCGCACGAATCTATCGTACCACCGCGCTTTCCCTCTTCACCATATGTCGCTGGGGGTTCGAAAAACAACCTATTTTCTAATTGTAGCAGCCTTCATCTAGGCTATCCCTCGGCCTCCAGTGTTCTCTTCTCTTCCACTTCGAATACGGCCTCCTCCATAATTCTCGCGGGCAGTAGTATCAATTGACTGCACATCACGCTCGCAAGCACTTGCGCACCCAGTGCCTCAGAGACCGCTGATGGCGGTTTCTGTCCCCTCCCGGACTCCTACGCAAATCGCCCCCTCGGACAGTGAAACATAGACCCCGAGACTTTCCTTCCTCGGATCCGTCGTGACTCTCTACTTGAGGGCCGGACCCGACCCGTAGCTCACCCATCCAGCTTTCACCATGGAACACGCCGTACATTGGGGATGTCGCGAGATCACATCGTTGACCTCCTGCGACTCCGCAGCTCCTCCGCTCCAGAAACATAAGCGAACATCTCGGACCTCCACTTGCGACATCCCACTGCGGATTCGGTTGGCAATACCTCTGATTCTTCGGAAACCCGTTTCCAAAGCAACTTGGGATTGAGTTGCTCTTTCAACGACGAAGCACCGGCCTGGACACAATAATTTCGGTTTTCGGTGGAATGGTAAATCGCCCAAAGACAGGAACCCCCCAAGAACCTTCGCGGAATCCCGATGGACCATCAGACCGAAATTGACGGCGATCCGCGGCCTGGGAGTCTATAGGTTACCCCCAGACAGACATACATTCGCGATGCTCCCCATCGACAATCCCTAACGAGGGCTCGGCTGTGGAAGTCCCGGGCTCCACAGTGCACCGATCCGACTCAGGAGCATCGGTTAAATTACAAGACCCGCTCCGGTTTCAGAAACGATATTTCACATTTATAAGAATCTCTCTCAATTCGCAATCACTAGGAATCCAGTTTGTGCATGCTTCTCCCAAAATATGATCACATGGTCAGATTTATCCTTGATGCTCTATGCGCGACAAGAATCGTCGATTTAGACCAGTCAATGTAATATTTTGAAAATCTCTGAGGGACTTCGGCTCTCAAGGGTTGGATGACGGGATATGGTCGGTGAAGAATAATTTTCCGGAAATTCCGGAATCGTTCGCACAATCTGCCGGTAAATTTCAATGACCTGAACTCCTACGCGCACGCATGATGACTCTCCATAGAACGTCATCCGTGCCTGATTCCCCGTCGATTCCATTGTCAACAAGTCGGGCGATGTTCGTGTCACGATTTTCGCCGAAAAAGGGTTGCGCTTCGCGACTCTTATCTAGAGTCTGCCTTCTGCCCCACAGCTTTCGGAATATGCCGGGAAGCGTCGAGATCTCAGGACGTCAAGACCTGCGATTTGGTGTTTTTCCCCGCGTCGTCGGCTACCATTCTTCTAACCTCCTCACTGCAGAGGATTCGTGACGTGTCCCCGATTGCAGTTTTCGCATTTGGAAGATTTAGCCCCAAACTGGAGACCCTTATCGAAGCATTCACTACACAGTGGCAGCTGTTGAGACGAACTTGGGTCGCGATCCCACCGCGTGTATGTTCCGCTGAACGAATTCGATCGCCTTGGGATACGACGTTTCAAGCAGTGGCAGGGTCGCCGCCGACATCTGAAATGAGCGTTTTTGATGAAAAACTTCATTCTGCCCACTCGAAATCTGAATCGAAGCCTTGATTCGTTGAGACATCAGTTCTTCCAACCGTGCCCCAGAAGACTCCATTAGGCAGACCCACGAATAAGGAGCTTCTTTCTTCCGAACCTCAAGATTAGTGCCGGCGATTGACACCACCACCAGAGAGGATGAATATCAAGTACCAGGCAACTGACAACAACTCATGATTCCGAAACTACCAATGGCTTACACGCATCTTCTCCGCTTTTGATTCCGATGGACCTTCAGATGTCGGATGAGCTCACTACGATTGACGAAGTCCAATTCCGGGCAGCGAGCGCACACAAGAAAATGATTCGAATAACGCGAAGGCTCGTACTCGTTCCCTGCGAGAATGACTTTTGTTCAGTGACTCTCCAACCAAAACCGATCATCCACTCAACAGATGCCTATAGCCGAAGTTTCTCCTTTTTGAGCTCATGGTATGGTATGGTATTGACTTACCTGATATGAGGCCTGGGCAGGTGTCGAGATGGATTTCGAGTTGAGATGATGTCTGGAAGGCATCCCCGCAGCCAACGCAGCCGATGAGCTCCAAAACTTCTTCGTTGTCGGAGACTCTCATTTTTTTGAACTCTTCAGAACTGATCACTGAGGGAGACGGCGATCCCTGCGGCGGGCTATCGGCGGACTCGAATCTTGCATCGTTGGAGACTCCGGAAGACGAGGCTGAGGGTGAGACAGTCGGTGGAAGGTTCATTATGGAATTTATTTCCCGCGTCCCGATGTGCACGATGAAAGACTCAAGACCAGCTCGCATGCGTCAAACCCACGTCTCTCTACCTCTAAGACCATGAAATTGAGCGGAATCGAAGGAACGAGACTAACGAATCCTAGCCACTTAATCACTACGATCAGAAGATTCACAGCGATCCCACGAAGCAATTGCCCAGACGATGCTCAATAGATCGATGAGCTCAGCATGGGATTGATCAGCGGAGTAAAACTCATTCTTCGATGAGAGAGCGCGTTTTGACATTTGACGAAACTTCCTTCCTCGCCCTTCCTAAATCCCTCGTTCACAAAAAGAAGAGAATACGCGAAAGCACGAAGATCGATGATTGATATTGCTCCCATGGGAAAACTGACTCGGCTCGGATCGAAGAGACAAGGGCGTCAGACTTCTGTCGCAAGCATTTTTTTCCGGAAGCTCACACAACTGAGGGCCACCTACGATTATCAAACATGTCGGTTTCGTGTTTCATGAACGACTCCTCCGACGTCGATCTCCTGCTCGCAGCCTCCGGGATCTTGGTCACGCTTGATGTATCCGTCGAGGATATAAAATATAAGTTCCAGAAGCAATTCTCAAATAAAATTTATGTACTTCGAAAGTCGAATGCAGCAGTGGTGTTTTGTTGACATGCGGTTCTCTCCCCGCCTCGGTAGTTCCGGAGAGGGTGAGGCGGCGCCTGACTTCGAAAAATCTTCGCTACAATATAGTTCCAAGGAAAGGTTCCACGAGTCGGTCAGGAGAAGATGTCCCAGATTCTCGGATAGCAATATAGACTCGAACACCTTCATCATTGGATCGCCCTTCCTCCCCTCAGGTCGGCCAGTGATCGAGCGACGATAGCCGCCCCACATTTCCCTCGCCCAGGTTGGCTTTCGTTCCGGAATGATCTCGCCGAGTCTAGCACATCTGAGCCTCTCTGGCTGCTTGCGTCGCCTTTCTGAGTCCCGGAGCTCACATGAGGGGGGGATTCCCCGCGCTGGAATTAATTTTTTTCTGCCGATATCGAATAAGTGAGCTCACCGCGTCGTTCCCGAAATGCACGAGGGCTCCTTGCTCTCGGATACAAGGTTCTCTTCCGGAGGGAGTTTCTGCGAACGAATGTCGTGGGAGGCCTAGCGAGTTATGGATTAAAAACCCTTGGAAGAAAGACTCCACTGGGAAGCTTTTATTCTCCATATCTCCCGATGTTCGTCGCCAGATTCATTACAGACAGATTTTGAGAAGAAAATCCCCTCATGGATGTGGAATGTCTGGGAAGAGCTTCTCCCCTCAGCGCTCCGTTCGATGCATGTGTGTATGGGGATCCCGCTATTTACTGGATCTCTCCGCTAGATCCCTTCATACCGAGATGAAAACATATGCGGTCCGTAGGGAATTACAACGCCACAAGAAGTCCCAGGCCAGGAGAGTGAAGTTGGCGCTCACCGCGGAGGATGGGAGACGGCAACTCATCGCTTTCTGACTCGGCACAGACCATTCCGCAAGGATCAACAGAAAATCAGCGGAAAGACCGCTGATTCCGCCTGGCCTCGATGGAGGTGTTCCCCTTGTCGGGGAATTAGAATCAATTTACGATACGAGAGCAGCACGCGATCCGCCTCTACATGTTCCCGTTCCTAGTATACCATCGCAGCACTTCTCACACCTAAAGATGGACGACGATCAAATATACTGGCCAGACTGAATCGTCGTCTCCCATCAAGACTCAGATGCTTTTTCTAGAATCAAGCACGCCTCAGTGACTCCAAGCGCAGCACGATGAGAATTCGACTCCCTTCCTTGAGAGACGACTAAGGGCTGAACGCAACCAGTTATCTCAAACGATACGAATAATTCCGAATATAACTCGGTATGATCAGTTCATCACTCATGGCCATGGCTCATGGCCGAGAGAAAGCTTCTCTGTTCGATTTGATGTACACAAATACACATCTTTTGATTTCTTCATCGCATTCCATTTCGTTGATCTGAATAAAATTTCTAGTGGGCTCCGGCAGTCTCAGTTTGAGGCGTTGGCGTCTGGAAAGGCAGAGTTCGCGTTGAGGAGTAGGAATTCGGTCTCCAGGACAAATCAACTCCCGCTTCCGGATTAACCCGTGCATTTCACCGGCTCTTTGATAGATTACAATCATTGATTGATTATTATTATACATCAAGACAGCTTGCGTGACTCACTTGGGGGAGGGATCCCTTATCGTTAGAGTTCTCCGAGCAAGCTGAAGAAGCCCTCTTGCCGCCAGAAGTGTACTTCTGATCGAATATCTGTACGTTTCCTCCTCCGGGAACATGTTTCATATTATCCATGGATCCCACCTGGAAGAATTTCAATCATTGGATCCTCTCCTATTCCATACATTAGCTCCCGCTCAAGATTCATTCATCAAAAACGTTTGCACTGACCTTAGATTGCGCTTTGTTCTTGAAATCCAGTTTGCGGCTCTCAACCTGAAAGGAAAAGTTCATGGCTTCGAGTTCATAGCCCTGTGTCTAGAGAGGATCTAGGAAAAACATCGGAGCTACGTTTGCCGAACACAGACCTTCACTCTACCGCCTCCAGGTTGGTAGGTGGCGTTCTCCAACGATCCGATTTTGCTCTGAGCTTTGATCTCGACCTGCGTCGGGAGCGAAACATTCGTAATTCAAGAACGGGGAAGGAGCGGGGCTCAAGGTGTCGTCATCTCCGGAGCTCTAGAGGGGAGAGGATCCCAGAGCTTTTCTAACAGGTCTATTGCATACCTTTTGCGTCACTATTTTCTTGTCACCACCGCCCGGCTTGTGGGTTGCATTCTGCAGCGAGCCAATACGAGCATTCACGCTCCACTCCAGCTTCTGGGTTCCGACCTGGGGTCAATTCATCGTTTTGATTTCAATCGCGTCGTGAGATGGAGCTCGCTCGGAGTCCGTAGATCGTCTTACAGTTATGTCTAGAATTGTATCGAAACATGTGTCGTACCTTCACGTTGCCTCCTTGCGGTCGATGTTTTACATTGTCCATGGATCCGATTCTAGATTTGACGCTATTGAGGTTCGGCGGTGGGGCGGTCCCGACCTGAACTTTCGATATTGGCACTCCTGGAAAGAGTTCACCGACCCTGAGCCTTCCGTCCCTGCCTTCGACGCTTTATGCCATTCGAAAGTGAGCGTGCCGACTTATCCGGCTGAGTCGTCCTTCAGATGAGGATCGTGACCGTGACAGCGCACAAAGCACAACCAGCTCGACATTAACCGGAATAGGCGATAGACGGAACCTACTTGCTTGGGATGCGGATCGAGACTTATGGTTGGCGGGAGCAGGCGCTACGGAGAGACCAACTCCGTTGTGAATTCTCTGGGGAGACAGAGAGGCACTCCTGGGATTCTGAAACACCGTCGCTTAACTTTAATCGGCGGGTCTATGCGCAAGGATTGACAGATGATCCGCTCTCGCATCCGGGGTCGAAGATCAGCGTGATGCGCTCACCGAATGAAGTGGCGAGTTGGGCGTTCACTCACCTTCGATTTGACGCCATTGTCCGCCGAACTTCGCGTCTCTGAAATAGAATCCAAAAAATCATAAAGCGATGCATATCTACGTGAATTCCATGAATGAATAATCGTAGGGCGATAGAAATGATTGTCGGAAGAAGAGGCCTCTTTCCGATGAGGAGGTCGTGACAAATGTCATGCTCCCGTCTTCCAGGCCTCGAAACGAATGCGGCAATAAAGAGCAATTAATCGTATCTCGATCAATGAAGCGTTCCGATAGGCGAGAGCGTTTGCTCCCTGTTTTTTCCTTCTAAAAGTCCACTCTCAACGTCCACTCTCAGCATGGAGACCCAACCCCGCTCAGGGAATGCCCCCTACGGGCGCAAATTTCACACCTCCATCACTGTTCGGAAGCGGGGGAACTATTCCCGGGGTCGGTGAGTCACCGAGCATCAGCTTGCCCTCGCTCCTATTCGGGGTTTAAAATAGCTCCGATGCCGGAGGAGGGCAGGTTCCCGGAAGTTTCGTCCAGGCGAATGGAGTTCGTGACTCGATCCATGAACGATAGAGGAAAATGAGCGAATAAATTTTCACGGACGCAACAAGCTGAAGGCGGGGCCGTATAGACCGATTCCCAGTTTCCATCTGAAGGAGAGCTTTCGCACTTACCGAGTTTTTTCGGACGCTGGACTGCTGTTCCACTCATGCTGATGGGTACAACCGAACTCAGGAACAGTCCGGAAAGGAATTGCGTAGTTACTTGTCGCGACCGTTAGAGCGGGATCTATCGGCTCTCTGAGTTCGAGCAGCTTGTCGGAGCGGCGCGCTATACCGATTCCATCGCAACGGACGTGCGTTACTCGCGGCTCCCCGATCTCACTTTCCACCGACGGCTACCTCGATCGACGCGTGACTCCCGTATGCACGAATCGCTCACGATCAGGATCGTTTCTTCTGGATCAGGTTCGCTCGTCCCTTACATACAGAGGCTGGGGCACGTAGGGTTGTGCCTGCGCGAGAGGGCCCTCCATGAGCGACCGCAGCGCCCTCTCACGACTTGCAAGTCGCCACTGGGGTTGGGCAGAAGCGCCCTCCGCACCCGGGAAGTGGGAGGTAGCATAGCGCCCGAGTTTGTCCGAAAGAAATTGAGTAGCGCAAGCCGAACTTCGGGTGCTGATGGTTTTGGGGGACAGTGGCCGGGAAATAGTCGGATGAGAAGGGGTGGGGAATCGTGCGGCTCTTGAAATCTGTCTGGTCAAGCTGAGATGTTCACGGAGCTTCGGGACATCATTTCCTGAAATTGGGAAATTATCTGCATCAATCAGCAAAGACGAATCCTCTCGATCTCGAGCAGGCTTCATGAACGTGTTTAAAGCCTTGTTTCGAGCTCGCAATTATCGGTGACGTTCCACGGACCGCGGCTCTCGAGTAGAGCTCCGCGGCTCGACGAATTTCATGGAGCTTCCATCTTGACTCACGGATGATCATCTCTTCCGGCCGGTGGAAGCATTGACCATCGGCAAAGCTTCAATGAATCCTTCGAAGCCCCTCGAATCCACGTCGGGCGATCCTCTTATTGATCCGTCCGCAGAACATCGGATGATTCGCAATCCGTGAGTCGCCGGTCGCGGCGGGTTACGCTCTTTCTCGTGCTTTCTCGGAAAATTTCCATCTTGAACCCAGCATTCATGATTCACTTAAAACTTCGCCAGAGATATCATCATAGATGTGCCCTCAGAACTCAAGACATTCTCGCAAGCGGCACTTTCATGATAAAATGAACTACAACAAGAAGGTACGGTTACTCTTCGCCCTTCGCAGAAAGTAGAAGTATAATAATCCCGGACTCCACGAGGACCATCCTGTTTTCGGGATTCGTGGTCATGTAGACCTCCGGAGCGACGTTCAGACCAGCAGGTTGCGCCGAGGCGCAACATGGGTTGATGATCGACTCCGCCTGATGGAGATTCGCGCGTGATCAACACGATTCCGGGTTCCCGAGGATACAACAGGTAAGTCTCCAAGACAGACGAGCACATGCGACCCCGAAGGTTTCTTCTGTATTACGGAAACTCGAGAACCCCTCCACGAAGGCTTCAGCCCGGTCTAGTTGGGGGGGGGCGGAGAGAGTGATCATGACCGCATCGGTTCTTGACTTTCGCCCGAGTTGTTTAGCCCGAGCCTCCGGAGGGCGGCGTATACCGTGGGAAAATGGAGGCGCATTTCGACTCCACACCAGCCAAGAGGAGCAGTAATTGGTATTGGTATTGGTAGCAGCAGTAATTTGACTCTGCCATCTCGATATACATTGATGGGGACGAGAGCTTCCGCAGGATTATCAATTAGCATCGTTTGGTCTTTGAGGAGCCGAGGACCATGTCACGGTCTGATCGGAGATCGTTCCCGGAGTGATCGATGAAACCGAAGAACCGGTCCAGCGGAGAAGAGCAGACACAATAACCGCACTCACTCGGATCGATTCCGGGTTCTTCCGGATAGGCTCGATTTTCTCGAGTCGTAATGTCTCGCAGAACCTGGGGAAAGCGCAATCGATCAAATTTCTCTCGTATCCTCGGAATACATGGGAGAACGGTCGAGGGAAGGTCCGATGAATAATATAGACCGGAAATCTCGTATCGGAGAAGGAATTTCCGCTCATCCCTCTATCGCGATCTCCGCTCCTCAGAGGTGCGAAACTTCCGAAAGTTCGCATGTTCGGATACTGTTCAGCAGGGATCATCGCCATCATCATACGTATGGGTCGACTCAGTCCGCGATCCAAGCAGACCCCCGCTGCATCTGGAATGAGTATTTATCGGTTGCGCTCGGTCGCCCCGACCCAGCGTGATTCTATAGAAGCCGTACTCCTTCAGCGAGAAATTGCGTGTGTTCGCGCAGGGTGCATGCACAAGATAACTCCCCTAGTCGTCGAGTAGCGGACGACACTTACCACACACGCGCACAGATTCGCCTTCGTCCCGTGTCCCGTCTCGTCGTCAGTGTGCAGTTAGAAAGTGTGTCCCTCCGTGCGTGTATGTGTGTCGGAGTGTGTGCTGGTGGAAAAACAAGCCAGTCTTTAGGAGAAGGGTGGAAAGCAAAACTTAGCAGAAGACAGGCTGTGAAAAGACAAGGCTGCTGCCCGTTTCGACGGCGGTGTTCCTCGGAGCTCACAGGAAGAACCTTCTCCCCCCGAAGTCCGACAGAGTAAGCGATCCACTTCTCCGACGACAGTCGAGCGCCGCGCAGGAAACGGAACAGACGTTAGACCGAGTGCGAAGTGCCATCTTCACTACGAGCGACGGCAGCAGCAGCAGCAGCAACAGCAGCACAACTAGCTACTGCTCGCCTGGCCGTCTGAACGGCTAGCTGGCGATCCAGTTGATCGGCTGGATCATACGAGTAACGGGTCTGCTGTCGAAAGCTCGAGATCCCGTCAGCTGGTTTGGACTCTACTATTCCACGACGTTACGGATCGCCATCCTGCCGACGACACACAAGTATCGTCGTCGTCGACACACCACCGACACAACCTCCACCACCACAACCTCCATCATTTGCCGCACATGAATGGAAACTGGGTGAATTTTAGCGAGTTCCGGCGCCGATATTCTCCCGCAGTCAAGCACTCTTATCAACTCCGCCCTCTCGGATCAGAGGTTCGTACGAGTTTTCCGCTCGCGGGGAACAACGAACGTCGGAATCCGCAGGGAAAGTGTGAGACTCCCGAAGAAAACGGCGGACGATAATAAAACGAAAACTCATCATTCATCAGACAAGAGCTGAGCCAGGATCGGAGCGACCTTCGGCACGATTCACGGACCCTATTGGAAACTCCCGATTTGTGGAAGGGAGAGTGTTTTCGTTCGATTGTCCCCGCGCTATCACCGTTGCTCTAGGGCCGCCCTCAGAAACATTTCGTCCCGCCGTTGGGAGCAAACGATACGGCGAATTCCGAACGCAGGCAGCTCTCGACTGAGTCTCTTCGTCACTCAGCCGTCGACGTACACGACGAAGTTTCTTTTTGTGTAGCGATTGTCTCATTATAGAACACTACGTCGTCGTATAGTCGGCCGCCCTCCCGGAGCATCGTCTGTACGCGACTGAAAACTGAAATGCGCGATGGTTTCCTTGGCCGAGCACGACGTTTGTACGTGGTTTCGCCAATTGTCGTCGTATCGGAGACTCGAGATGCTTTGCCAAATGCTCAACTTGTGTGTCCCTTTGGAGCTCCGATTCGTTGAAACGTACGTGTCGAAGCTTGCGTCCCGCGAGCTCATTTTTCTGAAAGATCACGAGCATCGTGCGAACAGCCACACAGATTTAAAAAGGCTCGTTGACCAAGGCGGGGGTCCCCTCGATGGACCGACCAGATCTCGACTAGTTATCTCGTTGGCGCTCCTCAAGAGCGACAACACATCCGCAGCTGAAATCCTATATCCGGCCCTGACCGGCAGACTCCCGCAAGACAAGAGCTCGTTAGCACTTCTGGATCCTAAATGTCTCGAAGAATTGATACTGTTGTATTCAATGGCAGCCCTCCACTGCGCGTTCACATTCAGCCAACAGACAGCATTGGAACGACTCAAATCAGAACTCGTCAAGCTTATGCAGCCGAAATCCGTGTCCCCCACGTCCGGACTGAATTCCGCGTCTACTTCCTCGACGGGAACGACAACGGCCGCGGGGGCGGCGGCAGCGACCGCGGCGTCACCGACGGCGGGAGCGACCGCTGCGGCCATTCCCGTCGCCCCACAACCGGCTGTAGGCATGGCCTGTCCACCGGGTCAACCTGTTTATACGTACCCGCTGTCGATGGTCGGTTCCCTGCTCCCGCCCCAATTCCAGTGGTGTGGTCCTCTTGCTCAGAACGTACAGCTTCCAACAATATTCCAATCTGCCAACTCAATACATCCCACGATGACATTCGCGACGAATCCCTCCGTTCCGACCGTTCCACACCCGAAACTGAACCAAGTCACTGTCAAGTCAGGACAAGGATCCAAAGTTACCTTGTGCGGGAACTTCACCGACGGTCGCCAGATACACGTTGTCAGGGACTACGGGCAGATCGCGGAGCTTCGCAACAGACTCAACGGACCGAATAACTCATTGCCCAGCCTCTCGATGATGTACAACAATAACACCGATGTCGTCCACAAGGAAATCAAAGATTTCTTCACCGAAGTCTGCGCCAACTTCGCAGACCTTGATCTCGTTAGCAACTTCTTCGACCAGCAGACTCAGATGCACCCTCAGCCTCAGACGACGCTCATCGCGACGAGTACAATCCCAAGGTTCACAAGCGCCCCGCCACCTCCGTTCACCGTGACCAGGGACCACCAAGCCACCAGCGATCAGGAAGCGATAGCCGTCCGGGAGGCATTGAAATCGGCGAACGCCCACAAGCACATGCTCAAGTTCAAAGACGTCACGACCATGAACGACTTCTGCGAGCTCACGGAGGAATCTCTCAAAGCCCGAGGGCTCTCGAGCACCGCCATCGACCGTATTCAGCAGGTCCAAGCATTGAGGGGAGCGAGCATCGCGGCCTCACCGACCGCTGTGGCCCACGCTCCGCTCGTGGCCATGGCCATCCAGACGCCGCAGCAGCAGCAGCAGCAACAGCAACCGTCCGCCTTATCTGCGAGTGGTCAGTGGCACAGCTCGGAAGAGGACACGACTCCACCGTCCTCGTCTCCGTCGCCACCGAACCACCAGCAGTTCACCTCACCTCCGCCTCAATTTTACAGCATCATGATGCCGATGGTCCAACCCGGCGGAGCCACAACCTACGTGCCGACGACCTACTCTGGTTACCCTGTGCCGACGTTCGTCGCCACCGCGCCACCGCAACAGAACGGGTGAGTCGATAGCTGACCTAGTCCGGTCCACATCCTCCTGGAGCCGGTGAACATACGGGACAAATTTATCTATGCTCCGGAGAGTATCACCCCTGTGCTTCGCCGCAAGGAACTGACCCTTTTTTCTTTACTTTTTTCTTTCCCGTAGAACGTACGTCACGACGCAAGGCGTCTCTGCCAACGGTCAACACTTGGTGCATCCGATGCTCGTGCACACGCAGCATAATCCCCAGGTTGGAGGTCATTCTGGGGGCATTAGCCCTTTAGGTAACGCGTCAGGGCCAATGAACCACCTGCATGCGCACAATGGTCAGAGCGGAGCTGCTGTCGTGGGGACATCGGCCGCTCTCAGTCACCTGCATCATCCTCCGCCGTCTACGGGCTCGAAATCGCCACATTCGCCGACTAGTCAAGGAGGCGGTCAACAACCACATACCAAAATCGAAAGCCATGCGCCGTCGGTGCAGAACCACATGAAACGTCAACCCCTACGATCTCAACATTGAAGTAAAGACAGACTACGTTTAATTGCATCGAGATGGATCTTCTAGTCCAGGCGTTGAACCCCCTCACGAAGCAAGTCCAAGCATCTTCGCCCGTGATGTTCGATCCGGGAAGTGCCGCCACCGACAGAAAAGCGACGAATAATAATAATTGTCATCGGACGGCCGCTGTGGCAGCATCAGTCATCGAAAGGGTTCGATAGTATCATCAATGTTCGAGAGGATTACTAAGTTCGCCCGACGGGGCCTACAAGCTATCATGTGATTCTTAGGTAAGGTGTGCGACAGCACGCGGCAGGGCGCTGTCACTCTCCCGCTTTAGGAAGGATAATTCAAGTAGTCTCTCATGGATCGCTCGGCCGATGCGAATGATTCAATAATTCACAGCGTGTTCGGGCATGCGACCATTAGCGGTGCCTCGCGTGTACGCGCACACAGCCGCCTGCAGGTTGCGAGTCGTAGGGTTGTTCACGCGCAAGCGGAGTCGGCGCATATCGAATCATTAATCTGATTGGTACAGTGAGCCAACTAGTCAATTTTCAAGCCACGATGCTCTGTCGACAGGTCGAACGTCACTCGAACGGGCGAACACACCGTCGAACCGCTATACTAATTGTGGATATTTTCGATTTGTATATAATAATTGTTCGATATTGAGAGAGCTCCAGTTTCTACTTATATTCCGGTCTCATGCGATGTTGAACGAAATAAGTTGAAGAGAGCGAATCTCGCGAAGCTGTGCGAAGTCTCAGTCATCGCAACAAGCAAGAAGCCAACTCCGAGGAAGATCTAATCAAATCAGACCTGCCATTGGGAATCGAAGAGCCGGCCAAGATTGCGATAGAGGGTTCCGGTCTAGGATCTTAAAGAGATTAATTTTGTTCTTTTACAATTATTACCGCTGCCAGCTGTCGTGGTTTTTCCGCGGCCGCTGAGCCATAATTCATTGTCGTGTGAACTTCCGATGTGCAATTTATACCTTTTCGAGACAGCAGAAAATCATAAGTTTTGCTCAGTGGCCGAAGCTGGAATCGTTCCCGAGCGTATTCATGCAATGTTATAATGATGGTATTGATGATGATGGGAATCGAACTAAGTCAACGCTGGAAGGCGCTTTTATCTTTCGGAAACTCAAAAGAACGACCACGTGATAAGGTGTTTATGAAAACAAAAGTCATGTTGATGGAACTTCGAGAATGATGTATAGGTGGATGAAGAGATTATGGATTGCACGAAGTAAAACAATGTATTGCTTCTGAGTTCCTATGTTTTGGTTACCACATACGTATTTCGCGAGCATGTTGTCGCTATCGAGCGGTACGCGATCTGCAGCAATCCAAACTTTCTTCAGATTCATCAATCGGAGCTGCGGGATATTGTTGCAATTCTCGGTTGCCAATCGCATATTTTGCTCTCGAGATTCGCTCTTCGGCTGTCATCGAATGTCAGGCACCTGAGAATGCCAAATCAAATCGCTCATCGGGAGAGGATCATACCGGAAAATTTTGTCGATCCCTTCTGGCTTCTAGATTTCATTAGGTAATCTTATCGGATTTTGGCGAGAGCTCAAATGGAAATGTTTTGTAAATATGAGCTTAGATTCGAAATCGCTCCCGAAACGAGCTTCCAAGTAGCGTCCATCATCGCGCCTCGTGGTATTGAACCAGCCCAATCTCCACGCCTCGCTTGCTTGAGGCATCGCACAATGGTTCTCCGATTCTCTGAGAATGGAGCCTTACTAATTTTCAAGCATTGGCGGAGTCCGCTTCAAGAGGAATTCTTTGCCGCGACGAGAAAAGATTCTAACCTCCTCGAGGGCAGGTGCCCCGCCATCCATGGGGGATCGTAATCCATTGAGTCAAGGAGGATTCCGTACGGAGTGCACGTAACGTCGCATCGGCAAGGCCTCTGCATCTACTAAGACGATCGCTTTTCGATGAGCTCGTATTTCCCCGCCGAGGCAGCATCTCCCTGTGGTACTCGAAACTCGGGAAATGGAGCGCTCTCAATTCCCAATGCGTGGTCTGTCTCGATGACTCGGAACCATGTGACAGACGTTCCTTGAGGCATCGATCATCTCTCATCTCAAGAGTGGGTCAAGTTCGCCAGCTCGTACCTCCTCGTAAGAGAGGGTCGACCACGACGTCAAGATAAAGAAAAAGGGATCGGGAAGATTCCGTGGGGAATTCTCTTGTCGAATCCGACCGCTCTTTGTTGGATCCTGGAGCATGCCGAGGCGCGAGTTTTCTTCGAGTCTCGGAGCTGCTCTTGACGCGAGTTCTGCCGTCGATGGTAGTTTCTCTCGATTTGGTGCTAGAATGGACGGTCAGGAATGGTCTTGTTGGAGTGCCCATTCTGGGTCCCTATCGTTCACGGCTCGAATGGACAGGAATGAGAATCAAACCAGTCCTCGTCTCTCAGATGAACCGACATTCCGACGTTCGCTCTTAGTGATGCGCTACATGCATTCCACGAGAGCATCCTCATCGGGAGTCGGCCGGGAACGCCTGCTCCCTGGTACGAGAGAGGGTCTTCGTATGTGAATGAAAACTCATTTCCAACGATCGACGGGGGTGAGCGCCGGAAACGAAAGCCTGGGGTTTGTAACCCCTCCGGATATCTCGAGAAATGTTTTTCCGATCTTGCTCTCGATACTTTTTGTGGCTTGAATCGAAATCAGTCGACGATATGATCCGCGCTTCTGGGAGACAATATGACGCAGAATTGGATTGTCAAGATCACGCCTCGGTGACGGAGACATAATTCCCACCGGAAAGGCACATGGTGAAGGATTCTGGTTGATACCTTGCCATAGAACTACGCTCCCTCGAGCATGATCGTGGGCGAGTTCGTCCTGTTGCGCTGAGCCTCTCAACCACCAATGCCCTCATGGCAGAACTCGTGTCAGTCTCAATGTGGGTCTCTCATTCCTCACTCTGACACAAAGAGGAGAGAAATTCCACGTTGGAAAGCAACGTTCTTGCTCCCTGGAATGATCTGTTTCTCGCCCAGGGACACGCTATCGAAATACAGAGGGGACCGCTCTCGGCCATGCAACGGGCGGGACACAAGGGGTGTCGTTAGCTCCCGTCGGTGCTACAGTGTTTTCTGAACTGAGGGATTCCGACATCGGGGGCATAGGCTCGACTCGAGATCTCGAAGCCGATACAACGCAACGTGAGCATGAGAGATGGCAGGTTTCGCCATGTGGCTGCGTGATCAAACTGACTGAGTCGACCTGGTCGAAAATTCGTCAAGGAGAGGAAACGCAGGCACACCATGAAATGAAAGTCCGGGTTCGTCCTAATCTGTTGACGAGAATCTCGAACTCCAAGAGAGTTTACTTCCGCAGTATGGACCTTCCAACTCACCAAAGCATCCGGGAAGAGGCCGTCGTCCGCAGGACGGAACTTTCGTCCGACTTACTCCCAGTGTATCGTCTATGCACCTTTCTACGAGGACTTATAGAATAGTTTCGCTAAGGTTTGTAATGAGCTGATTGATTGTGAGGTTCATGGAAAGAGGGTTCTGTTGATGAATGATGACTTATTAATTATCATTAGCCACACCACTAGGAATGTTGATTGCTCATAACCCTGTAAAATGCGGAGGTCGTGTAGTTGTCTGATTTGGGTAGCGACCGGAGGCAATATTGGATGGATGCTTGATGTCTTGTAGAACTGGATGGATGATATCAACGATGATGGAAATGACGATCAGCAGTATATCGAAACCAATTTCTAATAAATGCGCCATAAGAGCTCCCTTGCTCCTTGCTCCTTCTTCAAGTTATAGCTGGCGTGTACAGGGCTCCCTCAAGACGAATGATATGGGCGATTTCCGAATCTCCCGGGCGTCCGGCTTCGGACGTACTTTACCAGGAATTCTTGTTTCTCTCTGCTGCCGCATCAGCGACGGAACAGGAGACCAGCGTTCGCTAATGCATACTCTCGAATCCCGACCCATACCTAGACCTTACTTTTAGGGAGAGAACCTGACTTTCACGACGAGGGATGACGACCAGCCTCAAGAATGGATGTCGGCAACCTCCTACCGACAACCGGAGCAGCGCCTCGGCGTAACCGTCAACGCGACAGAATGCAATTTTCATCAGCAATGGAATGGATCCAACGCTAACTCATTTTGCTCCGCTTAGAGATGATCTATCGATTCTTGTCTACCAAAGAGGCATGCAATCGCCGAAGATGCCACCCACTCATGCACAATTTTCCCACCGAATCAATCGACTCGAGAGAGTCGTGGAAGTTTACGGGAGTTTCATGGCCTCGGGGGTTCATTCCGCTTCCGGTCCTCTCGTCGCGTCGTAAGGACCCTCTCGGCCCGCCCGTCGATGCCATGTTCCGGCTCTTGGCAGTATCGGCGGAACCTAGGGAAAACGGGGCATCATATACCGAACTCCTCCACGTGTGACTCGCGACGTGACGCAGATATTCATCAGGGGGAGGGTGGATTCGTCTTCTCATGGAGAGACTTCCGATATCTGAATCTTCTGCTTTGATCTAAAGCCGAGAGAGGAACGGTCGATGCCTCGCAATATCGTGTTTTCTTGGAAACTGATTGGATCGATCATCAGACGAATCCACAGAGGGCACATCCCGGACCACCTCATCTCTGGTATTTTTCCTCATCAAGTAGTGGATGAGGGGAGTATAGTGCGATAAGTTCGGGAATCTAGCTGAAAGCCTCTTCTGCTCAGTCTCTTCACCTTCGAGCTTTATTCCTTCTGCTTATCATGGAGACTCACCGACTGAATACTGAACTAGAAAGTTATCGAGAATTTTGGCTTATTATCCACATCGATGATGATGCCCTGCTTGACGTATCGGTTCCAGACGACTTTCTCACCCAGATGCGGGACGCATACAGGACCTGTCGAAACGGAGATCCCGCCGAAGTCGTATTCGGACCAGAGGGCGATTCCGTTGCTGCCGCAAGGTCGTCTGGATCAGGACAAAAGAGATGGGTCAGACCTCGACCATGAGAACATGGCAATTAATTACGCACACAAGAAGCTCCTCATTCAATCCAATTATCGGAAACTAGACCTCGGGTGAACCGGATCTCCGGCAGTACGAGCTCTGCGTACAGAGAGCCGTCAAAAAAGCGAAGAGAGTTTCTCGATTAATGAATGAAAAAAAATGAAATGAAAAAAAAAATAGTGTCGCAAAGCTATCAGAACCCGGGAGGTGCTGCGCATTATGAGGGAAGTTGGATCGAGAGGTCAACCACGTGAGGAATCGCTCTTGGAAGGGACACATTCGTGCGGGAGAGCATGCAGGACTCCACGGCGAGTCGGAGGCTTGCGTCTTAAGACATAATTTACGTTTTCAGCAAATCGACGGAACACAAAGTTCGAATGCGCTTACATCAACTCGAGCGTCTGATTCCTCTTCGGATTTACGACCAACTCTTGGGGTAAGCTTACGGCCCGGCAAGGATATTCCCAGAGGGGTTGAGGTTCCACGTCAGAGTCGCAAGACGATATCGCGAGCTTCCACAGAGAACGGGAATTCGTGAGCTAACAAGTCCGTGGTCTATCTTTCTTATCTTTTCACGCAAAATCAGAGCGCGGTCCTAGCCTACCTGTATGAAGTCGTCGTACGCTTCCATTTTCAAACCCACAGTAGCTTTTATGGGTGCTCTGATCTTCCAGAGATGTTCTAGCTCAACACTCATGTACATGATTCGATGTTGCGCGGGTAGGCGTTTCAAAGCGCTGAGCTCCTTAGATTCTCCGAGTGAGTCTTGCAGTCTCAACCAAGGATCCCTGGGGGGACGCAGTCATAGTGATGTCGACTTATTGCCATTCACGGCTCAAGGATAGAAGTTCTAACCAGGAGATGGTGCAACCGAGCAACAAGGAATTACGTTGGAATTCGGCCTGATCCTTAATATTTCCCGTCATTCTCGCGAGCTCCTGAGGCCTATTTCACGTGAATCACGGATTTGCTCACAGAAAGCTACGAAATACCGCGTGTCTGAAGTCGGAATCCGCCGAGTCACGGAATTCTTTGCTTACCAGGGCAGGAGGCACTCGTTGAAGTATGGTTCCGCGAATAATAATTGTATGTTGTGCGTATCCGTGAAAACCCGGCAGTTCCCGAGCTTATTCAAATCGATTAATTGTTCTAGAATTTTTGAAGATCTCGAGCCCGTGTCCTGAAGAAAAAGTTCGATTGTGGTGATGACGAGTACGCCTTCGGTATGGATGCTCAAGCGAGTATGACGGGGAACCGATAAACGATTTACCAAAACAGTGAAGTTCTTGTGTGGGACTTGCTTCGCCAAGACCAGAGGCAAAGTGAGGAGACTCTGTCCGATGAAAAGAATCTCGTTCTCCCTTGTAGCTTCCAAAGCCCGTCTCAGCGTCGCTATGTATGACTTCGCTCCAACTTGTGCGATTCGCGATCGCGGAACTGTAAAATGTACTCCACACGTGCACACGGGCATTTCGACGCGGCTCCTGTGGGAAGAACGAGCTCAGACATCGTTTCGAGAGTGAGGACCCCGAAATCAGACTCTTGGAGCTGAGACTGAGGAGCAAAGTTCCCGGAAATTCGACCTCACCCTTTCGTGTCCGTGATATCGAACCAAAAGCTGAACTCGTCTCGACGGCACGACAGATAGCGGCCCCGGGTATTCCGCGGATAGTACACAGCTTGCATCCAATGGTCTCTCCAGGGTTGGTTTCTGCCGTCAGGATGTGCCCAGAACGGAGCGCATGAGAGGATCACTTCAGGAGACATTCTACATTGCCACCACATCAAAACACAAGCGTTTTCCCTGCTCCAGTCTTCACGTAAGTCGACGTCGACCTGGGATCGCGTTCGCAGCACGTCTTTGAAATCGAAGCTGGGGGAAGTTGGAGTGTGAGACATCGAGCAATCATCCCCGGCTCTGACGGACCTCAACGTGAATTGACCTGAGGGGTGAGACGCGGAATAGACTCACTGGAATACTTCGACGGGATCCGTCACGAAATTCAGGTCAACACCAGGCTCCAATTGCGATAACTGAATATCGTGTAGACTGGCAGTTCCAAGACATTCTTTCATCTCCTCGGTCACGCTCAAGCCGTCAGTGTCCGGAGCGTGGTGCCGCCTGAGGAACGCCGAGTCGACCACCTAAGTATGGAGTTGTTTCGATTCAATAATAGGTATGTTTTCACGGACCTTTCGGCCTCAGAGGAACATCTCATCACGCAGCGCGGTTCAGGTGCTCCACCTGGAAACCATGGAATTTAAAGTAGCCCCATTGACAGAGGTTCATCCTTAACTTTCAAAACGTGCCTGAACGAAAACTGTCGCTTCTTGAGGAACTATCAAACATCCATCGGATAAGAGACGTTCGCGAGCATCGTGGTAGGCTCGGATAGCACCTTCACCGACAAGTTCTGTATCGAACAACTCAGTCACCAGAATATGGGCTCTTGTTTCCATGTCGCAACCGCGTCCTAGGAGGGAGAAATTATCATTTGTTCAAATCCGGCGATCCTGTATGGGTATCCCGGAAACGGGACCCTGTGACCGTTTAGAGCTCGAGGGTTTCGAGAACAGTCGGTATGCAGAGGTGCAGCGACCAGGAAGACAGGAGCGACCTATGCGCCGAAACTCGTCCATACCCACAGTGACGTCGAACGATGCCTTAGGGATCAATTTGACTTTTTTTTCGTAGCCATTGGAGCTGATCACTTTTCGCGCGACCTCGATGACAGGCTCGAACGCGTCGCAAGCGTAGATGGTGTCCGCACCGTGTCGAGCCGCCAGCATGGAGAGCAACCCAGACCCTTGGGAGAGAGAGCAGGGAGCTCCTCTTAGCGAGCTTGAAATCTATTTCGGAGACGAATCTTTCTCCAAAACATTTCCGGGGCTTCTAAATGTGATCCTGTGTATATACATATATACAGGAAATATTTGCCACGCACCTGTTCCAATATCCAGTACGACGATGTCTTGCTCACCGCGCGCGCGCAGCGTCTCGATCGCCCATTTGACTCCGAGTTCGTACAGAGCGTTCTGAAATGGCATATGTATGGATTTACCTCACGAATCCTGCAGGCGATTGGGATAAAGATATTATAAATATATATCCGTGGCGTTGCCACAAAATCAGCGATGACTTGTTCGTGGTATCTGGTATCCGACTTTTGACATCCTCTTCCCTCACACTCACCCTTTCCGTGTCGTGCAACATATCACCGTAAGCACTCCTCGCAATTTCCAGAGAAGGCGATCCGCTGCCGCTTTCGCGCTCATCGTCCTCCCGTCGCTCCTCCATGTATAGTGTGTCCTTTGGCTTGCTGTCGAAGAGGGATTCACGCGAAATCGACCGCCAAACCCGGGATCACACGCGGTCGCATGATTGGCCACCAACAGCTGATCGGGACCGGAACCAACAGTTTGCGCCCTCTGCCGGCCGAATCCTGAGACTCACAGACTGGTTCTCTAAAAAGATTCTCCTTTCCCACCGAGAGAACCCGTTTCGGAGATCTGACATGCGTAGTAACAAGGATCAGGATACTCTTACGCAAATTCATGGGATGGCAGCGCTCTCCAGCAAGAAGATCTATGCTCATATCTGATATTGAGCTGGGTCCTCGGCGAGTGAGGGGATGCGGATTGTCCCATCATAAATTCCGGAATTGGCTCGGATTCCTGCGATGCGATTGTCAAAGTGAGAACCCGTTGGCTTCGCCGTCGATGATCAAAATTTATTCTTCTTCCCTATGCCTGACGGGAACTAGATCCCAATCACAGCTAGGCTAGATTAGGCTCGATGATCCAGAATTGCAGTCCGCATCTGTATTCCAAAGTCTTCATATATTGGGGCTCAATCAATGACCGTCAAAGCGTTTCCTCGGCAAGCTGATCTCAGTGTTCCTTCGGGGTCTCCTCTGCGGGCTCCTCCCAGCGCTCGATTCGCTCCCAGAGTCGACTGGACAGTTTTCCTGTGCGCCTCAGACCATGTCCGTCTCGCTAGGCGGTGAACCTTGGGGTGAGACGCCAGAATGCTCCCCGTCACCTCGAGGGTCCGGCGAGCGATCTCTTACGAGATCATATTTCTTGATCTCCAGGAAGAGCGTTTGCAGAAGTCTATCACGGTGGGTGATTCGGCTAGCGGCTCTGATTCACGATTCCTAATTCCTCCTCGGGTAGACACCACATCTACCTATCAAACTTCACTTGTGCGAGCGGGATCTACGATCTTGTACGGACCGAGTGACTTTCTGAAATCGACCGCCGATCGTTCCTCTGCTGGCGGTCAACTTTGAATAACATTTAAATATCGTGGAACAATGACACGTGACGACTAGGACCTATGGATACCTAGGCTAGGTGAGCCTACGAAACCGCCTGGCGTTTCAGAAGTAGAGACGTATCCTCGTCGCCGCAGCCTACGACAATATTCGCTCCATAGAAATCATAGTACGCCGTGCCGTGAAATACAATGTTACTCAGCACGATGAGATACTCGGCCAGAGCGAACGCCGTGTACATATACGGCTCACAGTGGCTATTGTGCCGATAGAATGTTATTGCGCAGACAATGCTGCAGATGAGGGTTGTCCAAGTCGCTTTTCTCTTGATGGCCAGCGATTTACGATGATTTGGACCGCGTCTTTGCTGGAGCCTGGGCAAAATGAAAGCGCATAGGCACATGTACAGTATCGCGGTCAATAGGAACGTGATGAAACATCTCTCGTGGATCGGGTAGTTTTCACTTGACGAAACCATGGTCAAGCCCAGTAGGCATGTGTCTTCGATGATCTCGAGGACGAACGCTAGGTCTGCCAAATACCGGTACTGAGCGGGCAGATCGTTGCAGTGTAGACTACGATACATCCAGGCGTAGACATAGCGCGGTGCGCTATGGATTCCGATACCCGTTCGCCACACATACTTTTGGGGGGAGAAACTTCCTATGGCAGCGCTGATCGAAGGGAGCAGGTTCGCCACCTTACAGTGTGTTTCCGTTGATTCTTTGAAGCTAAACATCAACGAATACATGACGCAGAATATAAAGGACAACAGCGGAAGAGACACTACGTACAGCGCGATCCGACTCGCGCTGTACGTTATCAGCACGCGCGACATGTTGAGCTCTCAGACGGGGCCGGACGAAATCATGTCGCGTAATCGTCAATCACAGAACGTTCCTCATCGGGCCATCTCACAGAGAACGACCCATTCAATGAATGTGCCTCAAGTGACTTCACCGCTCGTTGGAGAACGAGCCTTGCCCACCAGAAACACCCCTCGGAACCAGATCGGTGTTTGGGATTGGGGATCTTCTGATGGGGACGAAGAAAACTAACGGGCATAAAGGAAAGCGGCGCTGAGAATGAAACGAAACGTGGTAAGCCGAAAAAGTGTCCGGGAGAGGGTCGATATTTCTCCAGTGAAACCCGTTCGGAGCAATGACAGAACGAGAACCCCTCGGAACTCGGGAGTCGGGAGTGAGGTCTTGCGCCGAAAATCCGAGAATGGAATTAGAATGATGTCGATGATCTATACTGACAAGTCTACCTGGCTCGGTCGATAGGTGCGCAAACCGGACTTTCGATATTATTTTTTCCTTATTGAGTCTCGAACTTTTCAGAAGGTACGACTCATTCCCCACAGGTATAGTCTCTTATGGGAGCGAAGTACACGAAGTCATGAACGAATTTCTGAGGACATTGCGAATCGTTACTCCACATGGCGGAAAGCCCTCGACGGCGTACCTGCTTCTTGAGTCCTTCCGCGCTCGACTCCAGTGGCTTGCCGATGCTCTCGAGTATCATATACACATTCTGTAGGCGGGAGCTCAACCGAGAATTCGATTCTCGATTTGAGTCCGAACGGAATATTCGATCTTGTCATCTCAATCCCCTTTCTTCACCTCATTTCCCTGCCGACGCGAATCGCAAACGATGGTTCTCAGATATTGAACATTGATGTTTCGGGCGCGATATTTCCGCACCCATTATATTTAGCACGTCGCTTGTGTTAGAATCTGGGTCCGATTGAATGGGACCTTTCCTCTTCCTCTGCAAGCATCATGAAGGAGTGGTGCATCGAAATTCGTTCGTATCAGTTTCTCAGGGGGCTCATCCATTCGTCAGATCCACTTGCTGAATGAGGTTCACTCCTAACCAGTGACGATACAGCGCGGATCAAGGAGCGAGAGCCGGTACTCTATTCAATTATTGAAAAACATTTTATTCAATTGCTCCCTATAAAACTCTGCTTAAGTATATCGGTCGGTAAAATACGCGAAGCTCGGCCTTCGCCAACGTTGACATCGCTCAGCTGGTGATTGCTGAATCAAGCATCATTCGCGGACTTGTCTATGGCTTTACCTTGATTCAAACTCATTCTCAAAGATGGCAGTTCCAGAACACCATCAGGACTGAGTTCAATATGACCCGCGACTCTCATTCAGTTATGCGGTGGGTATGTTCGCTACGGACCCGGCCATTGCTCATGACGGCGTCGAAAAGGCCGACGAGCGCATGCAACGGCCTCAATCGGTGTACCGGCGCGGCACCTACCGTCCGAGGGTCCGTGGAGGAGTGCGTTGACTCAAAACGAGGCTTGTTTCAATAGGTGCGCGGTCTCTTCGTCCTTCGAGCCTACCACAAAATTGACGCCGTGGAAATCATAGTACGCGGTTGCGTGGAATATAAGAGTACTCAACACTATTGAATATTCTGCTATTGCAAATCCTGTATACATATATGGCTCACAATGACTGTTATGTCTGTCGAACGTAATTGCACAAATCACAGTGCAGATGAGGGTTGAAATGCAGCACTTCTGCTTCAGAGCCAACGAGCGCGTATGATACGGTCCACGCCGGGTTTGAACTTTTGGCAAGCCGAACGCACACAGAATTTGGTAGAAGACGCTCGTGAATAGAAAAGTTATGAAACATTTCTCGTGTATCGGGTAGTCTTCCGTAGACGAAACCATCGTTAATCCCAGGAGGCAAGTGTCTTCGATGATTTCTAGCAAGAATGCTGCATGAGCTAAGAATTGGTATTTCACTGGCAGCTGACTCCGGTGCAGGTTCCAATACATATAGGCGTAAACATAACGGGGGGCACTGTGTAAACCGATTCCGGCCCTCCAAACGAACTTCTGAGGAGCGAAGTTCCCAATAGCGGCACTGATCGATGGGAGTAGGTTGGCTACCTTACAATGAGTTTCTGTTGCCTCTTTGAAGTTTGCTAACAGAGTGTAAATCACACAAAATATGAACGAAAATAGAGGCAGGGACACCACCACCACAACCAAACGACTGACACTGCACGAAAGTAATACTCGGCTCATCGTAAACTGTTTTGCGGTCGCCAAATCGAGATCTGTGGCCTCACGGCCGGGAAAGCACTGAATGTCCCCTTCGACGAACCGCACGAGACGTTGCCCGTCAGAATCGAACGCGTTCCGAGAGTTGCCAGGTTTCCCGGCAAGGATCCGGGACTGATGATGCTACAGATAACAGATCCGGAATCCGGACTTGCTAAATATCTGAAAGTTGAGAGCTGAAAGCCCGACGAAGGCCGGTAGCTCCTCTCCGCTCGATTCCTCAGCGCGCATGCGGTTTCTTCTATTTTTCCAGGAAGGCAGGAAGGGCGTTTGGAAGGAGCGCGGGAACTCTACACTCTGGGCCCGCGCTTTCTTGGGAACGCAATGGAACGCACATTCCCGTCTATGATATTATTGTTTCGGGTCTGCCTTTAGGCAGACGGAACGATTCGGACTTCGATGATGATGATCTCTGCTCGAAGTTGGCGATTTCCTTCACGGAGCTCTCTGAAACAGCCCAAGCCGTTCACAAGTCTCCTGATGTCCTGTACTTGCAGGAACGTACGAGAACCTCAGGGATTGGCTTAGGGTAGGGTAGGCTCCGTCCGCGACTTCAAAAGGCGACTGGGAATGGATGGGACAAGGAATATCAGTCCCTCCGGGCGGGCGGGGGGCTCTGCGGAGAAGTCGCAATAGAAGGATGAAATGAAGCCTCAGAGCTCTAAATAGTCGCTGCTCACAGCTTGACCGCCGACGAAGGGTGGCGGAAGAATATCGTAACAATATACGTACAGGAAAGTAGCCGATGGAGCCGTGTTGCTGAGCAGGCGTCCCCCGGGATCGGGGACGAACGCGTCGGGTGGAAACTGATGCAGTGTCCGAGAATGAAGTTCCTCAATGAGCCGCAGCAGCCAGTGACGACTCGGTGGCGCCTTGTTCCGCTGGCTACGCGCCTTGCGGGAAGGGTACGTTCACCCTGATAGACGCCCGAGAAACTCACAAGCGAAGCGCTGTCGCGTACGTCGATGATGAGGAATCCTGCACGGCTCTTCACGTTGAGCTAGAATCTCATTTGCTGCAAGTGATCGAGCGTGCTCTCGCTGCGGTGAAATTCACATGTGTTGGATGATCCAACCGACTTGGGATCAGGAGTCGCCGCTCATCGACACGACCAGCTGCCGTGAGAGGATGAAGCGGATCTGCCGCGAGGATGGTGGAGATCATATCGCTGAGAGCGTCTCGCTCAGACATCGTTTCTCTTACGCTCTTGACATGTGTCTTCCTAACGATGACTTTCCTCTGAACGAAGCCATGTTCCGCTACCGTGTGACAGGCGGAACTGCTGACTAATTGGGTAATTTCTGAATCCTTATGACTTTTTCCCCGACGCTCGGAGCACTTTCTCGTCGTCACTCCATTCACACGGTGGCCAACGAACGATGACAAAAGTTCGTCGTCCATCGGATATCCGAGTCTCGGCCACAATACCTCGTGAAATTCATCGGGGCATTTCGGATCAGACTAAATGAGCGTGTCGTCGAGCTTGGTCGGGAAGTATCGGCATTTCAGGTAGCTGGATCTTCCTGGTCCTTTGTAGAACTGAGATCCGGATCCTGAGAAAATAGTAGAACAGCGAGGAAAGGTTTCTGATAGCTTTGTAAATTGATTGGCGCCTATGATCTGGAAACCTCCCAGGTAAGTTCGCCGCGAATGCTCACAGCTATCTAATTGAACCTGTCCCTCGCCATCAACGGCAGTGATATCGGCATCCCCTGAATCTGACAAATTAGACTTGCGCTGGCAGATAATAATCGCCTCTGTCGCAATTTATTCTCTGGTGCTTTACATATATTGAGCTGAGGGAGCTGATAAACCTTGTTCCGTTCTCTCTCGCTGTTCACATCTATTTACATGAGTGTTGGAAGTCCATCTCTAGCTCTATTCGCTTCCCCGTGTTCATCAGTCGAGCCTCACTCAGGGCGGGGCCGATGAGCTGTAAACCTAGAGGGAGACCATTGCGCGATAGACGGCACGGTAAACTCAGAGCCGGAAGGCCCGCCAAGTTCGCGGGTTGAGTACAATAGTCCTCGAGGGTCGCCCTCGTTCGATTGTCCTTCTTCGACTAGAAACGGAATTTTGCTTTAGCCCGATGACAAACGTCAAACTTTCATGTTGTCAATATCGCTTATCGGTTCTGGAAAAGTTACCCATTCGGAGTAGAGAATCGCTTCAGTCAGCGTGACTGGTGCGAGAAGAAGATCTACATTCCGGAAGACAGTCTCGAAGTCCGAATAGATCAGACGTCGTAGGCGCATGGCTTGTCTGAAGAACTTGTCGTAGTTGCCCTTCAGGAGGAAGAAATTTCCCGATAGAATTCGTCCCCTGACAACGTCGCTGAAACCTGAAACCCGAGAAATCGAGCCCGTAACCAAATGCAGCTGGGTTTTCCTCGATTCGTTCCTGGTCTGCAACTTTCGACGATCCACTCAACCGACCTTTGAGGCGGGTTTCTGCGAAGAGATCCTCTGTTGACTCCATGCTTTCCGTGCGACAGCCGAATTCAAGCCCATCGTAGCAGGCCAAGTTAGATGCTACGTCGCAGCAATTGAGAACCGAATAACATTGCAGCGAATATTGGGTGTGCGGAAGGCTTACGGCGACGACCTATGGGACGATCAAGTTCTCGAGTCTTCCCGGCTCAATCCACTCACTCGTTGTCGATACATATTTGATGATGACGGGAAAAGAAAGCTCCGGGAGAAATGCAAGAAAGGATCGTCCCCTACCTCACAGCCGAGTTTCTCGAGCAGATCGGCCACATCTGTCCACAGCTTTATGACCTCATCTTGCATCCCGGGGCAGTGGTACTCTTGTGGAATCCCGACCTTTATTTTCGAGAAGGGAGAATAGTATTTTTTTCGTCTTCCTATCAGCCAGCAAGTTTATGTCTCGCTTACCCGGATCCATAGACATGAGATGACCTACCCGGAGACCATTCAGAGCGGGCTCATCGTGGAGTTTCAGGCCCGAAAAATTCGTTCGAATGGTGGTCGAGTCGAGAGGATCGACTCCAGCGCAAATTGAGAACATCAGCGCAAGATCGTCGATTGTGAGCCCGATGAGACCCGGGACATCGAGCGAGTGCGTCAGCGGAATTAGGCCGTGCCTTGACAGTGCTCCGTAGGAAGGTTTCAGAGCGAATACTCCACATCTAGCGCTAGGGTTTCGGACCGAGCCTCCCGTGTCGGAGCCCACCGCTCCGAAACAAGTGCCTGACGCCACCGCAACCGCTGAACCTCCGCTAGATCCTCCGGTGATGTAGAAATCCCCAGCGATGCTTTCTCCTGCACGTTCGTATCTGGAGGTTCCAAGGGGGGATTCGATGATCTTTCCGAGCTCTCTCCAGAATCCATGAGTTCTGCGGTCATGCAGAAGCACACCACCCTGAACTGATTGGCACTACAAAATTCATCACCTCCAAGGATTTTTGCTGGGACCGAAACGACTATCTGTGGCGCCGGCACCCATGGCGAACTCATCCATATTCGTTTTCCCGATGACGATCGCGCCGGACCGTTCCAGGCGTTGTATCACAGTGGCAGTATACCTGCATTTCCGAGGATTTCATTAAGAAAAGGTTTGCCTCATCGTTGAAGACGATTTCCGCTCAGTTCAGTGATCAGACATAAGAGCATCCAGGACATCATTCCAAGGGCCTCACGGGATGAGTACGAGAGAGCTTACCTCGGCACGAAATCTTCCAGCATTTTCGAAGCGCATGTCGTGCGCACACCGGCAGTGCAGAAGTTATCCTTGACAGCGATTGTGACTCCGTCCAACGGAAGGATTTTCCCGCTCTCGCATCTGTGACCACGAGGAGAGGATGAAAGCCTCGAGAAACGGGGACGGATTTCGCCAATGCATGACAATACGTCTCCCGAGCATAACGTACCGCTTATCTCCTTGACGCGCGCGAAGTCTCGCTTTCTCTTCCACAACTGTTATATAAGCGTTCAACTCCTCGGTCTGCTTGATTCTCTGGAGCGAAGCTGCGCAGATCTGATGGCAGAAGAAAATCTTCGAAGTCTCCCTAAATGAATTCGCGATAGCGACACGGAATTGTCACGAACGCTCTTCAGAAGAGGAGGATTATCTGTCTCAAGGGGGGGTTCTAGAGGGAACGGTTACGGTTGGCAGGGGTTATCATTCCGGTAGCTTCAATCCCGGCGGTCGCAGACCAAGCTCACCTCAGACGGCAGCAGCGTTCGTGCCGCTAATCCCCTCGCCACGCTCCCAATCCCGTCCACCAACATCTCAGTCGAGCTGCCGGAACCGTTGTGCGCGGATAACCTTTGGGAACGATAAAGTCAGATATGGCTCGTCGCCTCGTCTCCGTACGTTCCTTGCTGAGCTCCAGTAGAATCCCGCTTATCTCATGATCATCTGGAGGAATACACTCCGACCGCATGCGCGAGTTCGAATTCCAAACTGAATCCCTAGGAGGGGGAAGGGGTCTCGAATAGGAAACGTACGAAGGTTCGGTTACCGCATTCCAGCTTCCGATTCCTTCCACATTCGTGTTTTCCTCCCTCAAACTCGACCTCCTATTCAGCGATGCGAATCTATATCTCTGAGTCTATACAACCCGTTCATGGGTTCTCCAGAGGACACGTAGAATGGCGAACACACCTAGATTCGGGGACGAATTTCTCAGATCAAGGCAAGCTCCAATTCAGTCTTTCTCATAGCTGTGGGGGCCGAAGAGGGGGACCGCCGAAATTCTGAACCGGCGAGCAGCGCTTCTAAGGACGACGATCACCCATTGTGCTGTTGAGCTATCCAAACAGAGGGCTGCGCAGGCGGGAGAGAGTGCGGTGGCGAAACGGTACCCTGGAGAGCGCTGGTCAGAGGGAAAGCATGCGCATGAACAGAGTCCCTCAGATCGTTCGCCAATTTGTCTCTGAGAGGTTCCGAGTCGAGTAAGTAGAGTATGTCAATCGAGAGTTCTCAGATTTCGTCGAAGGATGAATAATACATAGAACATATCCACGGCCGTCGCTGCATAATCCAATGGACTTTATTCAATGTCATGCCTTCCTATGGAAGGAACACGGTCGATTGCGACACCTATGTAGCTAGTCGCCGAATATAAAACTAAGTCAGCCTTCAGTGTTATCACGAAATAATCTGGGACTAGGTAATCGATGTCGTCTCGGATGCAGGTCTGCCGTGGCGAGAGAATTTTCCTCATGTCAGGTGACTCTTGGAGATCACGAGGGGATTCAGTGGGACATGTAAATCTTTCGCATGCCCCTCCTGAGCTTCGATGGAATCTTCCAGATCACATGAAACCGTTTCATTGGACTTCCTAATGGCCAGAACTGTGATTTCGGTCGTTTTGTCGCGTATTCGTAACTACGTACTCACAATTATACTTATTAGTCTACACGAGTTTAACATCGATGCCTCCTCTAGCGGGTCAACTCGCCATCCTTCGAAGATGAATATTTTTACTTTGATCAGCACAATGCAGAGACTCGTTGCCTACGATAAATTGCAGGGCTGATGAGCGCGTTGACTCTCGGGAGGCGGTCGAAAACGTCGATTCCCGATACTCCTAATCAGAACCTGGATCGCTCATTCCATTGAGACTTTCACGCGGCTCAAACCCTAGCTGCGTACAACCGTATCTCGTCGAACATCAATTTCTTTATGGTTTCCCTTGGTAGATTATCGATCTCCATTTCAGCAGTGAAGGGGGTTCCCGCCACTGGTTCATCCGCGGGATCGTAGTATTGCTCGAGATAAGGATGGGCCAGAGCTTCCTCGACCGTTATCCTGAGAAGGGTTACGGGGTAGCTAAGTCTTTATCCTTGATCCATCCCGGCACTCGACCGGAATGCTCGGAACTCATTGCGGTGGAGGATGAACTTACCTTTTGACTGGATTGAAAGTCAGCAGCTTCGCCAGAATATCGAGAGTGGACGAATCCGCCGACGGATAGAGTCTATGACGTGGGAGGGAGAAGGAACAGTTGATGAAAATGTTGATACAGATCGTATCGCCCATGATCTACCCTTCCGGGAATTTCACCTGGCCAAAGCAAGTCATGCTTACCGAGTCCAAGAAATCTTGGGTTTGGCCGGTAAGCTCTGGATATATGTACGAGCTCTCTGATTCGGTATGATATTCAGATCGTCGGCGCTCGGCGTTCCAAGAACGGCGAGGATGTGGCTGAGCTGATCGAGGTAATGTTTGCCCGGGAAAATAGGTTTGTTCGAGATCATTTCGGCTAGGATACACCCCACGCTCCAGATGTCAATCGCCTTGGTATAGCTGAAATTATGAAACACCACGGTGTTGAATCGTCTGCACGATACATGATGGAATGAATATTCCTTTCCTTATGATTCATAGATAACCGGAGGTTGTCCTCGGTGAGCCTCTAGCCGGGCTGGTATTATGAATGCTCACCCTCGCGAATTCAGCATAATTTCAGGAGCACGATACCAGCGAGTTGCCACGTACTCCGTTAGGAAACCTCTGTGATCCAGCTGGGGATCGGCAACTCGCGCCAATCCGAAATCGCAGATTTTCAGATCGCACGAAGAGTTGAGCAGCAAATTACTGGGCTTCAGGTCGCGATGCAGAACATTCGCTGAATGAATGTACTTCAAGCCGCGGAGGATTTGATAGAGGAAGTAGCAAACGTGGTCGTTCGATAGCCTCTGATGCTTGAGGAGTTTGCACATATCCGTGTGCATGAGACACTGGAAAGAGTGAAGGGGCTGTCCTTCATCGTTTCTCAACCTCAATAATGGATTGTCACGCAAGGCTTTCTCGAGATTGTCTTGAAAGGGTTTGCGCTGTGGAATCGGATCCATTCAGGACTGGTTTCAATCACGAACTTCCTCCGTCATCCCGGACGGAACCCATTCAGAGTGGAGGTCTTTAACCGGAGTTTGCCTTGTGTGCCTCCTGCCTTGTGTCTCTATCGAGCTCAATCAGCTGACTTTGACAGCTCGCCGACGGGATCTCGGCGGCATGAGCTCACCTGGACGATGTAGATATCCCTCATGAGGTCGACGGTCGGGGCTCCGAGGAGGTCTCGGATATCGATGATGTTCTCATGCGTGAAGCGAGTGAGAATTCTCATTTCCCGCAAGGTCCGCTGGCAGTAGGTTTGGTGTTCGAAAGGGGAAATTTTCTTGATCGCGACGCTCTCGCCCGTGACTGTGTCTCTCGCAGATCTGGAAAGTAGAGCCCGAAATATTCCTTGGTCACGGATTCCAGCTTGCGACAAGATCTCGAATTCGACAACTTCCTGCTACCCCAGAATAATCACTTCCCACAGTCGGCCAAGAGTTCACGAATGAAGGAGGAATAGCGCTCTTCTCCGCGCGGACGAGAGACTGAGCGAGACTCCGGTCCCGATCTAGGCTCCCTCATATCTTTAGAGTTTTTCCGTAGGGGAATGCTGGGCAGAACAGAACTTATAGCCCCGTCGGGATAAACCAAATGAGAATGGCTCCACAGCAACTTGATGTGTGAGCCAAGACGACTCGCGAGCTGCGAAGCCATTCATTCTGGACCGAACTCCCGTGGAGGCTCCCGGTGGCCTCGATGTCTCCGGGGCTCACGAGGACCATTTTCGTCCACGTGCTCGGAGCAAAACCCGATTGGCCGTTCCCACAAGAGATCCCGAGAGAGCGCGGATCCGCACAGCTGCGGTATATTGCCCTATGCACATCCCATGGAGACAGCGGACATTTTTGACGCCTACTCCCGCTCTTCATCTCTGCAAATTGTCACCATAGCTCGCGGAAGAGCAATTATTCTCGAGCAACATTAATTTCATCTCGGCTGAGCACGATGATGATACCGCAGCCTGATTGAACCGATTCCATACAGCAGGCTGTTTCAAAGTTCTCTCCGGTCGGAATTATGCCCCATATCCAGTTCTGCTGCGCCTTCGTCCGGCAACAATGATGCCACTGTCGGTGAATCCGGTCCGGAAGAACAATCACCGCAAGGAAATCCTACGAATTGTAGGTGATAGGTGGATGGGGGACTCTCTTATAGAGATGCGGAACGCCCCCAACGGTTGCATGAACTACTGTGATTATGCTCTTTCCAGAATGGAGCATAAGGATTGGGAAGCGAATCAAAGTGGGGGAGGTGCTCGCAATGGTTCACATCATCTCCTCTGTGCGGCTCAAAATCGATGCTCGAACATGGATCGCTGAAAGCTCGGCGAGAAATCGCCTCCCTCGCTGGACTTTTTCCAACCGCGCACTGCGCTCTAACTGTTCGAGCGTCCGTCGAATGCGCCAGATTCGCCTGCTCCCGGATCATCGGTGAGCGGTGTAGTCACCCACTCAGCTCTATGAAACTTATGCCTAGGAGAATTGATTCGCGACACTCACACGACAACTCCATAGGCTCCTTCGCCTATATAGGTGAGACTTCTGTAGCGCGGGCCGACTTCGAAGGCTTGACCCTTCACGTACTCGACGCAAGACATCACCACGGTTGTTGTGGGAATGCGGGGAGATTTCACCTACGATACACTGGGAGGGGAGCCTCTTCTGAATTCTATGATCGAATATATTTGGAATGTTCCTTCGGCAGAACAAAATGGCTGTCATCAGGGCAAGGCTCAACTGCGTCCCTTGTCGTCCGACCGTACGGTAAAACACTCCACAAGTGGTGTCAGGATCGCTGTTTTGGTTCTGGAAGAAAAGTCAGTTAGGGAAGGAACTCCGCACAGCTCAACGGCAGGAGATCGTGGGAAGCGCGGCTCCCTTTCCTCGGGCTCTCCTCTGGAGCGGATCGCTCCTTATCATTGATTCGCTCGTCCTTAGCAGATGCCCTCCCTGTCGGTCGGTAACCTTCGGACAATCGGAATGGTTGCCTGTCCTGTCACGGCATGGTCTCATCGCGCTTCTCATCGGAGACTCATCCCCCTTCGTATAATGAAACTTTCGGATTTCTCAGTCGTTTGGGAGCGGCTGGGGATTCTGCAGGCCTACGCCATGTGTTCCCGTGGAGTCCTGAGAGGATTGCCCATGGACAGTCTTCATTTCGTAGGAGCCGCAAAAACCGTGTTTTCCCGGGGTATCCGCCGTCCCGGACGAGCCATTGCAGGATTTTCGGATTCACATACGCATGGGTTTAACTTCATGTCTGCACTCCGAATCCGGAGTGAGGAGAATTCCACTTGCAGATGCGAGGTTTCTCCGACGAGTATTCAGGGCAGCAATAGCGCGGCGTCGTCTCGTGGGATTGACGGCGGCCTCCGTTTGCCCCTGACTGATTTTAGATTAGGGCATGCAAGAGCGTAAGCGTGCGCCTAAGAGGCCACCCTCGCGGCAGGGGATAACGCTCGAGTTGCTCAATCAAGATTTACGGTGAGGGCTTTGAGGAAAGATGAACATTCCGTTCTAAAGCGAGAACAGAGGGGATATCATCTTTGGATCAATTAGGGGATTTTCCTTTCGCGAAGTGCCATGTCAGGAGGATGTAGCTCCTTGACCGGAAGGAAAAGCTACGTTACGTCGTTCGGAGACCCGATCACATAAGGAATATTTGACCACGCTCTCTTATCCCGTCTTACTCGATACGGCTAAAGATGCCTTCAGAATTTCTCGGTGAGATAGCACCAACCCGGCGAGTGTTTCACAATCACTGAGAACCGTAGATATTCCTGGACAAGAACGGACTCGGACTAGATTCGTACCCCCTCCTCCTCCTCCTCTTATCAGGAGACTGCCCCATCGAGCATATTCCACAATATATTTCTCTGAACGACGATCATCGCTTCTTGTCCGTCTGAGTTCCGAATCCCTTCGCCACTTGCGGAACATAATGGAACAAAGTCTTGAAGAGTCTTTCTCTGACGAAAACGTCGACGTATTTCCGGAAAGTGAGCTTCAGGAACTCAAGCACTTCCTGGAATATATCTGGGTCCAACGTTTCGTAGGGTCGACATCGTATATCGCCCGCGCCGAGTACCTTCAGCTGTAAGCGATGGAGGACCTCAGGAAAGTCATCAAAAAATGAGCACGTGGACTTACCATGGCATGAAGAAGGTAATGAACGCTCACTTCACCAGTCTTTATGCGCATATTTCCGCCCCGAATTATTTTCGTGTCACTGAGCAAGGTGATGTTCACTCGCGCTTCTTTCAGCCGACAGTAGAGCTCGTTATCGGAGGTCGAGAGACGTTTTCCTTTCATTTCAATTTGACTCAATTTGAGCGAGGCCAGAACACGTTTCGGGTTCTCTGGGGACCGAGGACACTGCATCGATCACTCTGTTTCGCAGATGCTTCATACTCAAGCGACGATGAAAGTCATTCCCGGGGAAATTAATTTCTCGAACCTTCGAGGAAGAGAGCCACGTCCCCACTTCGCTTGAGAAAATGCGTTTGAGAGAGTTTAACTTGATCTAACTCGAACCAGTCGTCGTAGGTTGACCGGATCAAATATTTGTATTGGTATGGGCCTTGTTGTTTCAAGGAAGCAGCAACCCGGTTAAGCACGTCATCGACATATTTGTTAGCAACCTCCACAGACATGACTGGAAGGAAATCGCGCCGAATTGTATTAGACTCAAGGCTGGAGGCAAATCCGCATTGGTCGTAAAGCGCATAAACGTATCGTCGCCAGCGAGATATGAAGGAGATTGTTGTACGAATCGAGTGGATGATCTCCTAGGGGGTGAATAGCTATCGCACCTGTATCAGCTGAGGTCCCGTCGTCGGAGCGCTCTGGGATAGTACTCTTAAGGCGGCCTGAAAGGAATTAAGATCGCTGCTTAGATAGAATGACTCGATATGGTTTAGACGACCCGGCCGTCCCGGCTCTAGACTACCACGCTTCTCTTGCAGCTCGAATACGTGCTGAGTGGACATGAGGTACAGAGCTTTCGATGGAGAGAAATTCTGACGACCAAAGACTATTCCTGAGAACTTCGCCCGTACCCGATTTGTCATTTCCGTCAGTCTCACTGCGGTGGCCTCTCTCTGAATTTCTTTGAAGAACAAAAACGGCCAGGAGCGTAAAAGTCAAGGCAAGTCCAATGACCAGGACAAGATAGTTGCTATTCCCATCCTCCGACTCATCCGAAGCCTCAGGCGAATCCAAATTATCGTCTTGCTTGAAAGCGTGGAACTATTTCCTGAGTTTGTAATCTCATTCCATGTTGATTGCAATGACGGAATGGGAAACTCCGACATTTACCATGCTGCATGCGGCCCTGACTCCGCCCCGATGCTTGTATTGTGGACGAGCTCCAGGTCGATAAGTCGAGACCGCAGCAGCAGCGAATCGGGAGCAATCTTCGTTTTTCGTCGTCGAGGTGAAAAAATCGAGACATGGGACTCGTGTTTTTTCCATCTTTTTCTCCCTCATTGTCGGCTCTAATTTGATGATCTCCGACTCCTACCACCGATTGCGACGGTTCGGGGAACTTTACCGGGCGGAAGCTGACCACGAGAGGTATCGCAGATGAGTCTCTCATGTTTGGGCTCAGAAAACAACGAATGCCGCAGCGGCTCGCGACGCGGAAGAATTGTCTGTCCTGAATCCGTGCGACCACCCCCCCCCTCGATGCCGAGACGAGGACCTGAACCTTATCCGAGAGATCCGCGAAAGCGTCAGAGATATCCAAGAGAAGTGAGCCACATGACTCTCTCGGGTTACGAATCCACTAGCCCCGAGGCGGCCGACCCGGGAATTTACTCTGTGGAGGTCAGTCGGGGCGTGGTCGCACCTCGATCGCAGAAACTGGAAAGGTCCAGCAGGAGAGCCAGCGCGAGGTCAAGGCGGTCTGCGTCCCTCGATCGCGCGAGAAGGTCGTCGCGGGCGCGATATTCCAACATTCTGCCTCGTTCAAGATCGAGGAAGGGGGCCAGAGCTGGAGGCTCTTACTCCCGACGGTCTCTGTCGCGTAGACGAGCTCGATCAGGTACCGAGTTTGGCTCATCGATTCCAATAGGGAGAAACTCGTCACCGACCCTTGGAGCTCATGATCCCCTTCGAGCATGTTCTTTCTTTCGGCGTTCGTCATGCTTTCAGAAACTCAAAAATATTCCGTTTCGTAGATGCGTCGGATCTGAGTCACATGACCATGGAAATCCTAACTCGAGCGACCAATCTCACCCGAGCAATCGAGAAACGAGAGGCGGAGCTCAAAAGAAGCAGCACCGCTAACGTACTGAGCTGCACGGCGAAAATCTTGGCCGTCATCTTAGTCGGGGTCCTCATAGCGCTGATGCTGTTCACGTCGATGCGTGATCTGATCTTGCCCAGTAGGTTTGAGGAAGTTACACCGGCGATAAGCTCTCATCGAAGAAATTGTGACAGCTTCCTTCTCCCATCTAGCCGCGACGACGGAGGCCGTGTGGCATTCAACGGAAGAAACTCAACAAACGGAAGAGGAGACTACAGGTAAGGACACGACGAGGTCGCCAAAACCTTGCCTGACGCTATCGATCCGAAAGTTTGGCTATTTTCTTTGAGATGACTCGCTCGCTGTTTCCCAGCCACCGAGCCTGAAGAGTACGAGTATGAAGACGCGGCGGGTGAGTTTAGACGGCAGAGCTTATGCTCGCGTGAGCGGAAGATTGGGAGGAACTTCGATCGACCAGAAGTCTGTACGTCGGCTTCATTTCTAAATTCATCCATCCTTTAACAGACATGGTTTCAACTTTTGACAGAGCCCTCGACGACTGCAGCCGGAAACTAGTGGAGAAGCTCCAGAATTGCTTCATTTCTAAGGAATTGCGGACAGTTTGCTATCGAGATTATTCTATAAAGGACTTCACGATGTGCAACCTCGGACTCGTCAAACGTGAAGGGCAACCTGTCGATGTAGACGGTGCTGATCTTCAGATGGCTGAACCATACTAAAAATATCACTCCGACCAAATTCTTGATCCTCTGGAAGCTCTCGGAGCGTAATTATCGAGTTGAACCAGAGACGTTGACGACGAACCCCCCTTCCAGACAAGATCAACTTCACGGCTACATATGTGAACATAACGTTGAGCGGTCGGCGTCCTGCCTTTCGGACACGGAGAGAAGTTAAACTGAAGTGCTTATCGACGAGCGTAGATCTTGTCATGTCGATGAAGCCGCCGGAAACAGCTAAGGGTAAAGCGCAGTTGGTCGCAATCAGGGTTCGTTCATCCTCGTTGCGCTGGTCCTGAAGTCTTCATGTGCTTCTGATCGTACCGAGACGGCGATGATTTAGGCCGGGTTCCTTACAGATAACGAAGTGGGGAAGAGTGATCTGTGAAGATCTCCAGAGCCGCCTCAGCAATGAAGATCTTGAGCGCATAATGAAAGGAGTCACGGCTTCGTTCAAGCTGCACGTTCAGCGATTCTTGTCGACGGAATTCGTGCCCGCCTTCAGAGAGTCCCTCTACTCTCTACTTCAGAGAGTAGAGAGCTAACATATTTCTGAATACGCTGTTCTCCGCCACACGGTTCAAGGATAACTGTGCTGAGGAGGAAACTTGCCTGCGAGACCGGTCGAAGGTTTGTCCCTCAAGGTTCGCTGATGCTCTACATGCTCGGCGATGGTTTTTCTCGATGGGGTAGAAACGACTCTGGCCTCGTTAAACTTGGTCGGTTCCGAATCATTGTAACTTTACGCAGCCCCATCAATGGTCAATTAAATTCCTGATTTGAATATTGAATGAAGCAATCATGATCACAATTCCGATAGAAATGCCCCGGAGCCATTGATATAATAAGGGCTCGATCTAACTCGACTTCCAAGCCGCGATCGCATGCTCCCCTGGTGTCGCTCAAGAGATGCCGAAGAGCCCCAGCTTCCACCGGCGACGGAAACGATCAGCGAACGGTTGACGTCCGGAAACAAGCCTTCTTCTCGTCAAACCGGATCGAGGTGCCCGTAGCGGGTTTTGGCGGGCATTTTTCGAAGCGTCGTCTGCCACCGGGGCCTCTCTCCCTATCACCACCGTTGAGCTCTTTTCGTCGGTTACCGTTGTGGCCGGAGCGGGACTCTCAGGAACCTGCGTCTATGCTATCCGTGGGGAGAAACTTCTGCTCTCTTCCGCGTACAAAGCTGACAATCCCGAATTCCGTCCCCATGTGAGAGTCGGCCTCGAGGGCGAAACAGAGAAGACCACTTGTGTTCCGCTGACGACGCTTCTAGACCTCCGGCATCGTCATGGGTGAAATTGAAATAGTGAAAAACCAGACTTTTGAAGTTGGTCCGCAATACAAGGATCTCGTCTATATAGGTGAAGGAGCCTACGGCATGGTCGTGTGAGTATTTTCTCAAGAGATGTCTGTGTCCAAATGGAATTCCCCTTTAGTTTGAGTGAAATTCGGAGCTCGGCTTAGCGCTTTCAATTGGACTCTCTCCGTGATCCTGAGGTTCTGGAGTGCTTTGTGGAATAATTCTTCCTGCGGTGAGCACCTGTTGCAATGACCTTGGGAAATGGTCCGTGCAAATTCAAAGCTTCGATAATTTGCATGTGAGCATCTTGAACCCTTTCCCGTCGCGGAGGAGAGAATGGCGGTTGAGCTGGGATTCTCACTTCGGAGGTTTACTAGTACCGAGACCATCGGGAGAATCTGCCGACGAAATTCGTTCCGTGACAGAGAAGACTGCAGAGAAAACAGCACCCTGGGATTTCTCGGACCGAACTTCCCGAGCCCCGTATCGAAGCTCATCGGAGTGCTCGAAGACGAGAATTCCGAATAGAAACAGAAATCCGTCTGCTGATAAGCTTTCTCAGGCGTCCCATAGGGCTAATGCGTCCCTTGTATTGAGTGATTCTCGCGAGCTCGATCGGTGCACCGGCCCAATCGACAAGTGTACGACCCACTGAGGAGGAAGGATCTCGACGATTTCTTCAGTTCTTGCTTCATGACGAAGCCGGCTCCAATCAGTGCCTCGACCCGACACTAACGGACCCGCTCGAGCCGAGACGACTTGCTCTACTCTAACTAAGACTTGGAGTCTGAGTCACGGATACGATCCCGTTGGGCAGTACCCTCCATCGGTGGCGTGGTGTCTTCGCTCAAATCGAACTTTGCATAAGCAATTACCAACTGGAGAAACTCAGATTCTGGAGATCTCGAATCGATCCGAGAGTCAAACTCAACAGGATGGGGGTGATCGAGGTGGTCAGGGGCCAAAATTTCGAAGTCGGACCCCGTTACGTAGATCTCGCCTATATCGGCGAAGGAGCATACGGATTAGTCATGTGAGTAGATGTTCCATATCCGCGCACATTGGACCTGTCGCTGGGAATGATTAGTTATCCACGATGCGCCCAGAATGAGAGGCTTCGCCTCTGGCTTCTCTAGTCTTCCCACGCTGCATAGTGAGTAGATCAGCGCAGCATCTCTCGAAGGCTGCCGGTCGATTTACGACGCTCGAATGCAGCCTCCGTGTTGCGAGTTCGCTGGAATGATTTCCGATGCCGCTTGCTGGAATGACTTCAGGGAGGATCTCGTTGTCGGGGGGCTATATCTCGTCCAGCGAGAGCAAGTTCCAACGAGGCAGCGTCGCTCGCGGCCTCGTCGTGCTCTGTGATAACCTTGTGGAGAACGGGAAGCCGGAACAATTTCGTTTCGTTCCTTCCGGAAAACTGATAAGGTCGAAAAGTGGGTTATCCTGGCTGATAATTCTGGGTCAACGAGTCCGCAGTCGGCTGAGCTGGTTTTCGTCAGAGACCTGGAATCGAGTGCAGATATACGCTCGCATACGACGATCGATTTCTCAAGCTCCTCTCGAGGAATGACGACAGTCGTCTGATGCAAGCTTCGATGTCCCTTGTCGGTACAGATGTGGAATTCGAGCCTAGATAGCTGGAATGACTTAAGAGATCGGCTGATTCCTTCCTGGATTGGAGGTTATTCCTGAGGGAGATTGGAATGAGCGCTCGACATGGAAAGCAAACCCCAAGTTCATTTACGAGGATCCTGATTCCTTAGTAGTGCGCAGATTTCTGTTATTTTGCCAACGTTCCCCCTGAGCCCTCTGATGGTATTGCAAACATAGATCTTCATGGCTGAATCGACTACATGTAACGGCTGTTTCGACCTGAGAGACGGGACGAGTCAAGCCATCCCTCGAGGATAGCTCAAATGGCCATGCGCAAGCGGATGGCCGGCTCGGAAAAGCTCGAGTTCTCCCCGCAATATGAGGAAGGCTGTCGCTATTCCTCCAACACCACATAGAGTAGCTGTGAGCTCGGACAGTTTTTCGGACATTCCTCATAGGAATTATCCAGGCGTCCGATGCACCCATACGACATGATCCATGTTAGATGAAATGGTTGTGTCGCCAATACTAATTCCGGGCATTCCTCGGCAGCTCTGCGAGAGACACCACAACCAATGAAAAAGTGGCGATCAAGAAAATTTCCCCGTTCGAGCATCAGACCTACTGCCAGCGAACACTGAGGGAAATTAAAATCCTGACGCGTTTCCGACATGAAAACATCATTGACATTCGAGACATCATCCGAGCTCCGACCATCGAACAGATGAAAGATGTCTACATTGTTCAGGTAAGCTGGAACTTCGGAGTACAAGGTTCATGGCCAGCGCCCTTCCCATTAAAATACTTCTGCAATTTACGCACAACTTATCGGTAAGCGAGGGTATGTTTCCGTGGATCGTGGAACTTCAATGCAGCCGGAGCTCCAAACTCCGTCGAACTCATCAGGGATTCCGTTTCTCCAATGTTTTAAGGCATATGAGGGATCACGGGGACTATAGGTACAAAGAGAAATCTTTTGTTTGCAAGGGTGCGAATATTCTCCTCACAGACGAAGCTCTCGAGTATCACGGGGTCGCTGGAGCTCCGATTGATATGCAGAGTCAGCGACGATAGCTCAGGGATTCGAATCGGCCGCCTCTGCGACAGTACATTCCGCCGCGCCTTACGATGTGTCTTGTGGAATTTCCCTTCCCCGATCCTTCAGGAGTCTGACCTTGGAATATTTTGCTCCCTCTTGCAGTGTCTCATGGAGACGGATCTGTATAAACTCTTGAAAACTCAGAGGCTGTCCAACGATCACGTCTGCTATTTCCTCTATCAAATCCTCCGAGGACTCAAGTATATCCACTCTGCGAATGTTCTGCATCGAGATCTCAAACCAAGCAATCTGCTCCTGAACACCACCTGCGACTTGAAGATATGCGATTTCGGGCTCGCTCGTGTCGCTGATCCCGATCATGATCACACGGGTTTCTTGACTGAGTACGTTGCCACTCGGTGGTACCGTGCTCCTGAGATCATGTTGAATTCGAAGGGGTGAGTTCTCTTGCATCGTCTGCAATACTGGAAACGATGAATATCGTCGGAGGGATACTTTCCGAGGACGGTATTTGGCTATCTGCCGATCGAAAGGAGCTGTCGGAAATTCGTTAATCGTTTTTCTCCGATCAGTTACACGCAGTCGATAGACATGTGGAGTGTTGGCTGCATCCTCGCAGAAATGCTCTCGAATCGACCCATCTTCCCTGGAAAGCATTATCTGGATCAGCTGAACCTCATCCTGGGCATTCTTGGTTCTCCTGGCCACGAGGATCTGAGCTGCATCATAAACGACAAGGCTCGCTTGTACCTACAGAGTCTTCCGGTTAAGCCGAGAATTCCATTCCAGAGGTGAGATTGTGCTCGTCCCCCTTCTCGAGTTTGCCCAGAACCGACTATATCGAGAGGGCGTCATTTCGACCCCAATCTTCCATTGCAGATTATATCCCGATGCAGACCCCAAAGCCTTGGACCTCCTCGACAAGATGCTAACATTCAATCCCGCGAGACGGTGAGTAATCAACACGAGTCAACTCGATCAAGGGAGCGTCTTCCCCATCCAACGGAGATCTAACGCGGCCCTTTTCTGTGTTTCGGCAGGATCACAGTGGCTGATGCGCTGGCTCATCCATACTTGGAACAGTACTACGATCCAGCGGATGAGCCTGTCGCCGAGGAACCTTTCAAGGTCGAGATGGAACTCGATGATCTTCCGAAAGAGAAACTCAAGCAGCTCGTCTTCAACGAGACGAATTCGTTCAAGGCTCGAACTGATGGCGCTCGTTAGTAGAAGTGTAATTCACGAGAAGCCTCGGCGATGATTCTGACAATCGCTCGTTTGTTCCATTACAATATCTGGATAATAATGTAGAAATGGTGGCTCATTTGAGCACGATTCAACCAACGGATATGGGAGATCGACCTCCACTCTGTTGTATAGTGTATATTTGTAAAATGGAACGATTGTTCATAGCGTTTCGAGGTCTGCAGTATTTGTTCTCTATTGTACCATAATTGACGCTTACTTAACGTAGCGCTTCGATCTGTTCAAAATGAAGGACATTCGACTTGGAAAGCCGCAGGGTCGCGTAGTCATTTTCGAGCAATGATCTAGTTATGTCTCAAGTGTTTCATAGGGGGACGGTCTCACTCTTCCATCTAGATCCAGAGCCCCACCATTCGTGGACTAGTACGCCTGAAGGCTCGGGGTGCGATCGACTGATGTCTCTTCCGCCGTTGCGTTGCTTGCGAATAACACGATTGAACTGTGGTGTGAGTTGTCGCGAAGCCGCTCTCAAAGCCGGGAGAATGACACATCTCCTAAATAAAGAAATTCTCGCTCCGATATCTGGCCTCAATATGTACAGTATGACTAGGGCTTGACTCTCGTCGCGGCTTTTTAGCCGGAAATTCGCAGCATTTCCAGGCTCCCACAGACTCTCTATGGGGGAACGGCCCGCAATGCGACGAACATTGCGGGCGCTCGATGAACTTATGTCGCCCAAAGGCATAGGTTAGGACGTCAGTAGCCTCCCAAGCTCAGCAGTGATTCTTCCAAATCCCATCTTCCCTCAATCCCGTGGATCATCACCCGCTGGAGCTGAAGGTTCCCCGTCGCAGACGGAACACTTCTCCGCTGATTTATCGACTCCGTCCACCATCATGGATCGCGAACGGAAATTACCGATCGCGGAGACCTACACCAGATTCGGAGCGAAACTCCGAAAAAACTGGACCGTAAACCCCAAGCGTCACCAGTCTGTCGGCGAGAATCCTAATCGTTGAATTGTATCAAGCCCCGCATGTGGAACGACATCGACTACCATAATTACTGCCTAATAATACTGAGTACCTAGGATCAAAACCACAAACTCTCACCTCAATGGTGTGAAATTTGACAGATGAGAAAGAGGGTAGTCCGATTCGGCGCGGAATCGTTCGAGATATCGTGAGATCCGAACGAGTCCGCCGAGAAAAACAGCGACATCACTTGGCAAGAGAAACCACCGAGAGATGAGACGTGGGATCTCGGATAGATCTCGATATCGAACGCCATTCCTTTCCCTTGGTCAAGAAAAGAGGTCGATCTTAAGCCGCATCCATGTAGTGATGAGGGAAATCCCGAGACCACCGGAGCTGCGCGTTTCGCTTCGGGATCTTCCCGTTCTCTCGACTCCGGTGCGTAGTTTGATCGCCAGCAATACGTAGCGAATCTTTATCGAAGAGACAGGTATGGCGAAAAATACCAGGCAGCCGGAGCGACGAAATTCGGATCGTGTGCCGGGCTCGAAGAAGGAGTCCACTGTCGCATCTCCTTCCCCCCGGCAGGCTGTACGATCAGCTTACGATCTTTATATCTTGTTATGTACCATCGATACCATTGTGCACTGCTCGACACACAACGGAGCCTCTCTTACTGCTTGGTGTACATCAGCCCAGTGCTCAGATTCTTGCGAGTTATGAGTTATGAGTCGCTCATCAGACCAGAGACCGCTGCACTGAAGTCTCGTTACAATATGTCTAACCCCATCCATGGGCAGAGATCTACTCTAAGGGTCGGATAGTCCATCAGAGAAGATCTCTGCCCATCTCTGAGTCCTTTGGCGTGGAAAGATCTGAATCGCGGTCAGATGACCATGGTGCGGTCGGCCTCAGTCAGGAAACGATCAGATCGTTCTGATCATGATGCGGAAGCAGCCCGTGAGATACATACTTGTTCCTTGTTTCATGACGGGTAATCCCTTTGAGAATTCATGAAGAACTATGATGAGCGTCGGGCAAATGGGATGAAATGACGGAGATGCCGAACATTCTGGAAGCTTCCGGGGATCTCATCGAAAGTCTCATCGGCGCAATTTTCATTGATTCAGGTCTCGACTTCACTATCACTTAAGACGTCTTCCGTAATCTGATCTGGGATCGAGATCTCGTCGGTACACTGGAGCAGCCTTCGTGGAATTCGATCTCGACACTTCAATAAAGTTGCCGAAGCGGTCGAGAAAGCTGCTATCCGACAATATCGGCTTGTAGAAATCGTTCTCCATGTAAATAGCCAGCGTTTCAGTTTTCTTTCGAGATATCAGAAGAACGCTAAGCTCATATTGGCTAGGATGGCTCTGGAGATTTGTCAAGCTCTGAAAAGTTTTCTGTGACGATAGCGGAGCTGCTAAGTGCGCATCATGGACCTTCTATCCGAGTCTCCTGGGATTCCCTTGCTCCCCATTGAGCGAGTCTCATTTCTCATTTCAATTGGGAGAGAAGCTGCAAAATTTTCGATGGTTCATCTGGGGCCGAGCTTTACATGCCTGGAATAACAGAGGCTTGACAGGAGTTGGAGAATCGCTGCGGTACGGTTCTACGGGCTACGGACACTGGCCGCAATAGGTGTAGCCGGACGCACTGCAGACCACAATGACAATAAATCATGACACCATTCCGTCTACCGGTTTCATCAAAACATCGCGCAGTCGTCAGCGAGTATTCAAAAAACCTGAGTTCTCGTGGAAAAACCGATCGTTCCATCGTCGAGAGGCATCACCGGAGTGGCATCGAAACATACCATGGCCTGTACAGGTATTCATGGATGCCAGTGCCAAGACCGATGAAGATTCTGGTGGGCGAAGACAACTCCAATCGATGGCAAGATTTCGTCCAAACGTTCGCCGATTACGCTTCAGTGGACGAACTCTACATGGAGGCACCCGCGGTACAAATAGCCAAGTTCAGAGCGGTTTTCGGTGATGAGAACAGGTCAGTCATACGGAACCTCGAGTCAGAACCAGTCGCGAACGACGAGGCAGACGAGCAGGGCCTAGCACCACGCAAGGGATTAGAACATATCTTCAACGCCCTCGAACAACGCTTCAAATCACACCGTAATGTGATCTACCAGCGATTTCGCCTCTACAGATTGGAGCGAGCAAGCAAGAGACAGCTAGGGATTTCTACGACAGGGTCGGTGAACAGTTGAAGAAGTGCGCGTTCAATCACGACAAGAGAGAAACGCCGAGAGACATCCTTATTATCGGAACCAGCCACGCCAAGGCCCAGGAGGCTCCCTCCAGGGAGGATCACGCGAAACTTGACGCTCAGAGTGCGTTTCGGATGATTGGACAACGGAAAAACGGTGAACGCGACTACGCGACTCCCAGTGTATCGTGCCTGGTGACACGGTTCGCTTTGCTGAAAGGATTCGAAAACAGAACATTCACATTATAGCTGCCTCCGACCCTTAGCTGCCCGGCTAACGCCACGTTTTCGCGCACTGGTGAGGAAAAAAAAACGGTCGTTTCGGCTCTCGAGCCTGTTCCGGCGAGAACGTGGAGTGCAGAACGGTGTGAGGTGCTGTGGGAGCAGAGGCTTTGCAGTGCTCGGGGAGTCTTTGGAGCAGACCCCGCTTTTTGGAGGGACCGAAGTCGAAGGGAGGGACCTCGTGTTTGAACTTACGGTGAAAAGCACAGTAAGTATCAGACCCTTCTCGCAAGAGTGAACGGGGGTGATTCAGAGGAACCGCCAAACCGACTCTCCCGCTGAGAAGAGACCCAGTCCTGTCTCGGGTTCTTAAGTTGCGAATCAAAGGATTCGCGGAATCAGACCTTACACAGGACAGAGTCGACCTGTAGTGAACCGCGGCGTTTGTCATTCATTACGACTACGGATCCGGCAAAGTACGAACTTTTACTCTCCAAAGCCTGAGGGAGTCAGTGAGTTTCCCAAAGAGACTTGGGAAAAGACAGTTAGGGTGTTGCGGCAGGTTTCGTTGAGCGCGAAACATACGTACAACCGAGCCTTGAGTTTCTGCTGCCCGGCCTGCTAAGTGGTAATTCAGACGTACACAGATCCAGAGGGATGCTGTGCAGTCGGGAAGCACGCCTCTGTAATGAGGACGTCAGTAGAGAATCTCAAGCTTGAGATCAACAACCTTCGAGCGCACGGAGCGCACTCGTTGTACGAGTCCTGGCAGACTTGGAGCACGGGAAGGCTCGCTCCGCTGCGCTCCAAGAGACCATGGACCGAATGCTGACCGCGGCTCTCTCTGAAGGGATCACAAACTTGGCCCTGAATCCGGCCTTCATGACCCCCGACCCCACATACTCAGTGATTGTAGGTGACCACATCATAAGAGGTTGCCGCGTGAAGGTATTGGAGACCTTCGGCGGCCTCGAGGCGTTCGGCCTACGGAAGACGGAGGTGGACGCTCCTATGGCCGAGTGCAGATGGGCAGAGGATGTTCTCTTCGAGATCCCGAAGCGCGGCGTCAAGGTCGTCATCGCTGCTGGCGCCGCTGACACTAAGACGGCTCAGACTAAACTCCTTCCGATGGAGTCAGCGCCCGCCGAGATCGCGGAACGACTGTCAGAGCTATTGGCGTCGTGTCCGCGAATGAAGAGCAGTGCGTGGCTGACAATGCTGCAATCCCTAACCCCCTGGGGTTTCTCGCATTCCCGCGAAGGGTTGCACAGACTCAAAGCGCATCTTTCGGCCAAACTCAATACATTTCCGTCTCCCTTGGAGGAGCAGAAAGCAAAAATAGAGGAGAGGAAAGCGAATTGGGCCCAAGAGAAGGCTGACGCGTCCGCTATGATAGAGGCTGCCAGTGCGGCCAAAACTCAGGTCCTTCCGAAGAAGAACCAGAAAGTGGAGAAGCATGCCCAATTACTGGAGCGCAATACGGCTCAGTTACGGGGACGCACCAAGCTGGCGAAGAGACGGATGGCTGGTAAGAAAGACAGCGTTCAGTCTCTGAAGCAGGAGGCGGATGAAGCGCAGGGGCGATTCAACGCTGCTACTGCAGCTGCAAGAGTGGGGCCCAGTCAGGCCCGTCAGGACTTTCTAAGAGACAGTCTAAGAAAGGTCCGGAATTCCGTGATTGGTGGGACTGCAGCTCACCTAAAATTCCCGACAGCATGCAGGGTGTCGATTCGGGTGAGCGTAATGGAGCAACGGGCACTTGGTGAATGAGGGGACTTGTTAAATAAATGCATTTTTCAACACATGAAAATTGGTGTATTGAATCTGTACGGAGGACATGCTTCCAACAGGGCCTTACTAGAACAGGAGGTCATTCGGGGCTTGGACATAGACATACAGTAAAAGCTCGTTACATCGACCCCCACTACATTGAATTTTCGTCAGAGCGGATTTTGAGCCCCTTTTTGTGTGGCTCGCCGTAGACGCAATGTTGAGAAAATCTCGATAGAACGAATTTCATTCGAGCGAAAAATTCATATCAACGAGTCCCATGGACCGGAAATTTCTGGCGAAACAGCTCGTTTCTACTAATTCCGGTCGTTTTCTACCGCTCCGGCCATGAATCGTCATGCCAAGATTCGAACAACGCGAATGAGATTCGACGTTGTGAGTGCAAGCGAGACTTCCGAGCGCAGAATCAGCTGATGAGCGAGATATCAGTTCGGCACGGGCACGGTTATGCTGCTCCGCGGGAAAACTGTGCGAAATCTTTAACCTTCGGTGGTGAGGTCGGGAATTCGAACTTGAAAGCAGGCCGAAGCTCTCTCGCCTCGATTGAAATCCGCGACTTAATCCTGCCCCTCTCAGCGAATGGCCTCACAGCGCAAGCCGAGGAAATCGTTTTCGTTGGGGTTCAAGTCAAGAATTCTCGAGAGGGTGGGGTCGGGTCAAAAGGATATCGGCATAGCGGCCGAATTCGGCCCAAGCAAGTCAACTTTACTACGACTTCCGAGTCGGACTAATCAGGTATGGAATCGAATACCGTATTTCTTCTGAAAGACTGCTATGCCCGTTCATTTTTCAATCTCCCCGGAGGGTGCTGAGGTAAAAGTTCTGCACGGATTCCCGCGAGCAGTCGAGTCCGTCATTCGTGGATTGAGCTCACGGTATGACACACGAATTTGCATTTGAACTTCCGACTTTGAACTAGCCGTCTTTGGAGCCGGTATCGAGTCTGACTTGATCCAGAGATATGCATTTACATGGAAGCTCGGTCGCTCGCGCTGGGAAATTGACTCTGTCGAGATGACTGGAAACCTTCCTTCATTCCAGAGAGATCGAAGCGCAACACCCGGCGTTCCCCCACCGAAGGCGATCAAGACAGAGCGACTCCGCGAGCGGCGGGTCGATTTCGAAAAGCCGACGTACCATTGAGCTGCATGCGTTACCGATGAGCTAAATGTAATACTGCTGCCTGGTGCCTATCGTCGGAGCTTCTTGATGGGCAGCATTTCAATAAAAACGTGAGCGAGTGCACTGCGAGTATTGGACTTTTTCGAGCTGGTCCCTGATCGCATGCTTGATACGCGAGCCAGGCGACTTGCAGCAGCAGTTTCCATCGAGGCGTGAAAAGGGAGCTGACGACATTCGCGATTGCAAAGGAGAGTTCACGACTGGGATTCCCATTCACACAGGCTTGACCCCGTAGCGCTTCCGGAGGTTGTCGCCACCAACATCCTGGTCGGCATTCCTCGGATACCTAATTCGAAGACTTTCTGGTGTTTTCTGATCTTGGATCGAGTGTCACAATGGCAGACGTTGAGCTTGTCCGGACGCAGAGTTTCGAAGTGGGACCGCGATACAGGGACCTTGTTTACATTGGTGAAGGAGCCTACGGAATGGTCGTGTAAGTATCCGTTCATTTTCAACACCTCCGTAATTAAAATAGGATGACCCCCTCCTGAACGGAGCACGAGTAGAGTGTTCGATTCGTCAGAGTCATAAATCACTTGTCGAATCACGGAGTGAGCGGCGGTTTGGATGGCGCCGTGTCACTCGCGTGTCCAGCGGCACGATCGCAGAGCTAGGTTCAGCGAATTCGAATAGTATAAGTACTCGACCAGATATTCGGCGAGCCTGGTTGAATTGCGACTGGTCTATTAGCGGAGAAGAGAGTTTCCGGACCCATTTCCTACACTTTGAAGAAATCGCCGGTCGAGGACAGGAGAGCCTCATGAAATCATTTCGAAGGCCTTGAGCGCAAGACGATTCACGGATTCGGAGCGCGCGGCTCGACTGGCGGCGAACGTCTAGGCTTCCGATCTGGTCGGCTCCTTATTCGGCGTCGTCGGTGAAGCTGCGCAATCAGTTATCGAGGGAGCCCGATGGAGCGACCGATTTCTGACTGTGAGGAAACCACTTGCGGTCGCGATCTAGTGCCCGAAGCATATTCCCGCGAGCTAAAATAACACCGTGGTGTCTATCGAGATTCCGTCCACCGCGAATCCGGAGCGTACTCGAAGTTTAGGCTCAAACTCGATATCGCGTAGGGATGTGCCAGTATAGTACGATGAGCTCAGAACGAGCGAAGGCGATTTAATCGAGGAACAGAACTTTCGGGTTGAATCTAGATTCGACGAGTCGACCCAATCAATGTAGGAGGAGCCCACGGCATTGACGTCTTCGTGAATGTCTATCGAATCCTGGTCGGCCCGATCCCATTCATGAGTCGGCGGGAGTTCTCGGGAGCTCAGCTCGAGTTCATCGCTTCAGACTAGCATACAAGAATGGCCCTCATGCGAGAATTTGGATCATATATTCTCTTCACGTTCCAAACTGCTCCCTCGTCGATAGCGGATGGGCGGGACCTGCGAAGTGAGCGTACTTGGAACGTTCCTCACCAGGACTTCGACTAGTGGACCACTCCATCGGTCTCATCTCCCAATCTCTGAAATTCAAAAGAGGTTTTCATGTTGAAAGTAGCGCAGGAGGAATGTTCCAATGTTATGGGTTGGCAGGTTGGCACCCATCAATCTAGAACTAGCGCGTCCGGGGAGACGAAGCTGCCCTGATTATTATGCCGCAGGTGGATGGTCTGTATGTTGTTTGAGGGTCTCTCCATCTGAGACTCATCTCGCTGAGATCCAGCGCTCAGTCGGCGCATAAGGTACGCTCCAGGAACTCAGGAAATAGAATCGGGTCATCGTGTCCATCATCTTCTTGCTAGTACATACAAATATAAGATTACCCAAATAGTACTGGGACCTCCAGTACTCATTGAATAAACCCCCCCCCCGTCGCTAATAATAGCTATCGGAGAAAAGTGAATAATCTTCTGATTCCCCTCAGTCTGGGGGGACTCTGTGACTGGGATGGTCCCTTCAAGCGTCGCAAGCGGTCTCCCCGTAAAATGCGGACACTCTGTTTGTCGGCGAAGGATCGTCTATCCCAGCTTCTCCATTCATTGTCACGAACGGAGCGATCGTCGATCTTTCCTAATACGCCCAGTCCGGAGTAGCGAGAATCTCTCCTGAATTCTCGGAAGCCTTCGACACGACGGCCGTCTCGTTACCAACGCAGCTCTCCGACTGAGTTAGACAATCCGGTCGGGTGGGACGACAGCAGAAATCGCCGATGCGAATCGGTTCTAATGTCATTCCGTACTTTCCTCTCACTATTCCGTGACGCGTCTCCATGCAAAAAAAACGCGGCTCCCGGGGCTTCGGTCGCCATACGGAATCAAAAATTTCCAGGAGCCATGGAAACCTTCCACGGAAGCTTCCCGCCGTGGGTAGGAGCAGGACTCGTGAGTGGAATTCAACTCCTTCCGCCATTGTGGTCTCGGGAAATCCGATTCGCAGAATAGCTCCACGAACCATGTGTCGTTCGAAGAACGCTTGTGTAGGTATGGGCTCCATGATGGGTAGAGATTGGCCCCTGTCTAAAACGGCTGGGTTCTGGACCCTCCGACGTGCTTCGTAAGCACGCTGAGCTCTTCGCGGTAAGAGGGAGAATATTTTCTTACGCCCACGAGACTGACGCGCAGTACAGTCGACATTCTAAGTAAGCAAATACACAGAGCAGACACGCGAGCCAATTTATTGCTCTTAGCAACGTCCGAGCTCATCGCACTACGCGAATCGCAAACGAGGGGCAAGAACTCCTTATTCGGATGTATGGCCATTCTTCAGGAAAAGAGACAGGACAGATATTTCATTGAGATCGTCCGCTTCAGACCAAGAACACTGGTCGATGGTACGGGAGTCCAGCGGGATTCCACGGAAAGAGAGCGGCCTCCCACGAACAGCTGTCTAAGTTCTCAAGGGTCAGCTCGGCAGGATGAATCCACTTCCTTCTCCGGCAGAGTGATTTTGCCGAGGGAAGAAGAACTCGTCCTTGCTCAGCCTGTCTTGAAAATACATGAAAGAATTTTACTTCCAGGTCTGCTAGAGACACCACAACCAACGAGAAGGTTGCCATCAAGAAGATTTCCCCTTTCGAACATCAGACTTATTGCCAACGAACTCTGCGAGAGATAAAGATTCTCACACGATTTCGGCATGAAAACATCATCGATATCCGAGACATAATTCGAGCGCCCTCCATTGAACAGATGAAAGATGTTTACATCGTCCAGGTGAGTTCCCCCTGGTGTGTGCGGTGTGCTCCTCGGATCACAGACAATTGATACGGAGTTTTGTCACTGCCGGCATGAAAGAAGCCGCGTGGGACGTCTCCCGCTCCCTTAACGCGGGGAAAGCCTCTCTTTCTCTCTGTTCATCGTATGAGACCCACCTCTTTACTCATGTCGGAATTTCTATGCCGACTACGACGGAATACCGATTTTCGATAAGATGGGACGCATCCCTCATTCATTTCAAACGGGGCCGCGTCTCACACGCTGGGAAACATCGTGATATTTAGGAACGAATGGTCTCAATCTCCGAGAGTCACAGGAGCAGTGATACGGCTTCCGAGGTGGAATAATTCCTCCCGAGTTTCGGTTCCTCATCTTTGGGAGAATGGATTAAGTTCTTCTTTCCCTGCCCAATCAGACACTGAAGGATGCTCAGGAATTCCTAGAGTCGGAATCTTCCAATACTAGCTCGCGGTACTTGGGGAGCATCCATATTCCAACCACAACACTTTAGTGCCCTCGGCCGCTAAATATTGCTCGCGGTTCCGGTTTCCGTCGAGCGTGATCTCATGGGATCCTAACCTGGGACGGGGTATGATACCCAGGAGAAAGGAAGAAGAACGAATATGCATGAGGGACTAGCAGGAACTGAATTTCCTCATATGTAGCTGGACAGCGCTTACCTCAGGCTCCATCCCGCGGCTTTGTCATGGGGAGCTTGCATGAATTTCCTTCGGTGCTGCGGCCGCGAGGCCGAGAGCCGGGTGCAAGGGGAAGGAGGAATTCCGCGATTCCCCGAGGCAGATCCCTCGTGACTTCATGTTTGATATTCAGCCTCAGCGAAGGGCGATTTTCGAACTCGAATATTTCTCTTATCTTGCAGTGCTTGATGGAAACGGATTTGTACAAATTGCTGAAATCCCAGAGGTTGTCGAACGACCACGTCTGCTATTTCCTCTATCAGATTCTGCGAGGTCTGAAGTACATACATTCGGCAAACGTCCTCCATCGTGATCTGAAGCCTAGCAACCTTCTGCTGAACACAACTTGTGACTTGAAAATATGTGATTTCGGACTGGCCCGTGTCGCTGACCCCGATCATGACCACACGGGTTTTCTCACCGAATACGTCGCTACCCGGTGGTATAGAGCTCCCGAAATTATGCTTAACTCCAAAGGGTTAGTTTTGGTATCTCCTGGCTAAGACTGAAAAATTATAAGAATTCGATCTCCTCATGCGACACTCCCCTCCTCGCGTGACATGTTCGACCGAGCTTCGAAAGGCCACCAGTCTTGAATGCTTCTCTCCAACAGCTACACGAAATCGATAGACATCTGGAGCGTGGGTTGCATCCTGGCCGAGATGCTATCTAACCGCCCGATTTTCCCCGGGAAACACTACTTGGATCAATTGAATCACATCCTCGGGATACTCGGCTCTCCTTGCCAGGACGACCTGAACTGTATCATCAACGAGAAGGCTCGGTCTTACCTACAGAGTCTGCCGGCCAAGCCCAAGGTTTCTTGGGACAGGTGAGTGGTGTTTTTCGGCGCGGATCGCAAGATCATCGACCCTAAGCATTCAAGACCTATGAGGATTAATTCATAGGATCGCGAATTCGACCGCCGCCGGGAAGCTGGAGATCTCGTGCGATCGACGTTTCCGAACATTCGTCAGAAGGCCTCGAAATTCAGCATCCAGACATATAAGGCTCAAGACAACACTGTCTGTTTTCTAGGCTGTATCCTGAGGCAGATCCGAAAGCTCTAGACTTGCTCGACAAGATGCTCACGTTCAATCCTGCGAAACGGTAGGTTCGAGATATTTTCCAGAGGTGATGATCGAAATCCCTCCAGAACATTCTGATTCTTGCCGTGTCGATGATGAGAAGCTTAGCGCTTCCTGAATTTTGCAGTATCACCGTTGCGGATGCGCTCGCTCACCCATATCTCGAGCAATACTACGACCCTGCCGATGAGCCCGTTGCCGAGGAGCCGTTCAAGGTCGAGATGGAACTCGACGACCTCCCCAAAGACAAACTGAAGCTCCTTGTTTTCAACGAAACAAACGCATTTAGAGCGCGGAATGAGGGCGCCCGCTAATATCTCGTTGTTGATCTTGAATCGGGATACCGAGGACGGCATCCCAGAGTCTGACTCGTTCTACGTTCGGGTAATGGCGCTCTCCCCTCGTGGCGATCGTGCGGTTTTTCATACGGCTGTCCTTATCGCTCGAGATCAAGAGGAGCTCCGCTCGTTGCTCAATCACCGCGTCCGAAGCATCGATCAGTTTACGCTTCACCCCGCCCCCCCTCCGTGCCGTAACGAGACGGCCATGTTGAGCAACGAATGTGTACATCTGTACATTTCTTCATTGTTGATAGTGCTTCAGGGAACGTATTGAAGTCTTCGAGTCGCACTTGGATAATTCTGCACGGCCAAGCGCTTTTGCTTCGGGTATGATGTTCCCCAATAATTATTAAGAGTCGTCATCAGTTTTATTTGGAGTCGTCGAAGACTGGTTCGAGAGGTAGGATACTCAACCCCCGTCTTGCTAAACTGAGGAATACCCTCGAGTTTTTTATCAATTAGAGCTCCCGCCATAAAGCTTCAGGTTCCCGCTCGAATCTGGCTACTTATGCGAAATCTCGTCTGAATCCCGCATTCCCCTAGCAGGACTCCTATGAACGGACGCATTCCCCGGACTCGAACATCAGTTTATTTATCTCGTTGGACAGATCATAAATATTCTATCAGGGTGGCCAGTCGTTAGAGCTTGCTTACCGTCTCGTCGACTCTGGAGTTTTGCGCAGCTATAGATGTCTCGATCGAATGTGAATTGTTCCCGGCCGCGCACCCGATCAGAGCCGCTTTCGTCTTGGGACCGTAGATTCGAGGGAATTCCTGTTTAACTGGCTAGCATTTGAGCGCACATATTAATTTGACACGCTTGGTTCGACTCCGAGAAAGCAGCAGTAGCTCCCTTCAGGCTTGTCCTTCCGACTTCGGAGTCGAACAGCAATCAACTGCACATCGGAGTCCAGAGAACTCGTTAGTCGGCTTCCTCATGCATCCGTCCCTGGATGCAAATCGTAGTCTCTGAGGGCGAGATACTGTTACTCGATATCTCAGCATCTTCACTGCACGGCGCATGATTCGGCTTCCGCTACCATAGTCCGCTCGCCCATCCACTTTCAGATATTGTAGAATGCATTTCACCGGATTATTCCGAAATTCGTCCGGATATATATATATTTATATATAAATGATGATGAATAAAATTGACTTTCTCCCCTTCTGAAATACACGGATCTCGTTTAGGCTGTTCGCGAGTATTCGAGGAGGTGAACATGGTAGGCGCAGAGAGAGATACGACGGGACTTAAGTTCATATCATGTCAGGATTTCCTTTCAACAGTTCCCACAGCTCGCATGCCTTCGAGCGCGTCCCCATTACTGACGAGATGGGGCTGCGGGGGCGGCGACATGAACTAACCCGTCTTCCTTCCAAATTCTGGCAGGCTAAGATCCGTGATCTCCTTCCTCGGATATCGCACATGTGTTCTCCATGACCCCGGACAATTTCCTGAATGTTCGGCGCGAAACAGGTCAGCCTCGAGCGGGGCCCACGGAGACGCCCGGGGGCACTCTGTCGTCTAAAGGACCTGCTTCCCGAGGAGAACTATTCGATCGCATTGATGCACGACGCGACCCGGATCTGGCAATCGAATGCCGAGTATCGAAATTCGTCACCCACCCATCGGTTATGGCACCGACGATGAATTTCGCCCTGCTCCTCCGAGGTTGTCGAGGCAACCGTCGGGGTGTACTGCATTATTCACCATTCAATACAGGCTACATAATCGATGACCAAGTGCTTTTGTGCGTCGACATCAATGAACTCATACTTTATTCTCAGCTTTCGAGGGTTCGCACAGGCACGGCGCGATAGGGCGGCACTCCGCAGGATCCATTCCACAGCGGATTGTTTGAGCGTGCGTTGGCGGTCGTTCCCTAAAAATTTCTCCCTCTTGCGTACAAATCGACAATTCATCAGAAGATTGTGAGCAGCGCGAACACCCCGTAAACTAGCGCGCACGGGTATAGGACCAGCACCTGCTGGTGATCCATTGATAAGGCCGTCACGAAAAGTTTCGAGGCCGAATACGCGCACCAGATGACGGCGACCAGGGCGGACGCGGTTCCTGAATAGAAAGCAGTTTCAGAGAACAGGCTCGAATTCGAGAAAACAGCATTGATCCACTACTGGACCATCTAGACAGAAATCGAAAGGGTTAAGGTCTAGAAAGGAGAAGCTCACCAACTGTGCCCTTCAGGGATATCACAATCGAGATTCCCGACAGGAGAACCATGGGCAGCAAGCAATATCCTAGCACGGATATCGTTGTTCCCACGGATATGCCTTCCTGAGACATGAGGTTGAGTAATGTGTACAAAGACAGCGTACCCACGAGTCCCAGGCCGTATATATACCTGGAGGAACGACATGTTTTATTTATGAAAAGAGGGGCCGGAAATTTGCCGAGGACATCATCAGAGAGACTCAAATTGATTTCCGACTGAATCGCTTCTTCGAGGATCTTCGTGGTCAACCTACCCAAAATGTATTTTCCCTGCCAGCATGAGGAAACATCCGAAAGCCATGCAGAATACCAAGGGACCAGCTAAGTCACATTCATTCAATACGTTGGCTTCGCTTTTCCGTAAGGGATTCAGGACCGCCAATGTTTTATCCCATATGTGGTCGATGTTGATACCGAGCTCTTCGAGGAGCGGAGCTTCGTCTTCGTATTCTCCTTGTTTCTGAAACGATGATTTTGCCTTGTTATCTCCCAAGGAGTCGTGGGAAAGGACACCTTGAGCTCTCTAGTATTCTTCATCGCGTTCAATCAACTCACGTAGTCATGGGTCATGTTACTAATGTCCGGAGGAAGCGGTTGATGTGCAGATGGGTTCCCGGACCAGGGATCGTAATACATTGGGGGCGGCATGGAGTCCATTCTGAGCGAGTGGAATCTATGAAATACGGTCGTAGAGAATTGAATTCACTGACAGTGCTAGTTTTCCACGAGAGTCAGAGAATTCTTAGTCACGGGAGTCACAGGAATGCCCCTTGTTTGCCGCTTAAATGGAGCCGATGAGTATGCCCCGGGCTCCGGACTCCGGGATTCAAGCCTCGAGGACGATCAAAAAAACATATTCCAGCGACTGTCAATGCTCCGATCGAAAGGTCCGAGCGGAAATTCGGTGAATGACAACCGGTGTCTCGTGAATCGTCGCCACAGTCACGTCTGAGGCGTGAGCCGGAGATTTAAGGAAAACTAGTCCCAATACCTGAGAGAGATCGAAAGGCGAGGATATAGTGTCTTTCCGGAGGATATCTGAGAAGGAGCAACAACAACACAGCTGGTTTACACTCGGTTCTCTGTGCCTTGTTGGCGCTAAACAGACAGGTTAGCGATTCTCGCAGTCCCGACGAGAAGCTTAGCTCAATGGCGCTTATTCAGAGAGCCGTCTTTGTTGATGTGTATATCCACGACGCACCCGAAAATCAACTGGGACACAGAGATGAGCGCGGACGGCGAGGATATTTCGATGCTCCGATTGGAGTTCCGCCAGACATTGATCTTGCCTTATCACCGCTTGCGAGATTCCATAGCGCCCTTGTGCTTGCCGATGAGGCTTCGCGGCGGATCAGACCGATGAGGTCGAATATATTTTTATTTTCTCGACGATGTGGAATTCTGAAGCGATCGTTCCCGTCGTTCCATCTCTCGCACTCGGACGCGTGGGAGGACCCGGAATCGGATCGCGGTGATGATCGTGACGACAGCCGTAGACCTAAGAGAGATCGGCGAAAGGGAAAAACCGCGAGCCACGGGAGCAAAGACAAAGTAGACGGGGCGCCGCCGACAAACACTGAAGACTCGTCTTCGTCAGGCGGCGACCACGATAAACCTTCTGTGAGCGATGTTATCGGAGCCAGGTACAACACAAGACTCGTCCTGGCTTATCGTATCATTACACTCACTCGCCTGGATCATGCCAAGGCAAGCCTCCACCGGGCGCGCGATTTACATCACCGGCGGTACACGGAGAAGATTCTTGGGAGGGTAATGAGGCATCGCTCCTGGCAGGCTTGCGAAATTTCTAAGACAACTTCCTGTCCGTCCTGAAGTCTCCTGTGGATAAAGGCAAATCGACGGTGAGCGGCACACCCGAAACCTCTGATGGTACCGCGGCCGCGGAACGATGACTATTGTATTGCGATTTCTGTCTAGGAACCGAATCCGGGAATCAGGAAACTAATCAACCCGGAGAGAAAGCGACGTGTTCCGACAGCGGGCGTTCGGGACATCCGACGCGCCTGCAGTTCACCGCCGTCGTGACCAACAATTAGAAGCGGTAGAGGTGGATCGATTACGTACTAGACTATTCGAAGCATCATATCGGTGGACGAGGCCACTTCATCATGAAGCCTAGCCTCATACTGAGTTCTTTGTTCGCCAGGGGGCAATGCATACCCCCAATGTAGGGCAATGAAGAGTGCAAAACTTGTACTTCATGCGGAACCAGTGGAAAGATGACTGACGTCTGCGACCGCGGATGCCACATCCATGTTATTTGTTATCCGAAAATTTTTTACAACGGCGCGGCGCAGGGAGCAGGCGCGTATTCGGGGGGGGGGGCATTGGCCCCCAATTCCCATGACTCATTGTGCTTTCCAATCTGCTGAAATAGAATGAGACGCTGAATCCATATCACTCATTCATGGTATATACTCGCTTCATCTTCCTGATTCCATTCTGCAGGGGGAGCAGGGATCAGAGCTTAGATTCACACGAGGAGCTTCCGGACTGCACTCTCCGTTCGGCACCCGGCATACTGTTCCCAATATTGCTCCGACATATCCTTCAGAAGTCTCCGAATGCCGAGGTTCGAGGGCCGCTGAAGCAAGAGATTTAGTAACTCCTCGACCCCCTCCCCAAGAGCTGCAGTCATCATCTAGATCTGGTGGACGACTTTCTAGGCTCCGACCTTCGGGAAGGCAAAGCTGGATTTGCCCGGATCAGTGAAGCGCTCGCAACGAGGAGCGAATTCCGCAAGTCCCTATATTTTCAATGGGATCGAGAATCGACTGTAGATTGGATGCTCTGGAGTACGTTTGCCCATCATTGAAGGTCTCGCTTGAGAGTCCAAGTAGCCTGAGCAGCTCGAAATTCAGAATTATTGTCGTCTCGCTGTGAAACGCGGGGTGGGAGGAACCCCGCGGTTCCATGTAGACTATCTCGGTTCGATTCAAGTCCGGTGCCGCAAGAATGGGCCGTACCGCCCCGCGCCTGATTATCATGGCAAGTTGGATTCGGTGAATCAGTAATTCCCAGCATCAACACTGACCTCTACGTCGAGTTTGAGCAAGAAACCCTCTATCACGTGGGCGACGTATTGGCGGGAAGGAGTCGTCGAGGAGAAGAGTGGCACAGCGAGGGGCATAATCGCTCCGAGCCGGCAGATGTATTCAGCTGCGGATCGCGGATTCCCCGAGATGCTGAGCTTCTCTGCTTTCATCTTGAGCATACTTTGCTGGCGCGTCGGTGTATCTGCAACTTGACAAATGGAAGGAGATCGAGGGTCAGGGGCGTGGGATTTTTTTTTCGGGGAGGGGGAGCTCCCCCGTGCGTTTTCTCACGCAGTCGTAGCTGCTATTCCCTACTCTCCGTTTTTCTGTGTTTCATCCGTCTTCTCCGTGATTTCCCTATGTCCCCCGTACTCGCCGAGTATTGGATTCGAACCAGCAACCTCCCGCTTGACGCGACATGGGATTTTGCCGAAATGGTTCATTGTGGAGTCAGAGCCGGACTCGGGCCTCTATTCCATTCATTTAATTGTCTGATACAGCTTTCACGCCGGGGAACCAGCAACCATGGAGTAACATAGTGTGAGCCGTCAGAATATAGCTTTAACCGAACAAGTTGCCAGAACATGCATGGGTCGGACCTCGCGTGAAGCAGCAGATGGAGCAAGTGGTAGTTTTGCTCGAGCGCTACAGGCGTAACGATTCCCATCAGACCGAGCGCTCGTTCCCCTGTCGGATGCCGACTCCCTACTCGAGTATGCTATGTACGTCATGCATCCCCATTCGATCTCACGGCAAGAGGGTTTCGATAACAATCACATTACACCCCAGTCGAAATCCCCCCCATTTTCTTTCGATAGGTGGTTATTTAGTCATTGTATTACGCTTCGGGTGTATTTCAGTAAAATACACGCTCGCAGTGAACCTACCTTACAATTAGTCCGCGCGACAGAATGGATGAGAATTTCGATCGATAGCAATGAACCTGATCTCAAACTTCAGCTCAACTCTTCACGCCCAGCCGCTAATCTCGTGTAATCAGTACTGACTGGGCTTTCTGAAAAACCGCTTCACCGGGCAACCGCGGTTCTTGCCTGCGGCTCCATGCGGTCCCCCGCAGACGCCCCATGTTAAGTGGGACCGCTATGATTGGCGCAAATTATCGCGGTCCTCTGGAAAGCATAGTACCGACTCTTCGATGGACTTCATGCTATCCCATGACTCCACTCTGCTCTACTCTATTACGCAACTGCAGAAACTGTCATCTTGCGCTCTCGGTATCGATCTCCAGTGTCAGTGTACTCCGGTCCTCCTGCCTCCGCAAGTTGTACAGTAAAAGCTCGTTACAACGACCCCCATTAAAACGAATTTCTCGTTACAACGAACAAGGAATTTCTCCTCCTTTGGCCAGCTCGCCATGGGGATAGTGTTGAGCGGCATTCGTTACAGCGAAAACTCGGTACAACGAACCAATTTCGTCGGTCCCTTCGTGTTCGTAGTATCGAGCTTTTACTGTACTCGAATCGCGACGCCATCTTGCGATGGTTCCAGCAGGGGGGAGAATTGCGAACGTCAGCGGGGAAGTTTCAAGTCATGGAGCCCATCCCGGGATTCATCGCGCTCGAAAACTTGGTGATGGCTTTACGAAATGAAACGCACCGTCTTCTTCTGAGCCGTCTCTGAACGAATTTTTGAGAATACGGGTCGCTCCTGGGGCTCCCTGATCCACTCAATCACGCGAGTCCAGTGCCTATTCGTGCAGGACATCAGAGTGATTCTTCCTGATGCATCAGAAGATTGAGTATCGCACATGAACCACCATCGGTGTCTTTCATGTAGCCTTCAACAGGAGACCACGACTGGTGGAGAGGAGATTGATCGAGAACGACATTCGAGAAAAATCACATGAGTGTCTTCTCTTATCGTCTTTCCTCCTGTGTCCGCATACACTCCAATTTGTACATATGAAACAACCGAGAGCATTCCCGCCAGAGGGACAGCGCTGGTCTCGCATCCAAATCTGCGGAGTACAATAGAGCGACGCCGCGCGAAAAGTCCGCAGAGAGTGCCCACGGCGCAATAGGATTCGAAGTTCGTTCCGGGATTCCCTTGCTTTTCGCCGTAGATCAGTTCGACTTCCGAAACAGCTCGATAACTGTGGAAACGAACGATGGATTTCAAATCCGGGCTCGGAGCCGCGAAACTCCTGATGAGTGAACGTCGCACACAGCGCCACCCCCGTTCAGCGAACAACTAGACACAAGGAGCCCTCTCCGCCTCGTCTCTTCGCCGCTGCCTAGCTCAATGGTCACGAGCCGGGCAGCAGGTAACTGCTGCTGCCACCGCGGACGACCACCAGCAGCAGTCAGCCAGCGAGTGAGTGAGTGAGCGAGCGAGCGAGGGACGCTACTCTCTGTGTGTGGTGAAGAGCCGTGTGCTGCTGCTGCATCCGTTAGCTGTGGTGGTAGTATGTATGTATGGAGTGAGTCGCTGGCTCTGTCGTCGTCGTCTAGAGGTAGGCTGCCGCGGCTACTGCGACCACTCTGATGGTCGTCCATAGTGTGTGGCTGCTGCTGTTGCTGGAGTCTCAGCACAGTGAGTCAACGAAAGACGACGGCAGTGAACGAAACGTCGTCATAGACTTCAAGTGAGATAGAATCCGGTCGCTCCATTGCGACAGCTACCGTCGCTGCTGGCTCCGCTGCTGCCGCTCCGCCATTGAGGAGGCTGAACCGCGAATTGTTCTTCCTCTTTGATTTGACATGTTGTCGTTCGCTGGCTTGCCATTCCGTTTGAAGAGAGCTACTTTGGACCACGACGAATACCATCGCCGAGGAGCGCATCATCGACAACAAACAACGGAGCGACGGGTGCCACCCCAGACGGACCGTGAGCTTGTGGTGTAGCTGCCGCTGTGTTGCCAAACACTGTGGTGTACTTCGATCGAACGAATCGCGAGCTTCTACTAGCTGCCAAAGGCAGCAACGATCAGTCGGAGAACGCCCCGAGGGCACCCATCGATTGAGGGAATAGACCAAGACAGTCAGTGATAGAGTGAGTGAATGAGTGACTAACCGAGGAAGTGAGGAGTGAGGTCAGTCAGTCAGTCAATCTGACGGACCGACCGACCGCCGACCAAGCAAGCGACCGAGCGGACGAAACATGAGTTCCAAGGTGCCGTACTACTATTCGGAGCTCACGCCCCAGGAAAGAGCCGAACGGGCGGCTCAACAACAACACAATGGTGAAATCAACTTGCAAACGTCTGACACCAACGCCAATTCAAACAATCAGGAAAGCGGCTTCTTCAATCCGCTGCTCAACATCGGTATGTCACAACTGCCATTCGATGCTGGTCTGCGCTGCTGTTTGATTTCCCCTTTTGAAAGCGTCATGTCGAGCTCACCTGCATAATAGCGCACCCACTCCCCCCGCTCGTGGTTTCCGTGAACCGCTTGTTTCTGTTGTTAGATGCTAGATGACGATGATCAGTGAAGCACCGAGTCGTGTGCGCCCTGCTTGACCGACGGCTCCCCTCGTCGACTGATCCTAGCGCTAATTATGTCCTGTGCATCAGTTGTTGGTCAGGCTATTCTTCGATAGATTGGATGGATTATTTGACCCCTACACAAGTTCCGATGCGACGGGTGTCATACCTCGGTCATTGTTCGCTTGCCAATGGCTCCACAGGAGAAAGTATCCATTTAGGTAGATGCGCGAAGCTCAGCTCGGTCCCCCCTTTTAGCATGTCTCTTAGCACGGAGAAAAAATATCCGAGAGATCACCAGGAAAAGCCGACTTCCTTCGACTTCCTCTACCTGCGCTGCGTTTTCGATTCGAAAATATCCGCGGCTGAATCGTGTCGATGATTTCCAGCGCTCGTGAATTATGTTGACTCTCCCGGGAAATCATACGTCGAGTCTTTAGGCTCTTGGCTCATATATCAGATGGCGCTAGTCTGGTTTCGCTGGACTCGATGTTGGCCGCTTCTTCCATCGACAAGAGCGTTCCGAACCCACTTAACGAACTGGAAGAATATTATCAAACTCTTGGACTTTTAGGAAGCTTCGTCTATCTCGGGGGGAGAAGGCAACGGGAACTTGCTCTGATTTAAGGCCGATAGCTCGAGTTTATTCACGGATCAACTCTTGATTCCGGCTCAGTGGCTCTGTTGCTCCGTTTTCAACTCCGAATGCCGAGCTGCGGCCGTCTGAGCCCATGAGCCCGTAATCTCTGCCGATCTCGTTCTTCTTCTCCCCGTATTCTCTGAGGCTGGAAATCGCCGGAAAAAGTTGAGGCCGCAAGCCTTTCCCTTCAGCGTGAATCCCAGGGTTTGGAACATCTCGCAGCCTCTAATCTCACGCGAGAGCACGGACTCTCCGAAAGCATGCGATGATGCTAGCACCTGCGAGTTCTCCGGAAAATCGTTCACAGCGCTTCTCGGAACACTCGGAGAAGCTTGTGCCAAACACCGTTCGACGATGAAGAGACTCAGAGAGCTGCGCCCAGCTGGGGCGTTGCGGTCGGGTTTCGGTGAATTTCGACGTTGTCTTCTGACAGTCACGTTCGAGTCTTCCGCTGCGTCACAGGTTTCGTTGCGTCTGCCATGCTTCACACGGTAGCCTTCTCTTCAGTATATTCATTAAGAGAGTGGCTTCGCGGTCGTATCCGATGGCTTCGACAATGACTTCGATGATGATTCAAAACCATGATTTGCCATGCGTCCCGCACGGCTCTGTCGTTGCGTGATTGGCCATCACGTGATAATACTGCTCCTTACGAAAGCTAATCGCATCGAAGCGGCGGCGATGGCAGCACGTCTCCCAGTTCGGGGTACGAATGTACGAATGGAGGATTAGCTTCGTCACTTGTGGTCGAGAAACGATCAGAATTTTCCCGGAACGATCATCTATTCTCTGTCCATGACCCAGTCGCAAGCATAATAATTGAGGAAAGGGGGCAATTCAATCATTCGGTCAGTGATCGACGGCGAGAACTTCCTCTCTCTGAGAAAATTCCCGAGCGAGGAAAGCGAGCTTATCGCAAAATCGGAAGCGTGCTCTGGCAGAGGAAGTGCCGACGCGTGTCGAGCCGATGCGATGGTGAGAAGTCTGACAGCAAGCAGGAAGTTCGCCAAAAGGGCTCCACGCTCCACTCGATGCTCTTTCTGCCTATCTCTACTTTTCATCTGCTGATGTCAGGAATGAAACTAATCGCCAAAAATGAGCTTTCGATTGATTTTCTTGAGAGGCGTCCAGCAACGATCTTTCAACGTTGTTGTTGGTGGCGGTCCTAATGACGTCGATATCTCCCCGCTGCCGGCAGCACATACTTTTCAATGGCGATCGTATCAAGTCTGTTTCCATTTACATATCTTATACCGATTGACCGGTTCGCTTCGGTTCCCCGGCTCAAGAGTAGAAAGCTTCCGCGGGGCTCGGCCGCTCCATTCACGACCGACGAAGATCAAGCCGTTGTACGCCGCATTGAAGAATTTTCTGACCGCGGCTTCTGCGTCTATCGCGATCGGCTCTGTTGTTCTTCTTTTCGCTTGAAGTCATCCGATGATCCGAATTATTTTCATCGAGCTCTCTCGACAAGCGGTTTCATGCTCGCACCACGGGCTGCGCGACGGAATGTGGATTGCCGTTCTCCTCCCGTGTTTGGCCACGCTGGGGAGTCTGAGGACTTCGATAGAGGCTCCCTGAATCCCAGAGCTATCGAGAACGGCTCCCGAATCGAGGCTTCCGAACTCGTTCTCCTTGTTTGCTCCCCCAAATCGTGTAACGTCTGCACGGCCGACGAGCGAATCGCTCAGATCACGCTAAACGTACTTGTCGGGGTAGGTCCGTCTGCCTCCCTCCTCCTCTTTGCCGCTCGCTCGTGAGCTAAACTGCTCGACAGTCAATGAGTGAGTCACATACAGGAAGGAGCTCTTCCGCGCGGGGGAGTCGACATGATCAGGAATCGTACGGGAGAGTCCGCTGTCTGCTGATAAATGAACGCTCCGGCTGCGGTATACAGGCCGGAGCGTAGCCGAGTCACGCTGCTTCCTTTTTGATTGGCCGCGTTTCCGCTGCCGGCAGGCGTATTCACTTGTCTCTGCGAGCTCTCCACGCGTCGTCGAGTATCGAGTCTCTCGCTCTTGAGCGAGCCTTTCACTATCGAATCGACGCGAAACACCACTCCGCACTTGAGCCGGGAAATATAGGGAATTGAACCTTCGCTACGCATGTGTCACTGTCGCGCGCAATCGCATTGCTATTTATATTCGTCCGTAACTTTTTCTCACGTGTACGCCGCGGCTCGATTCGACGCTCGCTCCTTGCTTGAGCGGAGCGAGCTCGATGAAGCGGAGTCAGTGCATGAGGTTGTCCCTCCTCACCTCGATTATTGAAAGCGCTCGGCCCCCTCGATAGCTCCCCCACCCCCGAACCCTCCAACCCGAATGTTTCCGGTTGACACCTGTCTGCTTCGAATGCTCTTCTGCTTGTTCCGAATTGCGTCGCAGAAATCAAAGTTACCAAGTTCTGTTTTCTCATTACAGAACCTGATACCTCGGGAGCCCCGAGCTCGTTGACGAGCAAAGCTCGAAAGAAAAAGACTCCTGCTAGCACCGGTAACAGCGCTGCCGTGTCGACCGTAAATAGCCCAACGAAGAATATCTACGGTACGCTATTTTGAGAAGTCAATAGTCCTCCGAATGCGAAATTCGCGACTTTTTCGCCTTGGCCAGTTCGCCCTGGTCCTCGCTGAGTCGAGCGGCGGCGTACTCTGCCGAAATCGAACCCTCCCGCGAGAAGTGCTGACAACTTGAGGAAATCTAGGCGACTGTAACCGTAGGGCTATCTCTATCGGGGACTATGGTGGCGCTTCTGTTCCCAACCGTTGGGCGATCGAAATCTTATAGCGATGGAATTGCGATCGGAGACGAGAAATAAGTTGGAGCTGTGCTATCTCGGAGTTTTCTATCTGGGGCCCAAGACGCCACTCTTCCGAAATCGGATCCTTCTGCGAGTGATTCCCGGGGCAAGGAGCGCAGAATTGAACATCGGGGCGCTTATCCTCGATGTGTGATTGTGATTAATCACTTTCCCCCCCCCCCGCCTGATCTGCGGTGAAGGAGATCATCCTAGCGATACGTTCGCAGTTTCTACGGGGAGCGACAACGGCGGCACGGCGTGGGGCCGCTCGTATGCCCCAGCTTATCGCACGCCCTTTCCTCCATCTGGATCCGTGGTGCTGCGTTTTGGGTTGTTGGAATTTACCGAGGCAGAGAGTGGTTCTATTCTCTTTGGGCATTTGGAGTAGAAGACCTTGAAACCGGCAGAAAGTTTTCCGTTCTATTGCGAGCCTCGCTCATTGCATCGCTCTGCATTATTCGACTCACGGATAGACAGGTGGAATGGCTTAACAGCTGCGGCCAACAGGGGTAACGACTCCCCGCGAGCATCTACGATAAGATAAGAAGCGGAGTCATGAATATGCGTTCCTCAACTTCCTCCTCATCCTCTGGGTGGATGATGGTCCGCGGAGCATGTAGGATGCGGCAAGAAAGATTAGCGAAAGGCTGGGGCCCATCGGTTTTGGCAGACTCAGCCGAATATGCACAATAGTGTGAACAATATCTAGCTCGATTTAAGAACGACGAATCGACATACCAACATCCATCGTCGGAAATTCTGAGTGCGACTTTCTTGCCGATGTAGCGATCGAGAGCAGCCCAATATTCAAGTTGGAATTTTCGTTCCAGGGACGACCGCCGCTTACGCGAAGCAGCTGATTTTCGGGAACAAAGCAACGAAGAACGGGAGTGCTTGTGAGTTTTGATCACTCATTCCATTTCTAAACTCGTTTGTTGAAACCGTCTGAGTTACCGGATGTCCTCGTCGGTGTTGCGCTTCGAACTTGACATTCAAAACTCCTCCGCTTTCCTGAAAGTCACGGAGCTAGACATATCGAAAGCTCGGCGCAACTCAACTTGGGGACGCGCATTGTATCGATCATCATAAAATCGTTGCCTTCACCTCGGGGAGCCCTCGTATGAATTTCGTGGCGAGAGCTCCGCGGAGGGAACTGCTGCAAGCATAAGAGGCCCAGCCGATTCCGGACCTCGTAGTCGAAAAATGACGCGCTCCCGGAGAGAGGATGAGAGACTCCAAGCTCGGAAGTTGCCCGAGCGTAGGAAGTGCTCCATGCTCGGTCTTATCGGTTCGGAGGACGCTTCCCGCCATTCGCGTCTCGCACCATATTTGAACCACAGGTGCTGGGTCCTCAACACGCGAGATGACGATTTGATTCCGAACCACCCGGATGCTCTCACACGTAATCGGGAGGAACGGTTGCCGAGTTCTGTATCAAGGAGAGTTCCTTCTTCTGAATAGGTTTCTCCCGTGGGGAGAGAAAATCACTCCTCGAGGATCATAAGAAGTTCCGTCGAGGATGCGCGCTCAGGCGTGCCGCGAATGATAATAGGTTCCGAAGGATTCCATGCAACTGGTTGGAATTGTCCATTTGAGAGTTTCTGATTTCGAAATCGTTTAGGCCGTGCGATTTAGTCTCCGCTACCTCCTCCTATGCTTGTGCTCCATGGCCAACGTGATGTGAGACTCTCTTCTTGTTCCTCTGTTGAGAAACCGTCGCCGAACTTTCCACAAATGCCGTTTGAAGTGCTCCCTCCCGGGGGTACATCGAGTTTCGAAATACTCCGGGCAGCCTCGCCGTTTCGTTCCTTCCCTCGTTCCGCTCCGATGGATTCGGGAACGCTCCCCAAGGTTGGGCGATCTCACGTACCTAGGTGTGCATCCGAGCGCTCGAGATACTTAATTGAAATGAAAGTCGAGTTTTATCTGTCCCTGGAGATCGCGTTGGAAGCCGATGCGACCCGAGTTTTGACTTGCGGTCCCCCGTTGTTCCGACATCTAATGAAAAATCCTCTCTAAAGAAAGCGGCTCTCGCTGCTTCCGCATGGTAATGCAGAAAGAAGCAAGCAGGGTCGGAATAGAACGAGAAGAGGCTCGCCGATCATTGCCCGGCTCCTTTGCAGTGACGCATTTGACTGACTGAACTAAATGCTGGCAAGAGATTTTTATCCCCGCTTCGAGGGATTCCGGGCTTCCTTCTAAACGTATGATGGTGATGATGTCTGTTTAGTCACATCCGGGGACTATTCCTCTGCGTACTCAACGTACGGGGGAATGGGCGCGACAGAGCCTAGCATGACGTTGCGGTAATTAGCGTTCGAGGGAGCTTTCGCGGAGCTCCACTTGAAATCGGGATGCCTGCAGCAAGACTCTCCGTACGAGCTCCTCTCGGGGAACAGAGGGAACTTTACCGATCCGATTCGCCTGAGAGTCGACCGGAGCCTAATGCGACAGAGTTTGAGAGCCATTGCAGTCCGAAAAACGCGGGAACTCATGATAAATTGTGGCAGGAGAAATCCGGGCTGGAGCTAGCGACGTCGAGATGGCGGGCCCTCCGAAATCGCTAATAATGACGCTTGATTTCGACAGCTGGAGGAGGAATGAGACATGCGGAGAGCTACACGTCGAGACGCAACAGCTCGGAGCCAAATATTTATGAGGAGATCGGATCCACATGCTATTCTGAGTATGGAATTCCTCAAATGACCCAGCACGGACACTCGGGCATGCAACCTCAGGGTGAGCTTCGGAGGGGATTTTTTTTCGCTCCCAGTCAGAATTGGAGCCTTCATTGACTTCTTATGGCAGTAGTATCGATCTGCTCGCGTCCTTATTCTCCTCTGGCTCAGGATCAGCTTAGTTCCTATGCACGATCGATCGGTAGTTCGGTCCTTGCGAATCGCTAATGAAAGATTTGTTCTCCGTCCATCAGGTGTGTGCGCCGAGGTGAGCCGCGTGGAGGAAAGTCACGCTCACATCCTCGAGAATCTCAATCTGGAAGTGGAGTCGATGCTGATGCCTCCTTCGGACCAGGCGTCACATCATCTACAGAGCAACGGTTCGAACGGAGTTACGACACCGAAGGAACGTCCTGAAAGGGAACTCATCAAGCAGCAGAGTATGCCTGTGGGCAAGATACTCACGAAACAGAATGCGCTCTCGAACAACGTTTCGTCGGGCGCGGATCACGTGTACCAGCTGTACGATGACGGCCATAAGGACAATGACAATATCTACGAAGAGGTCGACATTTATCAGAGACAGCTGGGTCTCGCCTCCGGTGGAGGCGTTACGGGTGTTGGAGGGGTTCCGGAGCACAGTCTCACTAGATGGTTCTCGACCAGAGCGAGGAAGGACTCCAGAAGGCTGGCTTCTCAGCAGAACCTCAATAACCTACAGCAACAAAGTCAAGGTGATTCTCGTGGCCGAGTTTTCAGCAGCCGTTCCTTGAAGAGATCCCCGGTCGTAACTCGACAGAGAGGGAACATTCGAAAGGTCTTTGTATATGGCCGAACTCTTGGTCGGATACAGCCCTGGTAGATTTTGAGATATGAAACTTCATTCCAGACGGCTGCAATGGTGGCAGGGAAGGTGGGGAATATGAGTGCGACCCTCTGTGGACAGGATCAGGGCCTCGCGGAAGGAAGCAACGCAGACCTCCCCTCAGTCTACCACCAATGCCCACCGGCTTGAGTCCCGAGCAAATCAAGCGGAGACTTATCGTTAACACAATTGTCGAATCCGAGAATTGCTACGTGTCGGCATTGCATCGGTAGGTCTGCTCTCGGGAGGCAACCGGATAAGCGGTCCGCTCAGCTATTCCTGTCTTGGAATCATCCTTCTCCACATTCCGATCTGAGAGCTCCCGAATGGACGGACTAGATACTAGAACTCGGTCAACGACGGTCTTCCGAATGCGTCCGCGTGACTCTTTGAAGGGCTTGGGAACTTTATCGTTCTGAATCCTTGCGAGAGAGGAGCTCCGCTAGGCGTCCATGGTCTCCGCGGGAAGCCGTCCCTTGTATTATTCAGCTGATAGGAGGTTTTCCCGGCCGCGACCGTCCCGTCGGCCTTTGTTTGCCCGAGTTGTTTGAGAAGCGTTCCGTAATAATAGCGATATGAAAATCCTCCTTCCAGGCTCATTGTGGACTTTAAGCAGCCTCTGATACGATGTCAACCGCCTTTCCTCTCGACCCATAAGGTGCGTGGGCTCGACACAAAGGGGAAGACTACCGCTCGTAGACTTCTCCTTCCCGATTCCGGAGCATTGCATCGCCGCTCGGGGAAACGATTTGATTTCGACCGATTCGGAACTTGGGCAAAAACATGTGTTCGAGAGGCAGCCCAAAGGGCTTCAAATACGAACCGGAGGTGGAGCACTTCCCCAACTAATGTATTCTCTGCCTTCGGCAGGTCGACGTCATGTTTCACAGAGTGGAACAAATTCTACAATGTCATACCATTTTCGGAATCGCTCTCACTCAGTGTGTTTGGGAATGGGATCAAAAGGTACGAAACGTGTTTATTGTGCGTCCGCTTGATTCATCGTTATCAGCAGGTTCAACTCGGAGGGAATCGTGTGATTTCAAGGGATATCAATATTTCCAGGAAATGTTGGGCGGTGTTTTCTTGAATACTTTCTCGAAGAACCACGTGCTGGAGATATACTCAGACTTCGTGAATAACTTCACCACTGCCATGGACACAGCCCGTCAGGCCTCTGCGTCGAAACCGCAGCTGGCTCATTTTCTAAAGGTATTTCGCGCTCGTTCCGACGCCCAGCACTCTCAATTGAATTCATGCATCACTGTCTACAGAGCAACTCAAGACTCTCCGACACACGAACTGACTGAGTATTTCCCCCTGCCTTCGTCACAATGTCGTCATCGTCATCTCCTCACCTCGACATTCACTCGGTGATCCCTCACCGGATTTTTTCTGCGTGCTCGGCCGCTGCTCTTCCGGTCACGCCGTTCCGTCCCGTTCCGGGTCGAGGGCTCGAGGAAGACGGGCCACACGCTCAATAAAATCCGGAGTTTTCCCCTTCTTGAAAAAAAGGATACACCATCGAACAGTCTAAACGAACGCTCTCCGTCGTTTTTTTCACAACCCCGTGTTGGATTGCGGAGACGGCGCGGCATTCGATCTGCGTGGCAAAATTAGTCTAGTTCCACATTTGAGATGGTCGTCTGTTTCTCTTTAATGGAGCCTGTTTTCATGATTTGCATTTTGGAATCTGTCGAAGCTAGGCCTCCGCAGCAGGCGCGTCGTGGCTTCGGGCGCGTTGACTCGTTGAACGAAACATAGATTCTCTTTTCGGGAAGGGAAGAATGAGAAATATTCGAAGCGGTTCGAGCGGGAGAGGAAATTGTCATAGGTTATTCAGCTCTCACTGTCAGGATTGAGACCGTGCCGGGAGATTGAAATTAAAATCACTTGAAAGAGCCGAAATGTCATGCCGAATTTATAATTGTAGGCGCCAACGTCGGGCCTGCTCCAAGATACGTCGTTAACCTCTCATGCGAATATCCCTCATCAATACCGAAAGGTAACCAAGGACCCATGCCGAGACTTTGAATTGACAAGTCTCTGAGTCTGCCCCTGGTTCAGCATCACATTACTGCACGTGATTCGCTTCAGAACAAAAAAAATCCGTCCCATAAGCGTGGGGACGGAGAGAACAGTTCTCGTTGACTGCTTGCGGGAACGTTCCCGATTCCGCCGTTCCCCTTCCCCCGCTTCCTCCATATGAGCACTCAGCAGCATTTTGAATGACCTTGTTGCCTAAAGAGTGAGATAAACGGATCCCGTTGACTACAAAAAATGGCCCGCTGGATTCGTCAGCAGCCTTGAACGCGTTGCTTTTTTTCGCCCTAGCTGTTGACAATGCGAGCCAAACAAGCTTCAGTGTTGCTCGTTTTGTCCAAGTTTGGAAACTCTAATTTTGAAAGCATGGAAACGATTCGAGAACGCATGAAACGTTCGAGTTCTCGGTCGTGTCGTGTATCCCAGTGTTTGCGCACGTACGTAGAACCATATCTACACCCGGACACTGAATTCCTCACATCGAGACGCTCTGGTTCTTCTCGAAGCGAAGCTGGGAGCGAGAATCTCCGTTTATGATGCTCACGGAATATGCGTCACCAATGTATCAACGGCACGCTCGCCTGATTCATGAGGCTTAATGAATATTTGCGAGTTGAGAACGGGATCTCGTATATCGTCTCGTTTCCTAAGGACCTCCTACAGGACGACCCCAACGGCCTTCCCCCTTCTCTTGACGTGGATTTTGACTCCTGCATTAGGCTCCGCGACGGATCCGATACATGCATGTCGCGTCTCAAACGGCGGTTATTCCTTCGAGCCACTCAGTTTGCCGAGAATGTAGTGCTTCTAATTTCACGCGTGCGGATCGTGCTCGATAAGATTTCGGTATATCCGACCCTGATCTGAACTCTTGCTCTGTTTCCTCAGATGAAGCAGGTCTACAGCAGTGATCGGCTTGGGTTTTATGGCCTGATGGTGAAACCCGTGCAGCGGTTTCCGCAATTCATTTTGCTGCTCCAAGATCTCTTGGCCAACACACCAAGCGAGCATCAGGACAGACTCAGCTTGGAGCTCGCGCTTACTCAACTCGAATGTCTGGCTGAAGCCCTCAACGAACGCAAACGGATTTGTGAGCAGAATCAGGCAGCCAGGGAGCTTTCGAAGTCACTCGGCAGCGCGAAAGTGAGTACTTCCCAATATTGCGATCATTATCATCATTATATTACGATGGGTTGCGCCAGAGGATCGCATGATCGGCGCAGGACGGTATCGTACCGGCTTCGAACGGGATGAAATTAAAGCGTTATTTCCTTTGTCCACCCCCGACTTGGCAAAGTGTTCCCCGCAGCACCGATAGAGATCATACACAGTTGATTTTCCACGATCGAGTCATTATTGAGAGATCTCATTTCCTCACAGATCGGGTCGAAGAGTGGAGATCAGCTCCTGATTCGACTGGATGATGTCAGCCAACTCGAAATGGATTCAACTGGTTTGGTGGTGAAGACAAAATCTCGCAAAATGTTCATGCTGAGCGACACTCTCATCTGTGTTTCGGGTGATGGCAAAAACAATGTGAAGTGGAGCGTTCCCATAGTCGAGGTGAGTGGCAGCAACGTACCTACATGCTTTATCTGCCGACGTCACCGTCTCGGCCCATAGCTTCTCCGAAGCAACTTCAGCTTGTGCAACGATGGTTGTTCGTATCCTAACGAGTCCACCCGGTTGACCGTGCTGAGCTCGAATGTTGAATAACAGCGGTTGCTCATCGAGGTTTTTCCGCCGTCAAAACTCAAGACAGGCGCTATCGCAGGGAAGATGTATTCGACGATCTCGAACTCGGTCCTACCGGTATCCGAAGAGCATTGATCGGTTGCGATGTCGAATACCGGGAGAAGTTCAGAGATATCGCTACTGGTCCAATACCGGGAGACGTGGCTTTCGTTGCATTCGCTCGTTTCGGGGCAAAAGAGCCCGACGCCGCAGTGGCAGATTCTTGCTCTTTATTGAGCACGGCTACCGTCTTTGCTTCGCCGCCGAGATTTCCAGGAGAACTTGCGAGCGAAACTCCCGATCGGAGCTGTACGGCTGACGGTGGTGGTGAGATGACCGATTCCGCTGGCTGGGAACTCGCTGATGATGATGCGGTCACAGCTGCTGTTGCCAGTGCTGGTCTTTTCCACGGCGCCAATGTTGTTGAGGGTCGACAGTTTTGGGATTTTTGGAACCGACAATTGCGACCTCCAGTCGTTTTGTTGGTTTTGAAAGAGTCATCCAGAACCGTGTCACTGTCATCCGATGGTGAGGGATCGTCCGGATCGACTCCTTCCGCGAACTTCAAGTAGCCGACTGTAGAGCTCCTCAGGAACCCATTTGTCGGGGAGTATCCACTCTGAGTGAATGATGCTGTTCTGGCTCCGTACGGCGTACGGATATCCGTTATGGGGAAGCTATCGGTGACCGATCGCGTCCTTATCGGGGGTTTGGTTGACGCGATGAGTCCTGCGCTCTGGTTGGCTATAATCACCTGAAGGCAGAGGCCTCCGTTAGAACATTTGAGTCACCGAGCGATCTCTTCAGAATCCTTCTCTGGGCACTCACTCTCGGTTTGCAAGGATACGTGAGCTGTTGTCTGTATAGCCCGTTCTGAACCGTTCGCACACACTGGTATGTCGGGACCACGGCACTAAGGACTCCGTTGATCATTACCGCATCCTCTTTTGGGACTGTAACCTGATTTCTTCTGATACAGTATCGATGCCTCCGATTACAACTCGTGAAGTCTGAAATATGTGTAGTGAACTCCTTCTCCGAGGTCGGACGCTGGTGAGCGCAGGACTCGTTCCGACTCACCTGGATAGTTCCGTCCGGCAGAGTCTCACGTCGCAAGATGCGAGCGTTCCTCTGGTTTGCTCCAATCGAAGGATCACAAACTATCATGAGTAGTGAGACGAACACAAGTCCCGAGTTTGCCATGGTCGTAACTGATCTGCTCGTTCTAGTGAAGCGTCAAGCAGAGCTTCCTATGCGGGCATCCCTTTGATATCAATTTCAATAGACTCGAGTCAGTTTGAACAAAGTTTGTCCAACTATCGCTCGCAGATGCGTTCTGTGCGCCCGGCCGTCGGTCGCGGAGTTTTCCTCTTGCGTTTTTCTCGAGCCTCGGAAACTGTTCCGATTCTGATCGTCCGACCTTGGAGCGACATATTTTCGGCTATACATTCATAGGGGCCAGGACGCACATTTTCGCAGAACCTCTCTAGACTGTGAAATTATTCAAACAACTTCTGTCGCTGCATTTCGCATTGTCGCTCTGAGGATGTAACTGTTTTTTTTCCAAAGGGGAGCAGAAAAGAAGCTTCCCATTGTTTATTGTCTATTCGAATTCCACTACTCGTCACGTTATGCAAGAAGTCGAGCTTCGCGTTAACGTTTACCTTTTCAAACCGATTCAGAAGAATCTGCGTTTAGATCGAATTTTCCTGTTTCGGATGTCGGTTTTTTTAATTCAATTTGCTTTCGTCTCTGTCAGGTGGAAGTTCTCGAAGATCTTTCGGCTCGAAGCCTGTTGGCCGGCAGGACAGCTTTAGCGGCAACCCCGCATTTTCTGATGCCTCATTCCGACGACGCCAAACAGGCCGCTCTGGACGAGCTCGCGGACTTGGTTCATGACCTTGAAGTAATGAACAGGTGAGCGGGACACTCTTCACTTGACAGTCGGGGGCGGAAGACTCAGGACCACGCTGCTTCAAGCTCGACGCTTACTCACACAGCTGTGATTCCGAATAGGAATCCCCTGTTAGCACCAGCTCGCAGCTCAATGAGACTAAATGATCCAAATGTTTTTCAAAGGGTCTGTGGATTGGTGGCTACCTTGAAACGGCCGCCCTCCGCGCTGCCCCCCGTCGAAGCCCTCTTTCAGGCCGCACGCTGCATTCAAGAGGCCATCAAAGCCAAAGAGGAGGAAGTGGCGGCGACCGACAGCGCTTGTCTCCAGCTCTGCGTACCCGTCAAGGGATCAATATTCTTTCAGGTACGTACTGTCGTATCTGGGTATTCTCACCCTGACGACTCATCCTGTCACGGAATTCGTTCAACACGCATAACCCTGAGTTCCGCACAGCTACGGTGGAATAATTCGAATTTCCTACCGAATTACAGTTCTGCAGTTCCACCACAAAGCGAGACTGGCTCACAGACCTCCGATTGTGCAAGATGTGTTTAGACTCTGATAACCAACCGGCGTGGGAGACTCTTCCTTCGTTGGCGAACGAGGCGCAACTCGTTGTCAACAAGCATCCGTTGCTTTCGAAAGTCATGCCTCTCTTCCAGGCAACTTCTGCCACTGAAGTCAATTGCGGCTGTTACTACACCGCTCTTAGCAAACCCAATGGAGAGAAGAGCTTCCAGGTGATTTTCTTTCCTGGCATAGTTCATTCGGAGTGGCCATCATCGTACGAGGGAAATACCGCTCTAGACTATGGGATTCGGGAGATCCACCCGCTGATGGGCGTGAGAATAATCGCTGAAACCCGATCCTTCCAGCCTCCGCACTACCTCTGGCTCTGCAGTACCGACGGGATCAACTCTCATATGGTGATTCTCCAGCAAGGTCTTTCTGGCGGACACAGTATGCGACCCGTTGGAGCTTTCGATCTCCCAGAGAGCCAGATAACAGCGATGGAGTGCGCCCCACCACCCCGCGAATGGTGTCCGATGGGCCAAGCTTTGGAGGACGTAGCTGAAACAGTTTGGATCGCGACAGAGTCTAAAAGGTTAGGGAACGTCGCTTGTGGAAGAAGAAATCGACAAAGGGCGCTTACGAACGGAAGAAATTGAATGCATTCATTTCACCTCCCTCAGATTGATCCTCTTGCTGGCGTCGTGTCCAGACAAATGGACGGAAGTTGGAAACACGTTGGTCACTTCGCCCGCTACGCAGATCAAATACTTCAACGCCAACGTGTACGTTGCGCTTTCGAATGGACAGATCTATGTGTACGCGAGGCTTTCGGACGGTACCGGAGCTTGGGATCTCGAACATCCGACGATTCTCAGTCTCGGGGAAGATCCGGTTACGTCGCTTCTGGCCTGCGCTCGCCAGGAAGCGCTCTTTGCGGCATGCGGTCCGAAGATTTGGCGAATCGACGGTCATTCGCAGCAAGTGCTTGATTCTCACGACCTCCACGTTCATTCGCACGCGGGCCACCAATTCCATCCCGATCGGGAGAGGACCGAGCAACAGGAACACGCCTATTTGATGGCGGCAGCCGGAACCGGGCTTTGGGTGTCAACGGTCAATTCCAGCCTCTTGTGTCTCTACCACCTCGAAACGTTCAAACATCTCCAGGACGTAGACGTTTCGCCGCCCGTCCAGCAAATGGTGAAGACACCGGACGCTTCGGTGTTCATCACGTCGTTGCAGGTTTCACGAGGCTTGCTATGGGCTGGAACGAATGTCGGAGTTGTCGTCACCCTGCCATTGCCCAAGCTCGAGGGCATTCCTCTGGTTCCGCGAGGCTCGGTGTTCGCCTCCTTCCATGGCCATCAAGGCGCCGTCACTTTCCTCATCAGTCTTGGACCTTCGGAACCTCTCCCTGCAATCACCGGCGGGATGCTCAATTCGGGAACCCAAAACCAGCAGGCCCAAACGCCCAACAGTCAGGGTCACGGGACCGACGGTGAATCGATATATGATCTCTATTCAGACCTCATGCTTTTGCAAGACTATGAGTATTACGACGAGTCGTCGGAACGGCTGAACCGCTCAGAGCCTGAACTAATTCAACTGGCAGACCCCTTCAGTAGACCGAGGTGAGCACCTACGAGAAATGAGGAGATCCTCAATCGTTTGAGAAGGAATCAAATAAAAGGAATAAGAATGTTCATTTGGAAAATATATCGGGAGTATTCCCATCGCCCCCGTTCTCGGTGCTCATTGTCTGGGTCTGCTTTTTAATTTGCGCCGTTTTTTCCTCAATCAGATCGTGGGACATGTCCAGTATGGATGTGTCGGCTCGTGGTAGCGAAGCAGACGACACGGAAACTTCACAGCAGAGTGAAACTCCGTTGCATCCACTACCGCAAGTGACTGCTCCTACAGCAACAGCCAGCGCCTTAATATCGCCGCTTGTGAACGCAGCTGCCAAAACCTACGGCACTTTGCGGACACTCAAAAAGGGCAAAACGAAGCAGAAGCCCCCTCCTTCCGCAGAAACGTCGAACAACATTGCCGCGACGCCTCCAAGTGGTGTGTCGAAGAATCGGTAAGATCAGCGGTTCTTCCTCAAACGAATTCCATCTGTCGAAGCGGAGGTCGGCCTCAGGAATTGAAATCACATCGATGAGAATCTTTTTCTTCTGCAGGAATCAGCGACGCCGTACAGTATTGACCCTGACCGGCGGCTGCGGCTACGTTAACTGGAAGAAAGGTGGAGCGTTGAGTGGCGGAGGTGGCGATGCTTGCGTCTTGGTCTGGGAGACGAAGATCAGGCAAGCCTGAGCTTAGTTTGCGTACTCATCGCTCGCTCATCATTTGAGCGAGAGAACCGAAGCCCTCTTGTCTTCGCCCCGATTTCATCTCATCTTTACTTTTTGCTCCCTCGCTCGCCTTGTACCCGTATAACACTGAGGAGTCGAGCCGCCGTGCTCCTCTACAACGAGGCACTACTCGTTGGACCTCACGGTAGTCATTCATCGTAACCCTTTCCTGATCCATCTCGTCTCAAGAACAGCAGCAGCAGCAACCGAGGATTTTCTTTCATGTAGAAAGCGCAACAAGGAGATTAGAAAGGTTATAGAGAAGGCTTCTCAAGCGTTTACTCGTAGCAAGCGACAACCTGACTCGAGTATTAATCCTAAACCAAAAATCACTGCGGGATGCGGGGTGGGGATCCAGCGTGGATCCCCTCCCCTATATGTTCATTTTTCCTGAGGTTAGTAATTTATTCATCGTCGTGAGAGCCTAACGAGAACGACGGATCGAGGCAGATGCCAAGCTGGTGAATTTCGTGACTGAGGATCCAGAAACGAGCAGCGTTCCTCCTTTGCGGAGGCCGCTCTAATGAGGGCGGATAAGGAACGCGGACACTATACTTAATGCTAGTCAAATAATCGTAGGACTGTGGCATCGAGGGCGCGATGCGGTCAAATCACAATGGCGTCCGGATGTTCATATTGAGTCGCTGGTTCGCTCTCTAGAGCCTAGCCATATTACGGATAGCATTACGAGAGGAAATAACGTATGGCGACCGTGAAATAGAACGTCAAATATTCGTATGAACAAGTTCGCAGAAGACTAACACTACCCAACATGCAGGACCACTAGATCCGTCTCTTGTGCCTGTTCCTGTATCAATTCAAACCGTTCGCTCCGTGAACGGACAATGGAGAGCGTTTTCTGAATGGCATGACAATGTACACTCGGGTCTACTAGGAGCCCCTCCGCAGTTGTGATGGTGGTGATGCTGGCCTTCCGCTCGGCCTCTTAGAGATCTCCATCAAGAATATCTTACGAAATGATCTGTATATACGAGTATATGATCAGAATCGGAAAGTATCCGGTTTTCGAAGCTTAGCAGTCGATCTAGGGAGTCGTTCGGGAAACGTCAAGTGATTCCGCGAAAACCCTTCGGACGAAATCATAGCGATTCTGGACGACTCTCAGAATAAGTGGACTCAGCGAAATTTTCGCTAGGTTTCTGTCCGCCGAAACCCGGAGGAGACAGCGAAAACTCGACGGACAGGCGGAATAGGAGAGTGATGTCGAAAATCTACGCTGTATCAGGCTTCGATTCGCCAACGCGGGGAGCAGTCACAGGTACGACGCACACTAGAGTACGGACTGACTTCGGAGACCGGCCTAGACTTCATTCGGCAACAACGGAGCGAAAGGAGAAAAACAAATATCTTTACCTAATCACCACCAACCGAACTGTGATCCGCGATAATGACACACGCGAATCGATGCCGCCTTTCGGAGGAGAAAAAGTACTACTCACTGAAGATTGCTATCAAACCACGGATCTCATAGCAGCATGGGGCGGGCCAAACTTGAAGCGGAAACGATTCCGAAGGTCGGAAGAAACAAAACCAATTCCATGCTGTCAACAATGTGGCCGAGCGAATGCGAATATACAACTCGCGCCTCCGAGAGTCGTATTGGTGATGGGTTCTCTCGATTCTGAGCTCAGACTTCGAGAGTGCGCCCGAAAATCTGGACTTGAGAGACATATCCGAGACGCCTGTACCTTTAAGGACAGTCGCGGGAGTGTCCACCGTATGATCGGGACGTATCCATCATGGATGAGATAATTTATAGAAACGGCCGAGAAGATGAAGTGAAAAAAACAGGTATCGCTGAACAAATCCCCAGTAGAGGACCCTACTTTAGCTATTCTACGAAAAAACGAGTAGCCTCACGAAGAAACTTGACGGATTTCCTCCGCGATGAGACCTGTGTGAGGTGTCACGGAATATCGAGGATTTCTTCGGGTACACCGATCGGGTCTCTCTGAGAACCGGAGCTAATCAGTGGTCGAATACGAGAGGAATCGCTTCTGTAGTTCCCGGAAAGGACTTGGAGCGTATTCGGTCATCGCAAAACGTGGTCCCTGTATTTTTTCATGGAGCTAATTTTTCACAGAAGGATATCGATTCGAGGAGATCCTCCATGCGGAAACTAGTGATCCATCGTCGCGATCTTTTTGTATTTTCTGATTCCCCTGGATTCAGGCATGGGGACCTTTTCAAGCGGGAGCGGGTCTCCGGAGGGGAGCTCTCCCTGACCGAGAACGCCCAGCTGAGGAGCACCGCCTATTCGCGCTGCTTTTTGCCGCAGTAGTTTTGGAATTCACAATCTCGACCGAACGGAGGACTTTTCTAGGAGAGGCTCGGCCGAATAGGGAGGATTTGTTTCATGCACACATTTCACACATCACCGCGACATTCTGATAGTATTCGGAGAGTTAAAGTTCTCGAATGAGTTGGATGTACATTGTGTTTTTATCTCCCATATAGGTTTTGATTGTTGAGCAGTTTGCATTTTTCAATTGTGAAACATCGATTAGCCTTGGTCGATATTCTTTCGAGGTGCGGCGACCGAGGCTCGTTCATTTTGCCCTTCATTTGCGATAGCTTCAGTTTTTCAAAACGGGCATCCTCTCTATAAAAATGGTCCGACCGGGCCAAATTGTGACGGAAAGATTCTCATGTTCCTTTTATTCCGGTGGCGAGTGTATAATTCTCTCGACGTTTGTGGAAGCGCCAAAAGGTCTTGCTCGAGTAAGTCCTTCTCGGAGTCGGCTCGAAATAGCGGAATCGACTGTTCAAAATTCCCTTGCGGCTACCGATTGCTTAGCGGAGCTCCCGTCTCTTCGAGAGCCCTCTTCTTGAGGGACGCGATTCCGAGCTCAGCTGTTCTCCTTTTCGAGTTTCCCCGGCTTCCATGTACACATGATCGAGTTCGGCTCCATCGTAATGAATCAACAGTCAAATGTTCACTGAATTTCCCATTAGCTTGATTTTCTCTCCGTACTCTGAGTTTTTCCGAAACGCATCAGGGATTCTGATAACTCTAGAGGAGGAATATTCGAAGTGTATCGTCTATTGAGAATAAGAGGGAAGGAGAGAGAGCCAGACAGACCTAAAGAGAGAGTGTCCGAGTCGGATGTGCAGAGGAGAGAAGGTATGCCAATGATAGGTGAACGGGCAAAAGTATAGAAACAACTGTAACTGTGACGAAAATGAATAAAAGCAGACTCGAAAATATTGGAAACTCGACCACTTATTCGGTTGCGAGCTTATCATTGAGCCGACCCTTGGAGGTCTACAATCGTTTGGGGGTGGAAGTGAATCAGAGGAGAGACCAGAGACGGGGCTGATCGAAAGAATCTCAGGTGGGCATAGCTTCGGGATACAGGGATACGCGTTCCTTCGGGGCGCCGAATCCGTCCCGGTGTGGATAAGAAAAGCGAAGGAATTCGCAGAGCAGCGTTCAACTCCGATGATTCCAGACCCGTGAGAAGCGTCCGCTGACGCTACTCTGGTAGCGAGAATGAAGATGTCAGGTGTTATAGAAGCTTGATAGCCAGTGACCAATACTAGGAGCGCGCTGCGCTTTTGTCGCTTTCCATTGAGCTCTGCCCCCGCCTCACTTCAGTGTATTAGCATCGCGACATTCCACTCCCCGCAAAGAACTGCGGGTTCCGACCAAGATCGAGCGAACAGGTTGATATCGAAGTCAAAATTCAGGGAAAAGTACCATACGATTGCAGACGCTGGCTGCAGCTCACCGGAGAGCTCCTCCTTATCGATTCGATGTGCTTGATTTAACTTTCGTCATTACTGGCCCCTACCCCTGTCAGAAGATGTGCTTTTCGAGCAAGAGCAAAGTCTCCATTTTTCCATAATGGAAGAAATTAGTGCGCACAAGGAGGGCACCATCTCGTATTACACTGAGCTCTCGGCTGAGTCATTTCAAATAGACGGGGTCAACTCCGAAACATCAGCTCGCCAGGACGTGTGTCTGCGAGCAGTCAACAAGGGACATGAGTTCGTTGAAAATATGTCCGAATAGTATCGGGATGAACTGACATCGGAGCCGCGTAAGATAAACAAGGAATACTCGTTCTGATCGGACAGACACGGAGGTCGAGTTTATTCTGCTGTGGTTTGGAGTTCTTTGTACAACGTTGAAACGTCGAATGCAGAGACATCGGAGCGCATTCCCGATGGCCACCGAGCTGATTCATCGCTTGACGTCTCTGTCAACATGGACCGCAACAGCGCCCGATCCGCGACGGATCTAACCCGTACCATCCATTCGAATCCATCCTCAAATGCCGCGATTCTCTGAGGCGAAACACTCTAACGAGTAACATTGTAATGTTAACAAATCGGTCGGGACATAAGTCATTTCGGGCCCGAAAACCGTTTCCGGGCGAAGTATCAACCTTTCCGCGGAGTCATGTCGAGCTCGGGGAATTTCGAAACTTCTTCGACAAAATTACTCCCGAACCTTATACGGACGTAAATAAAATAGGAACGCGACTTTCCGAGGACATGCCTTGCGGAAGAGCCTCTGCGCATCGGTTGCAGTCGGCGTGGCGAATTATTCAACCTCTGGACGGTCTTACGCACGATCGACGGGGGTGGGACTGACATCCGTGAAGTGACTCGATCGTCTTCTGAAAACCACTTGATCCTACCGAGTTTGGCCTCTCGGAGGAATGCGTCCTACAAGTCGGGGCGCAAGCGCGCGATTTGCTCTCTCCGCAAGTCGATCTCAGAAGTGTCTGGCAAGATCTGCACGGCATTACAGAAATCGAAGAAAATACCGTACTTATTAGAGTTTGTCTCCCTGATATGTGAGAGAGCCACCTCATCTGTTCTGTCCGGTTTGCAGCACACGTAGAGTACAATCGCCAGGATCCCAATCGTAGTCAGGCCGACTACCGCGACGACGAAGCGCTTGCCGAGCTCCTGGTTGACATCCTCATTCTTGAAAGCGAGCCAGAAGACGAGGCACAGTACGTTTTCCGAAAACGAAACGATGAAGAATAATGTGATGTAGATACGTTTTTTGAACTCAAACATCATGGGCCAGTACATCAGGGACGGTAGTCCGAACTGGAAGAAGCACAACGTCGCCAGGACGCCGTTGTTTTCGCGCCTCGGAACACTCGACTGACGGCCGTCTTCAATCGCTTTTGCGCGCAGCTCTCGGCGCACCCGTTTGACGATCCGGAAAATGAACACCGTTGCGACGGTTGCGTGGAGCAGGAGGACAACGAGAACCCAGTAGCTGATGACGGCGGACAAGAGCGCGAAGGCGATCACCCGGGAGGCACAGAAACATGTCCATCCCAGGTAGGAGAAGGATTTCGTCAGGCAGCCGTCGTCTTTCCTCTGGAGGCCTTTGATCAGTGACAGAACTGCGAGACTCGACGCTAGGATCTCGGTGTAGAATGCTCTTCCATGAGTATTTTCTGTCGCGACCATGGCCACCAGAAAATGCAACTGCAACAGCAGTTGGAAGAATCCAGCGTAAAAGTCCACGAAGAACTCCAACACGAAAGCGTCCTGCCTGATTTTCGACAGGTATTGCTTCTCCTTGGTCTCGAGAGGGCGCCAAGAACACGCTTGCGCCGCCGCGAAATGGAGCAAATCGATGTGAGCTTTGATCTGCCACGGGATCAGCAGAAGCCCTTTGACCATTTTCGTGAGAATGTCGCGTAGGCTGTGTTCCGAAAGTACGGATCGGAGCGTTTCGTAGACGGTGTATATCAGAGTGGGCGCGATGAGGCACACGACGGAAATGATGAGACCCAGTGTCTGCCTCTCCCGGTAATACTCTTTGGTGGTGGTTGAATCTTCGAACATTTTATTAAGATAGATGCCCAGATGGACAGCTGCCTCGATGAGGAGGAAAGAGAACACACATCTACAGTCCGAGCCGCAAAATTGAGGAACTTCGTGTTCCCACTCCTCTGCTCTGTCCTCATCTTCTCTGCCTCCGTCCATTTCTGGCCGCCGCTGATTCTTCGGAGTGGAATCCATGGGGAGCTGATGGATCCGAACTTCCGTCACGACTCTACGGGATAAGTGTCACTCGAGTTCACAGTCCCTGCTCGTTTATCACGCAGAGTGTCACCGAGATTATCTTCGTGGGCTCTGCATCTGACGAAAAGGAATCACTCATTGATCACGTTCTTTCGGGACTCGGAGCGGTCGCACCTTGCTTGGACGATTGCTCACTGCGCAGACGCCGGAAAAACGTGAGAGGGTCTGTGGCGAGTGGGGAGAGGAGTCGGATGCACTTGGTCACTTTGTTTCCGCAGTCGGAGCCACTCACTCTCCATCCACTGGAGACAGGACGAGAGCGACCCGAGAGAAATTCGGATGACGTCAAATGCCCGATTTCTTTAGTGTCCTCGAGTGTTCTGAGGTAGAGATCACAGGGCGTCTCTTGTAAGTGGACAGACTAGCTAGCTCACCTGTCGGGAGTTCTTCCGGGTACTATGAGATGACATAAACTTGGATGACTACGAGGTGCGAACAAAAAAAAACCACAAAGCTCGATGTTCATTTGAAGCAAGAGAAGCTCAGAGCAGAATCCGATACTTCACAAGGATAAGCTCAATCAAGTCACATCGATGGACTAGAGCGGTCTTCTCGATGATGGCTCTGACCGACACGTATACTGCGGAAGACGAACGGTTGAAGGCCCTGCGTAGGAATATAACATGATGGGGAGCAGCGAAGACTGACCGCAGGCGGCACGGATGGAACAACGAGTACCCTACTCGCATTGACGAGAGCAGGGAGGCCGCCGACTCGAAAATTCCGTGAGTAACTATCCAGCCCGTGGTATCAGAGCGCACAGCACGAAGGTCCGCTTGCGCCTTGGAGTCCCCCGTGAAATGAATTTCCGACAATCCATGGTGTTCAGCATCTGGGGTCTGGCGGGAAGGGACGCGATATGTTGAGATCGACAGTGATAGACTCGGAGATTTCGAAAAGCATTCGGTGCACTCTCCATCCTTGCCGATTTCGCTCGCCCTGGTTTCCGTCTCCGATTAGGATGGGGGCTACCAGTGAGACAATTATTATCAATTTCCAGTCTCGATCAGTCAAATGTTTCATCCGTGCACATCTCAGCTAGGCGAGTGGAATACGCATTCGGATTCCCCTTTGACCCCAAGGGAGAGAGTACGATAAGCTCTTCCGTCTGCCCATCGATACCACCATTGGAATCCTGATTCACCTGGGATTCTTCAATTATCCCACTTTTCACCCAGAAATCCGACGAGTACTACCAGGAGCTTGTAGGAGCTCTCTTGATAGCATCACCATTATACCATTACGGTCGGGCATCATAGCGCGAGAAATTGGTCGGAATCTCCCGTGTCCTGCCCGGACTCATTCATCGGTTCATAAGTATAGAATCTCTCCTCGAAACGGTCTCATAGAGATGTGTATGTCGAACCCTGATGATGGATCCGGTAAGCTCGGAAGCCATGGTCCGAGCATTCCGCGCCGTCCGCGCCTCCCGCGAGGTGCTACCTGGTTTGAACGAAGCCCTATTCCCCGTCGGCAGGTGACAATCCGGTCTGCGTCGATGCTAAGATCCGTTCCGAAGTCGCCGAGCACACCCGGATTCAATTCCATGCGTACCGATGTGGATCTGATTTCCTGCCCAAAACATGCTCATATCGTTATACCGTGGTTTGATTCGCCGGATCTGAGACAGTGGACTGAAGCTTGGACAATAATACCCGGACAAGATTCACCAATGATCTCAATCACCAAGACGGCGGGCAAGCGCACTCGTCTGTGGTCGTCATGCAAGGGGGAGTCTTTCAGAGCGTGATCTGAGGATGAGATCTTGGATCCATGCATTTGCACCATTCGAGGGCGACGATATGATCAAAAGACACCTGAGACCTCGCGAAGGGAACAGGGAACGTACATCAGTATCATTCAGAGTGAGCCGCTCCTTACATGATCTTTCTGCCCGATTCGCTCTACCCACTCGAAGCGAGGTCAAAATATTTGAACCTACGGATCTGTAGGTGCGGTCATTTCATCGAGAGATGACCAAACGGGTGAGGCCAGTAAATCATAGAGAACTTCTGAATGCTCCTCAGGATCTCAATTATCCCCTGATTGCTAGGTCTCATCCTCAAGGAAGGGAGTTTATGACCTACTGAACGTAGATGATAGGTTCATTATGCGGTGACTGCCGAGCATTGGGACTTCGCATCCCACAAGGAAGAGGATTCGAAGCCGAGCGATTACTTGATCACAAGCGGGCATGATGAAGAGACCGATTTTTCAAGATGGAAAGAAAGAGAGCAACGAACTATGTGGGTCGAAAAAACCAATGAATGGCGAACGAGTGGCACTCTTAGAGTGGAGGAGGAGGTGGGCAACGGAAAGTGGGGTAAGCGTTCCAACGAGAGGCAAAATGGTTGAATGGAAAAAAGCGAGCGAGATAAATGCTGATTGCAGTTTGAGGCCTCGTTGTAAAAAAATTCTCCACAGGGCAGAGGACGGCGGGCTGGCTGGCTGGCGGGCGGGCTGGCGGACAGGCGGGTAAAGAGAGGCACAGGTGGCGCGGTTCGGTGACAGAAAGATATCAGTCATCAACAGGGGGCGCGGGTCGGAACCCCCTTCATCAGCCGAGCGAGCAACGTCCGCGGATGAGATATAGCTTCGTTTTTATCTTTTTTTTCCATCCTTCGCGCTAACGCTCACCTCCCTGTCCTCTCCCGCAGAGCGTCCTCCACCTCGTCCTCCTACTCGATATCTTCCTCGAGATTTTTTCTCACCCTCAGCTTAGTGTCGACACAGGAAGAGACCACAAATCTGCGAGGTTCTGACAATGAATAATGTCACGAGCACTTGATCCCAATAGCCGAGATTATTTTGACAACGCCCTGGATCGCTTTCGAATAATTTCTAGATAGATGAGACCGATCTCAGCTTCCTGTAGCAGCAGCAGCAGCGAGTTTGAACCTCCTTTGGACTCCCCCACCGTGTGGACACAGGCCAACGCAGACTTCAGCGGAGTCGAGTGGTGGTGAAATGTTCCAAACTCGTGCGATCCTATTCTGCGAATTCCACCCCAAGCTCGAATTGCCAGCTTTTTTTAAGGCTGGCAGATCTCGCAAATGTGTCGGCTGAGCCCCTCGGGGTCAAAGTCTCTGGGACGAGGAAAACGGTGATTTAGTGTCAATTTATGCACAAAGACATCCAACATCTCCTCTACAAATTAGTTTCCTTTTTCAATTCGACTACGGGACAATTGTTCGATCCCTTATAGTCCTGGACGTTAGATTGTTACATCCCAAAAACGGGAACTCACTCAGCGAGGTTAAAGTAGGAAACACTCGAGACGTCCGTCTCAGACGACTTTCGGAGACCATATCAGCGGAGAATGAGTCTCTATAAATTACGGAATGTTGCGCGACACGAGTCGACGGAGAGCAAGAAGTTTCTTTGATGGGGGAAGAGGTGTTCTATCCGAAACAGTCGCATCGACGATCGGCGGTCGGGGGTTTATCAGAGGATTCAGTTTGGGTAGTAGGCCACATCTGGAGACGGAGTGCTGACGCGGCAATGCTGATCATGTCGAGTTGCCTGCTCCTCTGGCAGCTGCAGGTTTCGCATTGATCCAGTAGAGAGAGGTGAAAGTCAGCGTTTTGGAGCGAAGCTCCTCGAAATTAGCAGGGTTCGATGGGAAGTACCCTCGGTCAAAGCAATTTCCGATATGCTCTCGGATGTGAGTCTTCTCATCTACATTCGGGAGAGGAGGATTCCGGGGGTGAGCCAACGATGGAACATGGACTCCTCTCGGAAAATCAGGGTTACGATCATGCGGTGATTCGTTGTCTCGGGGAGATAATCCGTGGATAGGATCTAATTCCGATATATCCCTTGAGACTCCCACAAATATGAAGGTGGAATGACGAGAGACGAACACACATTTGACGGTAATTTGTATTTCCTCAATTCCGAGAGAACCGCCCGGGGAATTACTGATTGAATCCAGATACCTATCATGTACATTGTGCGCTTCATGTGGAATGCCCGGAAAGTTGTGAGAGTATCTCAGCTCTACGATGCCTATACTCCGGTTAAAGAACTTCTGAGATCAAATTATCACCACGCCCTCGAATGGGCGCCCTACTCTAGAACCTATGTATTATCACAAGTTGTTGTGCTAAGCGACAGGCCTTACACAGACGGCTCCTCTCAGGCTCTCCGATCGCTGTTTCCGTTCCGTACCGCTGCCAATTGTGATTCGGCTGTTCTGTTTTAATCAACGCATTTTTCTCATCGTCCCCATCTCTGCAAGCATGATGAAATGTGATATCGATCAGAGATCGGCGAGCGAAAACTGAAAGTCAAACTCTACGGGGTCACACATCGCTAACGGAAACCTGTCTTCAAACCTACGTTCTGAAGAAGCTGCGCTTGAAGGTGGAGAGGACCATGGCGAGGACGACTAGAACTGCGCCTGCGTAGGTCAGTGAAGATGGCGCGCTTCGCTGAACAGTTGCTTGCAAAATAAACGAGAACAACACGGTCGACGTCATGGAAATCGCGACTCTCGAAGAATCGGTCAGAACGCAGGCCATGGCGGGGAGATGCAGCTGCATGACCGAACACATTCCAGCGAGCGCGACATAACCGAGATCGCTGATACTCGGAACAACAGGGTTCTCGGTTGATGCGGCTCCGATGGCGGCCATGAGGAAAGTCGCTACGGAAGCGTACAGGGAGACCCACATCGCGCTGATGCTGCCCAAGTTCCGCAACCATATCAAGGCGACGGCGTTCGCCAACGCCGATATGAGAGTACTCGAGTACCCGATCACCTTCCGACTCCTGGGAATGTTCGACCAAAACATCAAATTAACGTCCGATTTCTAAGATGGCATCTCCAATATCACAGCCGATAGGCTCCCGCGAGAATTTTCGCGACCCTTCTGGAGAGATTCTGCCGGGAAGGGTGGGCATGCGAGTTTTCTCCATAGACAGAACTCACTGTTGCTCGAAGGAGATGACGCCGTTTCCCGCGAAACTCGGAAGACACACTGTGATGACGCCGGCTGTGGCCATGGCACACGCCAATGCTTTCTTCAGGGATCGTTCTCGTAGGAAAACACAGCCAAAGGCCGTCGTATAGATTGGAACGGTGTTCGCGAGGAGCGAGAACTCGGCCATCGGGAGCGAATTACTTCCTACGGCGAACGCGATAAACCTCGCGGCGAGGACCAAGGAGAGGAACACCAATTTTACGTGCGTTCCGAAATCGATCCTGTAATTAGAGCTTGCATTGATGCTGGTTTACCCGCAGGTACTCAGCGCCCTCGGGCTCGAGGTACTGAATGAGACCATCAATTTGTTAGTATGACTTGTAGACAGCATTTGGTATTCCTATCCTAGGGTGTTATGGTTTTTTCTCCGCTTCGAGGAGAATCAGGGTTCCGAAGGACCGGTCGACAGGGTGGATTCGGAGGTTTTCTGAACGAGCATCGATCAAGCAGGAATCATCATTATTCATCGCGATGGACAAGCACATAATGAATTCACCAAAAACTTGAATAGCGCTTTACCAGGCTATTGAAACCGAGCATTTCTCGAGCGTCAAAAGAAATGTTTTCTGAGAGATGTCGTCTGTAAATAAAGTACCGAGCACAATCATATGTCCAGACAAGCCGGAGAATATTCTCCCATCCTTCTAGCCTCGGATCAGAGAACTAATTCGCCTCGATTTGTCATCTTGAGAATCGATCAAGTTTCATGAAGAAGGTCAAGCTTCGGACTGAAACAATTCACAACGAGCGTTTTCTTCGGTATTGAAGATTTTATCTTCAAACCGATAGTTTCGCGAGAGCGTTATTCTGACAGCTCGGGGCGCAAGATCCCCGTGGTTCGATCCGGGCGTAGGATGAGTTCTCCGTCAGTATAGTCTTACGGACTTTCGATTGAGCCCCGATGCCTAGTCTCCGAAATGACGCAGCTAGATAACATCAAGGATGGGATTCCCAGAGGGGAAGTCAAACAACGGGAGATAAATTCATAAATGAACAGTGAGAAATTACTGATGTGCCCGCTCCGGGAATATACTTACTCGATTTGGCATCTGAAAATCCTGATCAAGATGAGCAGGATGACAGCAGCAAACAGAAACCTGAGCCCGGTAGCCTGCATCACGTCCATCGATTTCACAAAGCTACTCACCAGGCACCCGAGGGTCAGAAACAGGCCGGCAAGTACGCCTAACAGGGTTCCGGTAACGTGTCGAGCCCAGTCGCTGTTATGATTCTTTGATTCAAACCTCAGACCTTGTCTCTGTAGCAAAGGCGAAGGAGCATGCTCAGACTTAGAGAGCCCGGGAGAGCATTCGCAAAGTCTCTCGTCATTTTGGTTCTGATCGAAGGCGTCAATAAGAATCTCGACGGAATCTAATTGAGCACGGGGAGCCATTGCGGATAGGTACCTATTGAATCGTATGAATGGAACTGAAATCTCGATCATTCTCACTTAGAGAGCATACATATATTTCGAAAAGTCCTTTTCGAACTCACCGTAGACGGCGCACCAGTGTCTTGAGGTTTCCGTACCAATATCGATTGAGCCTAGCTGGTCTCCGACTGGGGATTTTTGCAGGGATCTCAATGGGGCGGAAGTCTCGCCCATCTCGCTACCCGAGCCATGGTCACGCAGAAACTAGCGAAGATGTCAGCAGCGGTGCTCTGAGGTGAGCTCGTCGTCGACGCTGAGGTCCGCAGGCCTCGAGATCGCGCAGAGCGACTCGACACAGTGAAGCTTCGACTGTGTTTTAAGATCAACCACAGCCACGTTCATGTCGTCATCCGAGGCGACCACGTATGTCTGACGGCTCGAATCGCCTAATTGTCTGTTTCTTTGTCTATCTCTTCACCACGATATCTCGTCTATCTGCGGCTGAGGGATTCCGGGAGAGGACGGTCTCTTTGACCTGTCGTTGTTGCTCACTCAGCTTATCGATGTCGTAAATTGAGTTCTCACCTGTCCTCCTCATGAGAAAATCCTCAGGAAGTCGAGTCTCATTCATCGACGATTTCGCGGCTCGACGCGCCGTTGAAATTCGAACATTATTATTGATGTCAGGTGAGGGGCTGCACAGTACACGACTCTCTCAATTTTGAGTCGTCCGCGACCTCGTTGAATGATCGTCGCAATAAGGGCCGACTTTTCCACAGGCGATCTTTGGTTTGGCGTGTCAATGATTTGAAAAGCATCGTTCGTAGTTCACAGGAGAGGTCCAAAACGTAACGAAACCATCACAATTCGGTCAGTCCTAGACAAGTCGATGAAGTCTGTGTTTTTTTCGAATTTGGACGAAATGCCCCGTAATCAAACGGACCTATCTTCTATATATCACACAAAGGGAGCTGGAAACGAGATATTGTGGAGCTCCTTTTTTTTCTGATTCCTTTCCTTGTTAGCATTCAGACAGGCATTTTCAATTTGGCGCGGCCAGCCCGTTTCGTTCCTCCTTGAGACAAATGACCTCATTTGGAATCGCCCGCCCCTTGGCCGGCCGGCCTGCCATTCCTCCCCGCTCAAGCGAGCGAGGGAGAGGGAGATATCTCTACTCCCCTGGAGCCCGTTGGCGAGCCTTCCTTATCCCCGTTTTCCAAACTCGACCCCTCCTCCATCTAACAAAGTTCATATTAGCTTTGAACTCCGCTCGAGCAGGCGTTGAAACTTGTGCAGCGATAACACCTTTGAATTCACTAGCTCCGATCGATCCGGCATCGCCCGATTGGTCGATCCGCTGATAGATAAAAACCATTCGCTCAGCGAATATCCAAAACAATCGTATGTTTTCTCTGAGGTCTGAATGTATCAAAGCGTGAAAGAACTATCTCAATCCAGATACGAGCCCTCCTAATCTCGGCACTCGAGAGCACTTTCCCATTAGAACTGCGTCGCTAGAGCATCGATTTCGGGAGCGAATCTCTTCCCGAGTCAGCGATGACCTCTACTCTGCGAAATCTGCGTCACACTCTTTGGAAGTCGGCGCTTCATTTAAATTTAGAATGAGGATGGAGTGAATTCTTTCAGGGGCATGGCAAAACGTCTCAGCTCAGCAAACGAGGGAAGGGACAATAGGGGCTCTGAAGGGCTGGCGAGGAGAAGGCGAAAAGGTCTATGGTGTGGTCGGGAAAGTGACGACGCTCTCTCAGCCGGGGCGGGTAGGGGGAGCTCGGAGCTTTGCTCCTTTTTATTAAAAATGGAATAGACATCGTTGCCCAACTGCTTGCCGACCGACGGGCGCAGAAAATTTCGGCGGATGTGATCAGAGGAAAGCCGACCATTTGGCCACACAGTGCCGCTGGCGGCACTTATTCTCGTTCTTCATTCCCAGTCAGCCCGGTTTCGTTTCTTTTTGGTGCTCCATGCGAACACACACTCCAAAACCCTGCCCCGTTTACTCTCGGCTCCTCATTACTCGGAGCAATAGGCTAACCCGCCGAGGAGAAATTCTCCAGAACTCGCTCGGCAGCCGTGTCGAGGGTTTCAGTAGTCGGTACCGGGGTCCGCGCCCCCTCCTTCCTCGTCCGATAATCTCTCTCGTTCTCTTCTGTGTCGATTGATATCCTCAAAAACCATCAAGGGATCATTATTCCCGACAGATCAAATATCTGATCTCTATCGATCCTCATTTCAGAAGACGCATATGTAAGACGAGCTAGCGCGTAACACTTCAAGTGAATGATGGTGTTATTATGAGACTTCGTTGACCTGGCTTTGAAGACGTTCCCAGACAGAACTTTACAAGCAAGGTCAATTTACTGTAGTACCCACAGATGATCAGCTCGAAAAAGTCTATTACCTCTGGATATATGGTTCCATCGCGTTGAGCCTGTCGCCTTGCAAGATCAGACCAATCAGATTCTCCTAAATATGTTGCCACCGATTGCTCGGAGATTTTCTATCTGTGATTCAATCTGGGATCAGATCGACGTCGATTCTGGGGGTTTGCGAATATCCCTGTGGGAGCGTTACGAACAGCTACCGTCGTGATCGAACCCGATACGATCCAACAATCTCGATGTGGACGTAAGGTTGACGTCGGGATCTCAAGTTGAGCATCCGGACGCATTCTCGGATAACTCAGCGAGAAACTTCCAGAAAAATTTCGACGGTAGATGACACGTATTCCGGATGAGTATAATCTGCGACTTTTCGAGCACTCCGATGAGGAATACATCTCCTCCTCGAGCAAGAGATGCGGTAAGAGATGTGTCCTTTCGAATGACCGAGATTCAACAGATGTATCTCCGCGAATAGTCCACCGTTGGGAATACCAGAATTCAGCTGACGCCTTACATGCACATTCCTTGTCCCCGACGGAGGATATCCAGCTTCGGAGTTTCTCAAGCGAACCGTGAGGTTTTGGAGTGAAATGATTGTGAATGCATAATGGAAAATCGATTCTTCAACGGGTAAGAAGGAAGGATCCGCAGGGGAACACCGCGCGGAACTTTAAGCGCACCAGGTGATGTCTTACCCGACCGCAAGGGAAGAACATCATCACGGCATATTACGATTGTATCGCAACAGAAAGTCGTGCATTACGTAACCTCAGTTCGGGTAATGCCCAGTAATGGAACATCTGGGTTCTTTTCTGCCCCTGAAGTCGCCGAAGGATTCAAGTGAATTCTAGCGCCCTTCATCAATCAGCCCACTGCGGACTTTACCGTATTCCGATCGACGCTGGTCATCCGCAAGACGGATAGCGTAACAATTATATTCGCCTTCTGCTTCTCCAGCTAACTTGCTGGCCAGGGAAAATGTCCCTAGTACTGTGGAGAGTTTCTTCTGTAGCTCCGACCCTGAACCCGCTGTTCTTCTTTCAAACTCGCCGCCAGATGGCGCTGCCACAATCCTTTATAAAACGCAATGCCCAAGGGCCAAGAGTCACAAGATTGTCAAGCCCTACCAACAAACGAACGACTCGAGTGGGGATGAACGTTTTCGTGAGTACGATCTCTCTTATCTGAGTATTTCATTGACATCCGATGTCCTCTCTGATAGCCTCTGTCTGACTGCAATAGAAACATCGGATTCGTATCGGTACATCTCGATTCTCATGGAATTCCGAAATGGTTCCGAGCGTTCTTCCCTATCGATTAGGCAGAGCGCTTATCAACCTGTTCTCACTCAGTCGCGAAACACCTCTATAGACGTTCTCCTCACTTCCAGGTCATTGTGGCCCTCGTGGCATCTCTATGCAGCACTGTACTAGCTGGTGGGCACGGCTGGGACAGTGGTGAGACCTATGTCGTGAGCTCAGGAGGACATGGGGGATGGTCGGGAGGACACGGCTGGGAGGAACCTAAGAAGAGTTACGTGATCACGAAAAAAGTCATCTGGGTCGACGGTCACAAGAACTTCTTCCATCGGATCATCCATCACGTGAAAGACACCCTCCACCATCGCGGAGGCGGATGGTGAGTCCAGAGTCCGGGTGGACTGATGACCGGCTGATAGTTGTCCGAGATCCCTATCCCGAGCTCAACGAATGAATCAACGAACTTCGAGATTGCGGTGTCGTCATACGGCTCGGTTCGCTCTGACTGTGACGGTCTGGCTGTCACTGTCCTGCAGCCGGGGATTGCATGCTTCGGCGCCAATGTGAGCGATGGATGAGCTGCGTGAACGTGGCGTGAAGTCCAAAGGTGCGGATTACGACGTCATCATTGTATATACAAACAGAATGTCGAGACCATAGAGGGCACTGTAAATTTACTCGCAATAAAGAATCTGTATCCAGAGGACGTAAGGCAAGTCGAATGTAATTCCTTTCTCCGAGTCGAGCTGTTGCTTCCTCGATTCGTCAGTCTTCTCCGGGTGATCAAACTGCTCCCACACGCATCACAATATGCTAGTTCATTCCGATTATCCTAGGGAAGATCTCCAGGCGATTGTGAACTAGCTGACTCCTGACTTAGTGTCATGTTTCGCCATCCGGATGAAGACAGTCGTCACGGGTCTTTTCATAAATCAAAAGAAATTTGTACAACGACGCAGCTCACCAACGATGCAAGTGCCGGCTTTTCCCTTGACGCAATCATATGCACCATGAATGGAACACTGTGTAAGCGTAACTTCGCTCACGTCACAATGAAACCATGAAGATTCATGTGACGCTCGTAATTAGAGTAGCCATTGTTCCCTTCAGCAAGGTAGCTTCGCAACCATTTTGCGATTTAGCGGAGCATGGCGCATCGAAGTTTTTGATTGCATGGATTTTTAGGCTTCTAACAACAATCGAGCTCCGGGGGGACAGAGATAGGAAAACATGGCCGGAAAGCGAATCAAAAGGAGGCACCGAATCGAATAGGAAAGTAATGTCTTATGTCATAAATGCTCAATGTGTCGACCGGCTGAACTGCGCTCGATCGACCATGAGAAAGCGAAAGAACGCTTCTGTGAAATCACAAAGTAAATGTGATCGCGTGGCGAAGACAAAGCACCTTGCATAACATCTGATCGTACAAACACCCGAAAGGGCCTAGACGGGGAAGCAGACAGATGAACACACACAATGTGGATCGTGGTTTGTGACTTGTGACTCAGTTTTCGGTTTGTATCAAGCGGACTAACCCAGATTTTCCACTCTCATTGTCAGCTCAGTCAATTCTCGAACGACCCTTACATCGTACTTGGAGCCATTTGGCGTTTGTTCCACATTTACCATGAAGTGTAACAATCGTCGCTTGCTCAGAAGCGTCCACATTGCCCATCAGGCAATACATCTCAAGATGACAACGTTGTACAACGGCTCTCAAGGAACGACCTCGGCCTGGGTACTTCGGTCATTGGGGCCGCGTGATAGACTGCAGAAGAAACTCGGAGTCACTGACTTCTTGGAAGACAAAATGATCGAATTGAAAAAATTCCGTTGAGCGAAAGGTGATCTGATGAACTTTTTCTCCGGCCGCTTATGAAGGGTCCGCGGGCGTTCGCATGATTCATGAAGATTTACCCGGCGAAGGCGGACGGTGATGCCTCGGCGCCTCGGCATCT